CAGTTATCTGTTTGATAACTGGAATAAATGTTAGGGTTTAAAAGTGTATTCATGAGATGCTTTCAATTGCAGTCATATCATGATTAATGATAATGGATCTCACTATTCTCCTCTTTATTAGTCATGTCTTTGACTTGTCCTGTGACATATTTTACTGCATTAACAAGTGTTGAGTAATACTACTGATAATGTTTCACAATTTAGATTTGCTCGATGGTTTATTGGCATTATTAAAAAAACAATTCAGGTAATCACAATATTGTACTCGGTCCCCCCTGATCTCCTCTTTTTTTTTTTTTTTTTTTTTTTTTACTTTACCACAAACTTATCATTTCCCTCTCTGCCTTTTTCCCCTAGAACACAGACAAACTTAAGAGCATCACTGCCTTAATTGATAATTAATACTACAGTATATTGCACTTGATGCTGTCTCATGAATACTGAACAAATCCACCAGGGGCCGTGACGAGGATTCGAACCTGCGTCCGAGAGCATCCCAGATGCTGCCTTAATCGACTAAGCTACGACATGCTCAAAAGGAGTTGAAACCGAAGTTCTACTAAACTTACTGGATCCTGCAGCCTCTCCGAGGCACAAACCAGGGTTTTACACAACTTCCCCCCATGCACCCTGGTTTGTGCCTCGGAGAGGCTGCAGGATCCAGTAAGTTCAGTAGAACTTTGGTTTCAACTCCTTTTGACCATGTCGTAGCTCAGTCGATTAAGGCAGCGTCTGGGATGCTCTCGGATGCAGGTTCGAAGCCTTGTCATGGCCCTTGTGGATTTGTTCATTTGATGCATCACGAAATTGTGATTTCTGTGTCTCATGAATACTGACCCAAATCAAGAGTAAACTGTTACACTTAGGTCAACAAATATTATATGGTAAATATATGACAAATTAGATTTAATTATCATTGTGGCATAATTTTAAATAAGAATAAACACCAGTATGTGAAATGAGTACAAGGGTTGTTATAAAATATTGGTAGAAAGTAGAATCTGGAAAATGAGATTTATATTTTTTGTAAAATCTAGTACAGTATCTATAAATTTAAATGTATTGTTGTGTAGTGCTTTGCAATAGTATTTAAAATATATTTAGCTACTTATCATCATCAGCACTGTTTTTAGGTCTCATAAAATCTTACAAGTTAATTTGATAAAAGAGATATGAGAATGTTGAGATATTCTTGTAGTGAACGTCTGTCTGTACAGAGAAGTAAGCAACCAATACTGTGTACTCTAATGTTTTGTTCAGGAAGATCCCAAATACGTAAAGAGAAAAATGTCTTTGAGTGTTTATGTCACATCCTGAGTACACTGTGCAGTTCATACTCTACTCTACAGGACCATAAGGCTACAGCAGATAATGACAGTGATGCCATGACACAGTGTAATAAAAGCTATATTATTCATATTAAACATTTATTGATATTACAGCTTGCCACATTCCTAAATATTCTGAAGATTGATAGCAAGTAACAGCATATGCAGTAGTATATATTTAAATTGAATATGTTCTTGTAATGATTGATGATCAATTGGTTTTAAATCACGAATTATTACCTGCAGCTGCTTCTGGTGATCAGTCACAATGAACTACTGTATGAGCTCGCTTATCTAAATTCCACTTAACTGGATATTTGGGTTATCCAGCCCAAACCTCATCCGGATCATTTTCTGGCAAAACTTCGTAATATCCGGATAACCGGAGGTTTGGCAAAATAGAGCAGACTAGCACAGAGTCCAAGTCAAATCTGGATAATTTCCTGGCAAAACTTTGCCATATCCAGACAGAAATCTGGATAACCAGAGGTTTAGTTACTTAAAATTTTCAAGAACTACACATTTCAAGATCTACAGTATCAAACAAGAACACAAACTACAACAAGGTAAGCTGAACTTTGTTTTAAATTATACTTTTTATTTATATCGTGTGTGTGTAAATTCCAATTATGTTGGTTATGGTACAAAAAATTGCAAATATGGTCATTTTTGGACTTTCCCTGTAAGAATTCTGTTTATCTGGTGAGAGGTCCTTCTCATATAGTCTGGATAAGTGAGCTTAGACTGTACAGTATACTGTTGTGCTTTTTTGTATGTTGTGATTGATAGTCTATGGACCTATTCAAATATTATTTTGTTGCCTGTCTATAAATAAATAATGAAATAAAATAAATAAAATATATACTGTGTATATATATATATATATATATATATATATATATATATATATATATATATATATATATATATATATATATATATATATATATATATATATATATATATATATATATATATATGTCGTACCTAGTAGCCAGAACGCACTTCTCAGCCTACTATGCAAGGCCCGATTTGCCTAATAAGCCAAGTTTTCATGAATTAATTGTTTTTCGACTACCGAACCTACCTAACCTAACCTAACTTTTTTGGCTACCTAACCTAACCTAACCTATAAAGACAGGTTAGGTCAGGTTAGGTAGGGTTGGTTAGGTTCGTTCATATATCTACGTTAATTTTAACTCCAATAAAAAAAATTGCCCTTATACATAATGAAATGGGTAGCTTTATCATTTCATAAGAAAAAAATTAGAGAAAATATATTAATTTAGGAAAACTTGGCTTATTAGGCAAATCGGGCCTTGCATAGTAGGCTGAGAAGTGCGTTCTGGCTACTAGGTACGACATATATATATATATATATATATATATATATATATATATATATATATATATATATATATATATATATATATATATATATATATATATATATATATATATATATTATAAAATATCAAGGTGCACATACTTAATGGTTAATATTGGTTCTCTCAAAATATTAGAGGTACAGTATCTTGTTTAGATATTTATGCCTTAGAGACTTATTTGTGAAATATATGAGAAATGGGTTATCACTCACCCTCACAGTTATCTCTCTCCTAATATATATTTGATAAAATTCTTGCAACAGTGTTTCAAATTATCTAATGTATCTGCATATGCTATGTTGTTTAATTATCTATCTATAGTCTCACATTACTTCCTCCTGAGAGCTACTCATCAGTGGGGCTGGCCACAAGTCTCTCCACGAGGCTCTGTCACAACACACAGCTTTCACTCCAAGTTCTCTGACCCTTTTCCCACTCTTTCTTTCATGCACTGTTCCATTGGTTCCTTCTGTGTTACCGGTCATCTGCCTCTACCACATGATACTTATATTTTATCCTTGTACTCCTTCCTTATTAAAAAAAATCTCAGGCATTTTAGTAACATGTTCATACCACCTCAGTATATTGTCCTCCAACCACTACACAACTACATTTTATTCTGTCATTCACTTCACTTGTATACATCTCTCATATTCTTCCTCACTGTTATGCTGCCCATCCCACATATTTATACGAGTTGCTTTTTTCCAAAACATGTAGAAACAGTTCTATGAAGTATGGAATTGAAAAGGATTAAAGTATCAGTTTACTGAATTAGTTTCTTTGGCTTGAGGTAATTACTGTTTGAATGCATCTTTAGGAAAATACAAAGGCCAAATCTTGAATGTACAATGGTAGTACAATGTTGCATAGCACATATGGCACTGGGCTAGCCTTATCTTTTGTCATTTTTTTTTATTAAAAGTATCTGCTACCAAAGTATTTTGCCACTTTTGTAACTTTTCATGTTGAATGTTTCCTTTTTGGGTATGGTCATGCAAATTAATTGAATTATCAGAGAAGCTAAAATCTCACTTTAAAAAATCTTAAAATACATTTTTATTAATTTAGGAACTTAAGTTAGGTGGGGTATCCTCCTTTAATACTTAAATAAATGTTTATAATTACAATACATGCAAATCATTCTTAAATAAAATAATAACTTTATATTGTTTGCCATGGACCACACTAGTATCTTGACCTGCACAAATTGGAAAGAATGTGGAATTTGTTTATTTGATTTTATCTTTTTTTTTCTCAAAATAGAGAGAGTTGAGTTAATATGAAAAGTTACTTTCTGAGCTACAGTATAACATTCAGTTGTTGTCTCTCAAAAAAGTATCTGTTGTGTCATAAGACCAGGATCATGAGCAGTCATGGTGGCTTACATACTTGATACTGGCATCACAGGAAACTACACAAATGGTCTCTGCAGTGTCATAAAAAAATATAGGTGCTTTCGACTATGGAGTCTCTAGAGATGGTCATTCCAGTTCAAAATAATCAACAGAGGTACATCAGTAAAAACTCAAAAGCCATTTTGAACCCTCCCTTGGCATCACAAATTACTGCCAACAGAAGCCTTTCATATTCTGTTGCCTATCTGGTCATTGTCATTAACAAACACTAGGTGGCAGCACAATGAATACTTCAGGGAACTCATGCCTGAAGCTCTTCATATACTTCCTGACACACAAACCTGAATCTGCACACAGAATTGGAGCACAAAAGGAGGGACCAGTAACCAGAAGCAACCAAATGATTCTACTCGGATAGTTGCTATTTAAGTACTTAAATACAGAGTAAGTACTTTAAGCATCCTTTAATTAGAGTACTTAAAGGATGCCGAGGAAAGACAGTCGAGAGGAAAAGGACACCAAAAATCACCACTCTTATTAGGACTTGTTTAGATTACAGTACAGGTATATTCATTTCAGTTTTGGGCATCATACTGTGGAATGAATATAAATTTACTTGAGTGAACTTGAACTTTTGAACTGGAGCAATGTTTTGATATTTACAACTTCAAATGCTAGGCAATTCCATACGTTTACTTCCTTACTGGTAATAAAGATCTGTTGTTGAGCTTAAGGGACCCAAGTCATCTTTACTCTAGAACAGGGGTGGGCAACCTTTTTGAGAGTGCGTGCCAAAATCAGCCAAGTCTCTGACACAAACTTTTTCCACGTGCCAACCATTTTTTTTAGAACATATTTGGTATCTCTTAAGAACTTTTTAAACGAAAAAATAATAAATTACCTCAGTGCAGTAAAACATAGTATAAAAAAAAACAAAAAAAAATTTATTTAACCTTCAGAAGTACATTTCAACAGCCTTTAAGCTTTTGTGACTTTAATAGAATACAACAGATAAAAAATTTGTTGACTCCTTTTATATACTGTCAGTATATAAAAGTTTCATCTGTCATCTGTTTCATCTGTAACAAAGTTCATAATTGAGAACAAAGATTCGCAAGCATATGTAGACGAAAACATGGTTAGCAATGCTATTGCAAGGTTTTTTAAACAGACATAATTTTCTGGAATAGTATTCCAAGTCCTTAATACTTCGTTTTCCGCATTTCTCTTTGTTACTTTCATCTCTAATCTCTCTCTCTCAATATTTTCCAAGTCAACTCTAAGGTCAACAAATTTCTGCTTCCAAATTGAGCTACTCTGAAATTCAATCAACTGCATCTCAAAATCATCCATGTCTATCCATGAAAACATTTGCAAGTTTAGTTCATCCATTTTGATGCTGTCTGGAAACTTGATGAACTTTACTGTGTCTTCCAGTTCTCTGAATTTGGCAAATCTTGTAGAGAACTGCCAAACTGTTGACTCGATAATGTTTACAAACAGCTTTTGAAGACATTTGTGGTCTGTTCTGTCATCTTTTAGATCACTGATGTACCTCTTTAGGTTTGGAAAGTATCTAAATCTCTCATTATCTACATCCTTCTTAAAAACTTTAAGCTTCATTTCAAAAGCTTTTATGTAACAAAACATAACATCAAGTGTCTTACCAGAGCCCTGTAACTTAATATTCAATTCATTTAAATGTTCACAAAAATCTGCAAAAAACATCAGTTTACAAACCCACACGATGTCAGAAAATTCATGGTATGACACTTGTTGGTCGTTCAAATAGAGCTTTATCTCATCTAAGCATTCAATAAATCGTTTCAGAACCAAGCCTCTGCTAAGCCAACGAACATGGTTGTACATTTTCAGTCCTTTATACACAGATTCTACCTCATCCAGTAGAGTTTGAAATTGTCTTTTATTTAAAGGCCGACCACAAATGTAATTAACAACCTTGGTAACTGTTTGCATCACTTCTTGCAGTTCCTTTAGGCCAGCTTTTGCACATAAAGCCTCCTCATGTATGATGCAATGGAAGCCAATCAGTGGATGACCAACACTTTTTGCAAACAGATTTACAAATCCTGCCTTCTCACCAGTCATGCTTGGGGCACCATCTGTTGTGACGGATACTACTTTTGAAATGTCAATTTGCCGAGTAGAGAATTCGTTCACAACTGTTTTACATATTTCAGCCCCGGTAGTACGCTCAGGTAGTGATGCAAGAGCAACCATCTCTTCACATACTTCATCACCCCTACAAAATCTAGAATATATGGCTAGCCTAGCTGATGATGTAATGTCTGTACTTTCATCAACACAAATAGAAAAAAACTTGCATGAAGACAAATCTTTTGTCAATTGTTCAGCTGTATTTCTTTCCAACTTAAGTATCCTATCCTTAACTGTTTTCCTACTCACAGGCAAATCTTTAATGCGCTGAATAATCTTTTTCTTTTCTGAAAAGTTGTCAAAAAGAAAAGGTGCACATTCTAGCCAAGCTTTTTTAATATACTCCCCATCACAGAGAGGCTTTCCGTGTTGGGCAATAACTTTTGAAACTTCAAAACTAGCAGCAATTAAGTTGGAACTGGGCCTACCTGAAATATAATTCATAAAAGTTTCAGCTTGTGCTTTTGTCTTGCTCAGTTCACGAGAAATTAATTCTCTTTGTTCCTCCTCAGTTTTATTGCTTAAGTTCTTATGAACATTTTCAAAATGTCTCTTTACAGAAGAAGTTCTACAAACAACTGTGTCAGAACAGAAAATGCATAAAACTTTATCATCCTTCTTAATCATGCCAAACTTTTCAGTCCAGTATTCCTTAAATTCTCTAATATCCTCTTCATTTGACTGACATTGTTTCTTAGCTGGTGGTGGTGACATTCTGTACAATCTGTAAAGGGCATGAAATTAAAATAAGTTAAAATTAAATGAAAATGAAATTAAATACTGTACTCGCATTTCTACTGAAATGCGAGTATTTAAAGAATTATTTATTTCCTGTTAATATTATAGCACACACAAACTTTGTAGTAAAGTATACGTACGTTTATTCTAATACCAATCAATAAGTTTAATAAGCCAATGTTTGAGGTAAGCGTGACGAGACAATGAACATAATAAAAATCTTCAGAGGATTTTTTTTTCTTTTATGAATATTAGAGGGTTTTCTTTATTTTACATAATTCCAGAAACACCACCAGCAGCCGCTTATCACAAAGACACTACTTCCTAGGCATTGAGTACTTATACCAAGAGTTTATAAGACTTCACTTGGTTCGATAGACAAAACCCGTTTTTGTGTGTTTGTGTGGTGTGTTGTGGCGAAACATCGTTGAGTCGGTGACATCTTGCTTATGTCAGCTCTGTTCTTAGGGAGTAGGCGAGCGAGTACGTGTGAATTTAAGGATTAAGACTATTCTTACAATGATATTGAGTTTCACAAAGTTATTGATTTATAAAGGGAATAATTTTCACCTGGAGATGAAGTACTGACCACCGTCTCGGGGAGGAGGCAAGTGAGCAACTGTGAGAAACACTACGAAGCAAGACTGCGAGAGAGAGTTACGAGTCTGAGATCGTCTGAACATGTGTTCATTACGAGGACTTCATGGGGGTGGGGGACTGTTGATTTCACTGGAGAGCATAAGAATTCTTATCTTTCTTTAGCTTTCGAAGGTGAAGATGCTTTAGATTTAGATAGTAAAGTGAGTTTAATTAATATGCGTCAAACTGAAGTCGGGCGGCATTCAAACACATGAGGTTTAGGGGGGGGGGGGAGATGTTGTGGGGGTTTAAATTCAAAGTTTACGAAATTAATTTTTAAAGGTGGGCAGGCATGGCGTATTTTGCCTTCACAGATATGATTGTCGGTGTACACTATGGTTATGGGTGCAGCCTTAGGTTAGAAAGGCTTATTACATAAAATATGAGCCAAAGTAAATAGCGGGGAATCATCATACATCGGCATGATCAATGACGTAAAAAAAGAAGGTAACTATAACCTATGCTCTTGCGTGCCAGAGACAAGTCATCGGCATGCCAAGTTTGGCACGCGTGCCAGAGGTTGCCCACCCCTGCTCTAGAATGATGTTTTCAGATTTACATTTCCTTGAAATTTAGCCTTAAAACATAAGAATGGTAATTAAAAATTAATCTAATTTCTTTTAAATAATACACAAAAATACTAAATAATTTTTTAGTCCATTTTAGATATACAAATATTATTGCAGAGTAATTTTGATTGTATCATTCAAAAGTCCAGACACAGTTCTAGAGTGGTGTTTGAAGAAATTTCTAGTTTATGTTTCCTAATAATTAATAAAAGATCATGAATATGGTGTTTTTATTTTGTTTACCCCAAAAATTCTGTCTTTATAAAAAAAAGCTAAACACAAATATCAAACCTTATGAGTTGTGTACTATGTGAAAATTTAATCAATATCAGATGAAAACTGACAAATTGAAATCAAATCTTAAAGTTTATATTTTACAATTTTAATTCTTCTGCCAAAAATGTTCAGTAGTGTCGCAAATCATCTTCACTATTTATTTCATTTGTATAGCTATCTGATAATGATAATGTTTATTTAGGGAAAAGTACATACATACAAAATGGGTTACAAGCAGAATGTTGGATTTCTAGATCCAACAAGTACATACTATGGCAAAAGCCACTAATACACACAGCATTTTGGGCATGATGTGAAAGCATAAACTTAAAAACTAAGATTTAAAACTAATTGAAATCATAAGCAAACGTTAAACTGAAGTACAGTACAAAAAAATAAAAAGTGACAATAATTACAAGTAGACTGAAAGAACAGAACAGCAGATTTTTAAACAGCAGATATCAGCAGTTTTAAAAGTTCGGTCATTAATGATTAATGTTTAGTCATTATAACAATAATAACAAGAAAGAGGTTGACAATTAGGAGGCAAGGTAAGTTACATGGAGTTGATTAGGTAGTACAGTACTTAGCTTCTCTTAAACTGGTTGAGAGGGGGACAGTCTTTGACATGATTGGGAAAGTCATTCCACATTTTGGGAACCTTGATTTGCAGAGCATTTCTACTTTGATTAACTCACACTCTTGGAATATCAAATAGATATTTGTTTCTAGTGTGGTTCACATGGGTTCTGTTAGAAACCTTTAGGAAGCATTTAGGGTCAGGATTAACATTGAAGTTCAGGTTTTACATACTGTATATAGAATACACTTGAGAGAATGTGCAGTGACTTAATATCTAACATGTTCAAAGATTTAAGTAAGGGGGGCCAAGTGCTGTCTGGGGCCAGAGTTTGTTGTTGTTCTAATTGCTGATGTGTGTTGAATAATTGGATGTCGTAGATATATTTGTCTAACAGAACACGAGGCACACATACCATATGTGAGATAAGGATAGATGAGAGTAATAAAGTTACCAGGACAGGGTGAGGCACATAATAACTTTTATTATTAACTAAACGGAACCTCTGGAGATGGTATAAATCCACAATGAACATCATAATTTATGAGATATATAAATATGCATTAAATTCAGCCACCCAGGAAATCAGATTAGCCAAAAGAAACTACAAAAGAAAACTTGTTTTTAAAAGGAAGATACAAAGTCATTCTATGCCTATATACGAAGTAAAACCAAAACCAAGGACTCTGTGGGACCCTTAAAAGATAACCAAGGGATATATTGGATGATAAAAGGGCAGCAAACGCTTTGAGAACTGTACATCAATGTTCATACTAGAAAGATTGAATGACATCCCATCACCTACACAAATGTTTGAAAGGAGGTGAAGAAAATTATTTAAGGGATATTCCCATAACGTGTGACACAATCGGGAAAAGCATTGACAAACTAAAAGACTCAAAAGAACCAGGTTTGGAAGGAATTTAATCCAAATTTGTAAAGAAAATTGGCAGATGCACTATGCATAACGCTGAAACTCCTTTTCAGAAAATCCCTAGACCAAGGGATAGTTCCCCTTGATTGGAAATATGCAAATGTTACCCGTATTACCCATCACACATCTGCAAGCTCATGGAGAATCCTAAGAGAGGGAATCATTCACCATCTCACAGAATACAATCTTGTAAAATCAACGCAACATGAGTTTGTTAAAAACAGATCCTGTCTTATAAACCTGCTCACATTTCTTGAAACGGTAACCGGCTATTCAGACAACGGATTCCAGTAGATGTAGTTTATATGGACTTTGCTAATACTTTTATCAAGGTACCACATCAAAGACTAGCAAGAAACTACAGTACAGGGACATGGAATAAATGGGAGAATACTGGAATGGATAAAACAATGGTTAAAACAGAAAACAACGGGGTCATGCTAAATGGGAATGAATCTGACTGGAGAAATATGGTGAATGGAGTGCCACAGAGGTCCATTTTGGGGCCAACCCTTTGTCATACATCAATGACAGAGATGAGAATATTACAAACCCTATCATCAAATTTGAAGATGACACTTAAGATTTATGGTAAAGTGGGAAGAGAAATTGAAACTTTACAACGAGTTCTACATGAACTCCACAAATAGTCAAAAGACTGGAAAATGCTTTTTAATGTCGATAAATACAAAGTCTTGCATGTGGGGCATAACAAGCCAAGTTATAACTACCAAATTAACAATACAGTGCTCAGAATCCATCATTCATTGAAAATTGCACAACAAGTAATTGATACACTCACTTTTTTGGGGCTGTAAATAAACTAACCAAACTATAGGAATAATCAAGTGTACCTTTACCTTTAAGGAAAAGAAGGCAGTCATTCAATTGTATATATCTCTGGTGCACCCCAACCTGGATTATTGCATCCAGGCATGGAGACCTCATCTCCAAAAAGACACAGCTGCTTTGGAGAAGGTGCAACACCAGGCAACAAAAATCATTCCAGAACTAAGTCATTTCTTGTATCAGGGTTGAGGGGTCACAGGGCTAACAACACTGCAAACCAGGCATGACAGGGTGGATCTTATTGAAACATTAACAAAACTGAATAATTTGGAGAATGTTGATCTGGACAATTTCTTCAAAATGTCAGATATAACACAAACAAGGAACAACGGTTTGAAGCTCAATAAGCCACAATGTAGGACTGAGAACAGATTTTTCTTCACCCATAGGGTTATAAACTCATGGAACCACTTATCCACCAAAGTCATAACTGCCAAAACTCTGTTGGGTTTTAAATACAACTGGAAAAGATAATCAGGGCAAATGGGGGAATCTTTGACAAGCCACCAGCTTCCTGTCCTTGCCGAGGCCACTAGTGTTAGTGCCCCTCAGGTAAATTCAAGTAAATCTAATTTAGAAAGAATGCCAACTTTTAAATTTTGTTTAGCTATTCAGTACCTGTATTTTGTATGTGGCACTGGAAATCAATAAGAACTCTGCAATAAGAAGAGCTTATCAATAAGAACACCAAGGAATTTACCATCTTCTTTGTTACCAATTTGGATATTGTTAATTCTTAGATTAATTTGATCAGTGGATTTATTACCAAACAAAATATTGAAGGTTTTATAAATGTTAAGGGTGAGTTCCCATGGCATAGTGGTAAAACATTTCTCAGCTCTTCGCGAATGAGTTGGCCTGGGAACATATCCCAGGCCTGGCCGGGGAGGATTGACTGGGTGCCAATCCTTCACATCTGTTCACCAAGCAGTGAATGGGTACCTGGCTGTTAAATGATTTGGCAGGTCATATTCCAGGGAAAATTAAAATAAAGGCACTGCCTGAAACCTGAAACTCTATGCATGCTAATGGCTTTACAAGAATGTAAGAAATCTTTGTATAAAAAAAAAAAAACTACTACTCGCTAATCTATTCCTATCTTATATGCGGTATGTGTGCATGGGGTTCAACCACTGCAAATTACCTCAAGCCTATCATCACTCAGCAAAAATCTGCTATTAGAACTATAACAAACTCTGCCGTCAAATAACACACATCCCCTCTGTTTAAGTCCCTTAATGCTAAACATAAACTCACTTCACACATTCTCATGTGCTATTTACATGTACAAAGCCTTGTTCCTAAATGTTAATCTTGATCTGAACTCTTCCTTGATAGACGTAATAGAACCCATGAGTCAAACTAAATCTGTGCAAACACTCTACACTGGTCTTATCAAATAAATAAGATAAAATAAAAGGACCCAGTCTATGTAACTCACTTCCTTATGAAAAAAAACATTTTCCTACCTATGCTTTATTCAAAAGTAAAATTCAAAAGTACTGTACCTAATATCATCCTCACAGTTTCCTACCTTGTGCTTCAAACTCCCACTGTAACTTGTACCTGTTCCCCAATATTAGTACAATACTTAAAGACATATGTCCTTACCTGTGTAATCATTTCCGTCAATTTATATTCAAGTTATGTTGAATTCAATTTTGCCACAATATACTTATTAATAAACTTACCTTATCAGTTTGATTAAGGACCTGAGTGAGAATAGAGTGGGAATGTGTTGTAGGTAGAGTACCTCAAGGCTCTGTCTTGGGACCTCTGTTGTTTATAATATATATATAAATGATTTATTCAGGTTTAAGTAGCAACATTTGCAAATTTGCCGATGATACAAAAATCGGTAGGGAAATTAACACAGAAGACGAATCGCTATTTTTTTTTTTTTTTTTTTTTTTTTTGAGATATACATATACAAGAGTTGTTACATTCTTGTACAGCCACTAGTATGCGTAGCGTTTCGGGCAGGTCCCTGGAATACGATCCCCTGCCGCGAAGAATCGTTTTTTCATCCAAGTACTGTACACATTTTACTGTTGCGTTAAACAGAGGCTACAGTTAAGGATTTGCGCCCAGTAAATCCTCCCCGGCCAGGATGCGAACCCATGACATAGCGCTCGCGGAACGCCAGGCGAGTGTCTATCACTACAAGTTGATCTAAATAGGGTTTTGAAATGGTCAAAAGATTGGCAGATGCAGTTTAATGCTGATAAATGTAAAGTTCTGAGGCTAGGTAATGATGATAGAGTTACAAGATAAGAGCTAGATGGTGTTGAGATTGCAAAGTCGGATTGCGAAAGGGATCTGGGAGTTATGATTAGTAAGAATTTAAAACCAAAGGATTAATGCATGAATGTTCGTAATAAGGCAAATAGTACACTGGGATTTATTAATCGAAGCGTTAGTAACAAGACACCTATTGTTGTTCTTCAGCTATATTTTGCTCTGGTAATTGCTCTGGTATCTGGTCCCCATTTAGATTATGCAGTTCAATTTTAGTCGCCGTACTATAGAATTGATATAAATTCACTTGAACGTGTCCAGCGTAGGATGACAAAGTTAATTCCCAAAATTAGAAATCGTTCATATGAAGAAAGATTAACAAAGCTTAAATTTCATTCTCTGGAAAGGCAAAGAGTTATGGGTGACATGATAGAGGTTTACAAGTGGCTGAATGGACATAACAAGGGGGATATTAATAGGGTATTAAAAGTATCAACACAAGACAGAACACAAAACAATGGGTATAAATTGGATCAATTTAGATTTAGGAAAGACGAGTAAATACTGATTTGGCAACAGGATTGTTTTTTTGTGGAACCAATTACCGCGTAACGTGGTGGCGGTGGGGGTCCCTCGATTGTTTCAAACGTGGGTTGGACATGTATGAGTGGGATTAGGTGTTTATAAATAGGAGCTGCCTCGTATGGGCCAATAGGCCTTCTGCAGCTACCTTGTTCTTATGGTCTTATGACCTGCCTGAAACGCTATGCATATTAGTGGCTTTACAAGACTGTAAGAACACCAATGTTGTGTACCCTCACCACCCAATGTACCTCTTGCATGTCAATCAACGAATAAATACTAATGTGTATCCTAAAAGCGTTTTCTTTGAGGCTTAAGTATTTGGTTTTCTGTAAATGAACTTCAAGGGTTAACTTAAAGTTTTTGAATTTGTTTTACAATTTGGACATTATTATACCGCATATTAATGTAACCAAACGTAATGAAACTTAACCTAACAACTCTGGATACAGAGTAGGTAATAGCAATAATTATATAGTCGTTGTAATTACCTAAGTGTAGTTGTTACAGGATGAGAGCTACGCTCGTGGTGTCCCGTCTTCCCAGCACTCTTTTGTCATATAACGCTTTGAAACTACTGAAAAAAGTAGTTTATTTGAAAAATAAATTTTGTGAATCCATTACCGTGAGATTTCCTCCCTGAGGACAGGTTGACCCGACCCAACACGTGGTATTCTTATTTATTTATTTATTTATATATATAATATATTCTCCTCCAAGTTGTCGTGTACTAAATTTACCTCTATTACCTGAGGGCCATTAACACTCTAGTGGCCTCGGCGAGGACAGGAAGTAGTAAATAATTATCAAAAGAAAGCATCAAGCAGGGAGAATAAATAGCACCATAACAAGGGCAGGAAGCAGGGGGCTTGTCAATGGTCCCCCCCCAGTTTAAATTTTAAGGGTTTCTCCGTGGTGTAGTGGTAAGACGCTCGCCTAGCGTTCCGCAAGCGCTTTGTCATGGGTTCATATCCTGACCGGGGAGGATTTACTGGACGCAAATCCTTAACTGTAGCCTCTGTTTAACTCAACAGTAAAATGGGTACTTGGTTGTAAAAACGATTCTTCGCGGCAGGGATCGTATTCCAGGGACAATAGGATTAAGGACTTGCCCGAAACGCTATGCGTACTAGTGGCTGTACAAACAAGAATGTAAGAACTCTTGTATACTATAACTCAAAAAAAAAAAAATTGGCATTTACGGCTTCGGCGGGTAGGCGGATCCATGAGTTTATAACCCTATGGGTGAAACAGCATCTATTTACATAGCAACGTCATCACAGCGCATTAAAAAGGCGAATATATTTGTATTGTTTACTCAGAACTTAAACGTGACCGAGTTCAACTCTTGGTGAACACACATACACTTGCAACGATGAATTTTGTTAATTTGATGTTTTTTTTCTTTGAACACAAAATTTCTAACAAAATTTACTTTTCTATAACCAGCCTTTCTTGTCAACTCCTCAACTATGAGTAACATTATCGAGGCCACTTTGTCCTAACCAATTATGATGAGAAGTTGATGTAATGTGTGGTAAAGAAATAATGGTAAGGGAGAGTGACCATCACCTGCAGCCTCCATATGTTTACCTCGCTCTATTGTTCACCCCAGAGACCGCCGGCCTCAACACTATCTTGGTCGGCCTCAACAGTCTCCATCACTAGAAAATTATTATTATTCCACTCAATTTGATTTGACCTTTGTCTTAGACAGCTTAAGGAAGATGTCTTGACGGTTACTTAAAGGCTGCCGACTCATTAACTTGAGCTGTGACAACTTGTCAACAGCTATTAATAATAACCATTTTCTATACTTTGCAGACATTACCAGTTAGAAAGTAATATCACCCAAGTACAATTTTTTAGATAATGTTATATGGTGTCGGGCTACCATATTCAATATGAAGGATTAGAAAAGGTAGGTCAAGGGCTAGCAATATGTTACATCCCCATCAATGTAATCAATCAGAGCTTTAATATACCAATGTGCCTTAATATACTTACTAATCTCTCTCATCTCATTTTTTTTCTTGCAATGTATCTGTTGTCATTTTATTAATTCTGCTAGAATTTACCTACTTAAAATTATTTTTTTTTTCTGTTAAAGGACCTGCCCGAAACGCTGCGCGTACTAGTGGCTTTACAAGATTGTAAATACTATGCTATGTATTCTCACAAACCCAATGTACCTTCTTGTATATAAATAAAAAAAAATAGTAATAAATAAATAATAATAAATAAATAAAATTAGGCCGTTGGGTAGTGATGGAGAATGTTGAGGCCGGTGGTCTCTGTGGGTGAACAAGAGAGCGAGGTAAACATATGGAGGCTTCAGGTGATAGTCACTCTCTCTTACCATTATTTCTTTACCACACATTACCTCAACTTTTCACCATAGTTGCTTAGCACAAAGTGGCCTCGATAATGTTACTCATAGTTGAGGAGTTGACAAGAAAGGCTGGTTAGAGAAAAGTAAATTTTGTTAGAAATTTGATGTCCGTTCACAGAAAAAAAACATCAAATTAGCAAAATTCATCGTTGCAAGTGTGTGTTCACCAAGAGTTGAACTCGGTCACGTTTAAGTTCTGAGTAAACAATACAAATATATTCGCCTTATTAGTGCGCTGTAATGACGTTGCTATGTATGTTTGATGCAACACAAGTTCCTTGAAGGAGGACACCATGTGGAGTGTTGTGTCTGGACGTGAGGTGTTGGGTTAGGCCATGTTTGGTTAGGTTTAAGGCTATGGTACATTATGCTAGGTTACTATAAGCAAAGATATCGACCTGTAGAGTAACTTGCTAGTTATATATACTGTACTAAGATAGCTACAGTTCATAAAACTGCCGAACAAGATCTTCAACAAGACTTTGGGGACCTTCCATATGTCTGCAGCTTCACTGCAGCAGTGACGATAGTGGGGACAGCTGCAGCTGTCCCCACTATCGTCACTCTTATATTAGGGATGAATTCTAAAATGGGCGACCTGTCTTGAAGGCAATGATTTTGTAAACTGTTCATTCAATTTCTTAAGCATTTCTTGGCTCCTGGATGAGGTAATATTTTATGGGCATTGGTCGCTTGCATGCATGGGGTTCACCTGCATGCTTGTGACGGATTGTGAAAATTACACAATCATTTATTGACAAAAAACTTATGGCAGCATCACCGCGCACTATGGTCATTGCCCATTTTTTTTTATTAATATTATTTTTTAGATTACTGCACTACTGTATTAGGTCAGATTGGATTTGGTTAATTAAACATGATCACTTTCTATTTACAGTTCTAAAAGAAATCCAAAATGTGCATTTTCTTTCAGTTCTCCTCACAATAGAAAACGAATGAAATGCTTTAAGTAGTTACTGCTTTTGCCATTGCCTATATAGGTGTTTCTGCAATATTTACTGGCTAAATACACATTATGTTAAGTTATAACAGTGTGATATACTTTATCCAAATAGCAGAATTTCACATGGGTCAGTCAGTCCTCTTAATTTTTATCATTTTTTTTCCATAAGGGATGTATCACAAAAGCTAGATCAACAGCTCTTTGTATTATTCTTAATTTACCTAAAAAATTAGAATAATGGTAATGTTCTTCCACCCAACAGCTTCAGCAGCTCAAGGTGTAGGCAACATGGCTCCACCTGTGAGTATGAGCTGTTCTGCTGCTGCAAGATACTAAAGCCATTCTCATAATACCCCCATAACATTCTCCATATACAGTATACAGAAAGCTATATTTTTTAAATTTTTGTATTGGGTAGCTGAATGTCCATTCTATCTTGGTTATTAACACTTGTATTCAAATATATTGCTCAACTTCGACAACCATATCATTCATGTGGTTGCAAACACTCACGAACTGTTTTAACTAGATGAAAGTACAGTAGTTCAATATTTGGAAGCAAAATACAGTACTGATAAGTGATAATTTTCTTGTCCTAACCATAAAACTGTAATCCTGCATAACTGTTTTATTCTAGTTACTAGTACAGTATTTTATGTAGCATTTTAGAAGTGTGCTTACAGTTTGTTATGCAAAACTTGGCCACATAATTTTCACAAAAGATTTAATAATTGCATTGTAAAAGAAAAATACTAACTACAAAGCATTGCTCCTACAATTTACATGTTTTCAGTTGTGCTCTGCCTGTCTATTAACATTGAGTTATACCAACCCATGGAGTTGTCAAGCTCTCATTTACTTTATGCAGTTCAATTAACAAAATTCACTTCAATGTGAATCAAATGTGAACAAAATAACCATTCTTATTTACATTATGGGTACTAATTTAAGAAAATTAATTATATTAATTAATATGATCTTCAGCTAGCTTCACCAGCTAGCCACCCTATTAGTCCCCAGCATCTTCCACTTAGAGGTGTTAGTCCCCATTATCTATCACTTAGTGGTGCACATTTGGAAATTGGCTAATCTATGTGATAAGACTAGAGACTTTAGACCTGCACAATGTGGCTTAACATATTTGGCATATAAAATATTACAAATTAAATTTGACGATTTATGAAAATATCTATTCAGGCCGCTATTTCCTGCCTGATATTTTTATTTTCTGGAAGGGTTCCCATCTATTTCTTCTCAAGCTAAACACCTGGAGACTTCCAAACCAAGGTACCACACCAGGCTTTATTGAATCACAAGAGCCTATTGATGACCAGGACCAGAGTTTACCACCTACAAAAGATGCAAAGGAAATAGGGATAAAAGAACAACTACATAACTGAAGGGAAAACCACTAGAAAGGTAGAAGGCACCAAAGCAAGCAATTGCTTGGACAAGCTTGTAAGACCAAGTTATCACAAGAGAAGCCTGGCCCAGGCCAAGCTTGGAGAGTAGAGGAACACCCAGAACCCACTCTAGGTATACTCCAGGTTTATTCATTGTTTGGGTCCATCATGAGTTAGCTCCATACCCTAGCCACCAGATAGCAGCCCTGGCTGCTCAAGGATCCCAGACAGCCACCCCCAGTCATTCAAGCACTTGGTGTACACTGTCATAGACTTCCTGGTATTTACTGGCTCTGCATGCATCAGCTTTGAACTAAATGCATTTACGGATGCATTTGGGCATCAGTAGATTCTGTCCAGTGCAGGGGTCCTGTGTTTGTGTTTGTTCCTGTCTTGCTTCACTTGCATGTTTTTATGCCAATCAGTTGCCTGTACCTTGCTCACTTGTTTGCCTTGGCTGTATGTGGCCAGAGAAGCATTCTCTGGTTACCACTGGCATTGCTTCTGCCCTTGGTCAAGGTTTTTCCCTTCTTCAGAAGGTTTGGGAGTCAACCTGTAGGGTTTTCTTCTCTCAAGGAGCCCCACCCTTGATTTTGTGTGCATGCTACTACTTTCTGGGGTGTCCGCTGTGTAAGTGTGTTCCAGCTCAGGTGTCAATGGCAGCTTGCACCTTCTACCTTCCCTCGCTACATTACCCCAGGTTGTGGGTTTGTGTGGGCCACTTCCTGGCACCCAGCCTCCCTTCCAGTGTGCTCTGGGTTGAGGATTGGGGATCCCTTATACTTCTCATTCAAGGAGGCTCCATCCCAAAGTCTGGTGCCATTCTTGTGGCTTTTCCACATGTTCCTTGGCCTTAGGTTATGTTGGTCTTTGATCACCTGTCTGTCTCCATCTCTGCCCCTTTTGGGTTGATGGTTTTCCTCCATGGTGGCAATAACACCTGCTGTTGAAGTGAGTGTTCTGTTGATTTTCAGTCCCCTCATGGGTGCCTTGGTTCTTTGTTTTCTCTGGTTTTTCTGAGTCCCTTCCTGGTCCCTCGTTCCTCTTGCCCTCATTCAGGTAGCTCTTTTGGTCCTGCAGATGGGTGTTTTGGTTGGAATCCCTGAACCTCTCGGACTGCGTCTAGGTGGTCTGGTTTTTCTGGTTCAAGAGCTGCCTCACTTTTAGTATGAGGCTCCTTGGTTCATTGGTTGGTCTCTGGGTTTTTTGTCTTTAGGAGTCTTGTATCTTTGCCTGCCTTGACATCTAGCTGGTTTGGGAATTCGGTCTTTTGATTTGTCTGTTAGCTGGGGTTTGTGATCCTTTCTTGGTTATCTTGAGATGATTTCGGGGCTTTTAGTGTCCCCGCGGCCCGGTCCTCGGCCCAGGCCTCCACATCCAGGAAGCAGCCCGTGACAGCTGACTAACACCCAGGTACCTATTTTTACTGCTAGGTAACAGGGGCATAGGGTGAAAGAAACTTTTGCCCATTGTTTCTCGCCAGTGCCTGGGATCGAACACAGGATCACAAGTCCAGTGTGCTGTCTGCTCGGCCGACCGGCTCCCCTAGTTGCCAGATTTTGGTTCCTTGTCAGTTGGCACTAGTTCTATGGTTGCATGGTTCTGACTTAAGGTCAGTTATGATTGAACCTGGCCTGGTCCTGAAGCCCATTGTTCATTTTTTGCTGCTGCAGACATCGGCTGGTGTCTCATTAACATCTTGTGGGTGCACTCAGTTTCCTTGTTAGCTCGTTGACTGGTTTAGAGGTCTCCAGGTGTTTAGCTTATGGGGATACAAAGTTCACCCACCAGGGAAAAAAATGAATTGAATTAAATGGTGGATTTTGTAAAATTATTTTTATGGGGAATTTTTTTAGCTTGCAAGACTATATGCAACAGTAATTGTGATAAATAATCATACATAAAAACATTCAGTAAAACATATACAGTATACACACATTTAATTTAAAAATAAATTGGTATTAACACTAAAATCCCCCTACCTTTTAAAGACAATGGCTATTATTTGTTAGTAAATCTTTGCAAGTAAAGCTGTTTAGTGTCTAGTTGCTTCAGTAAGTCAGTATCAAAGTTTGCTTTATGAGTGTGCTTTGAACCTGTTTGATTTTGCCCATAGTTATGTTAGCACTTGTAGTTTGTACAGTACTGTAATAGTGGTTATGTGGATGCACCATATTGTATTTTCATATATATTGTTGCAATTAAATGGACAGTATATTCCTAAAAATATCTGAATTTGTTTGTTTTATTTGATTTATCGATCAATGTTTGCATTATTAAATTATTTGTGTTAATGTTTGGGGTATCTATAAACGTTTTGAGTAAATTTTGCATAAAACATGGAAAATAGCAGAAAACATAATGTAAGACAAAAAGTCAAATGGGTCTCTAGAAATAGTTATAAAAGTGAACATTACCTTCCTCAAATGTGATATTCACTTACAGAATCATACCTGGTAAGGGTGTAATTTTCTCTTTGTTAAATCTATAAGTGGACTATCAGGTACTAGGAATAAATTACATATCAGAGAACTGGAAATGAAACATTGCAACTGGTGCAAATTTTTCATAATTTTGTAGTATAGGTACTTTTTCTGAGGAAGCCCCTTGGCGGCTACCTAAAGCTGAAATTGCTTCATTAGTCCCAGGAATTCTGTTTGACCTACCAGGGACCAGAGGCAGAACATGTACCTCCACCCTCATAGAGGTAGAGAGAGCAAATGGCAATCCGCCACCCCAACGGGAAACATCTGGAAAGTCATCAAAGTTTTATAGACAATTGCAAGGTTTATAGGAAACAAAGCATCACTACAACCAAACAACTCCACAAACCCTTCTAACAAAACAGTTGGTTCACTCCACAATCTCCATGGCGAAGTGGTAACACACTCGCCTGGCATTTTGCGAGCGCTTTGGCCTAGGTTCGTATCTTGACTGGGGAGGATTTACTGGATGTGGACTATCGTACATGTATTGACGTAATGAATAATTAGAAAGTAGAATTTGATACATACTTTTGAATTTGGACAAACTGGAAAAAAAGTTTTGTATTTGTTGCTAATAAAACCTGATGTAACCTAACCATCCTAAGCCTAATGCATGCTATCTGAGGCCTAATATAGTACACATGTGTGTTATACTAGGCCTAGGAATATTTAAGTTTGGTGTTTAGCTTTATTCTGGACTCGATAAAGTGAATGCACTGTAGAACCGACTTCTGTCTAATTGTCCATTATATCAATATATGTACGATGGTCCACTTAGTTACAAGAAGTAGTATCTAAACAGGAGGATGGGTTGCTATGTGGATCCATTACCTGATTGCAAGGTCTTGTAGTGGATGCCTTTGACTGGATTGGTTGAGGTGGCGGTGTATTTATCAATTTCTCCCGGTTCAGTTGTTGCTCTAGATCCTGTCCAGTCTGGATTCGTACTCAGGGAGGGTGGTCCTGGCTCCTTGGTGGCCAGCTCAGCCATGGTTTCCAGCTCTTCTAGTCTGGTGTCTGAGCCTGGGAGTTTTTCTGCTGCACTACCTCTTTCAGCAGATTTGTCGAACGATGTACCTCACATGTTCAACCTTCTCTGCTCAATGTGTCTGGAGTTTTTTATGTGGGTCTGTTGCCATTTGTATGGCGAGCAGGTGGGTGGATTACTGGTGTCCCATCGATGTATTTCTTCATGGCAACAGTATCAAGTTACCTGGCACTCATATCACCTCTTTCTCTTGCTTCATTAACTTTGGTTTCAGTCCAGGTAGTCCTGTCATACTAGTCATGGTTATTCCTCAACCATCATCTCATGCCTAATATTGTTGCCTCTTATTGGCAAAACCACTGTTATTTGTGTTCAGCATCAATTTGTCTTTGGTGCCATTCCACAAGTTGTCTTGTGCATTCTTGCACTTCCGGTCTGTTTATGCTCACCCGGAGCCATCCTGTTCTCTTGACAGGATTTTGATGTTTCTCTTCTGTCCTTGGTTCATGGTTTTCCCTTCAGCCCAAGATGTCTTTCCCAAGGCGGTGTATTTGCCGGCTCTTACCTCTGGCTGCAGATGTGGGAGCTTCGTGCTTTTTTCCAGAGGCATGGATTCTGCATCTTTGGCCTTGTTGGACTCTTTGTGCATTTGTGGTCTTGTTCTTCTTTTCTGGCAAAGAATGAGTAGGCTGGCTGCCTGCAGGCAGCCCTTGGTGATTGATGCATGGTTGATCTGGCTGGGGGTGCATCTAGTAGTGGCTCTACACTGCTACCTGCAGGCCATTGGTTCTGCCATGGTTGATACATTGTTGGTTGGCCCCTGTTTCAAGGTTTGCATTTCCCAGGGCTTGCACTGTGTCATTAAGTTTGGCCAGCCTGCTATCTACTCATGTGCCCACATGTTCGCAAGCATACTACATAGGCAGCGGCATACTCCAATATATCCTGGGCTGATATTTGGGCTCGGGGGAGGTTTTGGCAGTCTAACAGGTTTCTGGTGGCCCCTTATTTTGTTAACGTCTCTGGTTCCAGTCAGTTTTTTGTTGCTCTAGTTCGAGTTTTCTGGCGGTGGGTCTCGTTCTCATCTTAATATCTGCCATCTCTCCTCCTCTGGTAAGTCCCATATTTCTTTTTCCGTGGATATTTACTTCTAGGAGTCATCAAAGGGCTTCCCGAGAAACCCAACATTCCAGGTAATGAAATGTCTCTTGTTGGTTGAGCCCTGGTGGCTCCTTGATTTCCACACTTGCTTTTAGGTTTGTTGGTGGGTTGTTAACCAGCTCCAGAACTGATTCAGTGAAGCTGGTTCTGGGTTGGGCCCAGGCAGCCTCATGGTGGCTATCGGTAATAACGTCTGCAAGTTAGTTTTGAACGAACCAATTGTTTTATGTGTATCACTTGCAAAGTTGTTTGGCTGATTTGATGATTTGTTTGCTGCAAACTTTGCAGTTGTTAGTAAAGCTTTGCTGACTTTCTGGATGCGTTCCCAGTAGGGAGGTGGATTGTTATTTGCTCTTTCTGCCTCTGTGAGGGGGGGGGGGCAGGTTCTGGCGCTTGTCCCCTGTAGGACAAACAGAACTACAACTGATGTGACTCATTAAAATGGAGGAATCTCAGCCTCAGTGAGCCTCTGAGGCTCACCCATAAATTGTTGTTTCATTACATTCAATGCTTGGTTTTCCTAATTACTTCCACTGTATACAGTATAACTTGTTTACATATGAAGTGATCATTAAGTGTAGTCCTGATGCACTGTGTGAAGTACATATTCGTTGTGTGATTTTTGCAGTGTTTTATAAGTCGTGCACACTGTGTGCTTAGTAATAATGTAGCTTTCAGTTATATTTTATATTTATTTAATGTGTTTTGTCTTATTGATAAGTTAATACAGTATAGGCAACCAAATGTTTTACCGAATCATATTTTTTTACTGAATCATTTAACATTTTACTTTTGTTGTTTGTTTTTAATTTTATCTTGATTAAAAATCACCTTATCTGAAAGATAATTGTTTTTTAATGCAAATTGAAAATATGAATTATTTGTAAGTTTTTTATAGTTTACACTATTTAGGCTTCATAAAATAAATCACAATTATTCAGATTATGTGGTACTGATTCATGCTGCTTTTCAGGAAGGTTCAAAACACAAAAAAAATAGAAAGCGCTCGAAGAAGAGGACACCTCTGGTTGGGGCGTGCGCATCTTCCGATTCAGGAGGGACTCTAGGAGAGCAATCACAGGAAGGGCAAATCTCTGTGCCTTCAATAGCTGGAACACCAAAACCAGTCTCTCCAAATTCAGTTGATCTTACATCTTCCCCTAAACCTAAAGTAAGAATTCCACAAGCTACATCACCAAAGAAAGGACCTTCACAAGGACTAGACAGTAATGTTGGGTCAGTGAAAGGAGAGCCTTCACAACTCGGGAAACATATAGCAGGACTCCAACATACAAAGGCACCTAAAGGTGGCACTTCAAAAAAAGGCTCACCAAAAATAACTGTTTCAAATGGACCAGTTTCTGCAATAGAACCATTGACAGCAGGGCCAACACAACCAGTTGCACAAAATGATAAAACTTCAAAGTCATCTAATTTTGAAACATTGCACAAAGTTAGAGTTTCAGGAGCTGAAGCACTAGCAAAAGTGCCTTCACAAGAGAAAACTAAATTAAAATCCCTTGAAAAGCAGTCTCCGCAAAAAGCATCTGCTTCATCACAGTCATCGTCTGTTCAAGAGTCCAATTTATCCTCTACCTGTTCATCACAACTGTTGGCATTAGAAACACAAGCAATTACATCAGCTGTAACTGTGGAAAATTCTCATTCACAGACAAATGTGAAAGAGCAGAACATCTCAAGTGACAGTGTGACAGAAAGAACTAATAATTCAAAATTTAACCCATTAAACTTTGAATTGAACTCAATCATCATGACTGAAGCAACAAGCAAGTTAGATCATCTCTGTAATCTTTTGGACCGTATAGTTATTCAACATAGTGGTAATGAGGCTTGTAGCAATAGCACTGGTAAACCTATTTCAACTGGTCAGGATGCCAGAGAAACATCACCAGTGAAAATTATTTCCTCAGAATTAGTGTCTCTTCCTAGTACTGTGTTAGAGTCTACAAGAGTAAAATCTAAGGAAGAAATAGAACGAGAAAGAAAGGCTCGAAAAGATGCTAAAAAAATGTCTAAGAAAAAAAACGAAGAAAAGAATCAAAATGAAAATAAATCGGAAAGTGATAATCATGTTAAAATGGAGAGTAAGACAGAGATTCTACACAAACAGAAGCCGACGGCTCTGGCTACGATTACTCTAGAGAAACAACATGTGGACAAACAGAAGCCACTGCAACAGATACAGAAAGAAAAGTCATCTGCAACATCTCAAGGAACAAGTCAAGAAGGTGCAAGTGGAAAATCAAAGGCAGATTTGCGGAGAGAGAGGCGTGAGAAACAGGAGGCTCAGAGGCAAGCAAAAATAACAGCTATAGCTAAACAAGAGCCAGAAAAACAACACAAGGGGCAGGTACAAGTCCACCTTGGTAATGATAAAGTAAAGCTTCCCCAGAAAAAAAAGAAGAGTGGATGGGAAGGAGGAAGGAGATGGAGAAAGAGTCCAGTGGACAACTACCAGACCGGTCATAGGATTCCCTTATTGGGCCATCTCACGCCACACTCTTCCCAGCCACCCATTTATCCTGTCAATTGTGATGCCATCCATCCAGCTATTCGAACTCTTGGATTGAAAATGAAGGTGATTATCTTTATTTATTTTCTTTTTCAGGACTCCTTTTTTTTTATATTCTATGGATATTAAACATTTAAATTATACCATGTATCAAAGTTTTAACTTTTATATTGTGAAAGTGTACTTTGGATTAATATCCCAAAATCATCATAACAGTATACAGAAATTAGGAATTTTCGTGTTGTGCCACAATAGATGTCTAACATTGCAGACTTGCACCAAGACTTGCCAGATAAGGGGAAGTTGACCCCTGTTCAGTAGACATGCACTGGTAAATGAATGTAGAATGCAGCATACTGTATCCACCCAGTTTATGAACCCCTGATTTAACATCCCACAGGGGTTAATATCCAGTGTTAAGTCAAGTCCTGTATTTGGAGCTTTATCAAAGTCAACATCCAGTAAAAATGTATTATGGTGGTTATTAAATTTGTCAAGCTTGCCACTAGGTAACCAGGCACAACTTCTTTACCTCTTGCTAGACCAATACGTTCCAGTATTTTTGTGGATTGGGTGTAATTACCTAGGTGTAGTTACAGGATGAGAGCTACGCTCATGGTGTCCCGTCTTCCCAGCACTCTTTGTCATGTAACACTTTGAAATTACTGTACTGACAATTTTGACCTCCATCAACTTCTTGCCTAACTTGTTCCAACCGTCTACCACTCTGTTTGCGAAAGTGAAATTTCTTATGTTTTTCCGGCAGCTTTGTTCCGTTAGTTTAAATCTATGACCTCTTGTTCTTGAAATTCCAGGTCTCAGGAATTCTTTCCTATCAATTTTATCGATTCTCATTACTGTTTTGTACGTTGTGATCATATCACTTCTTTTTCTTCTATGTTCTCGTTGGGCATATTTAATGCCTCCAACTTCTCCTCGTAGCTCTTGTCCTTCGGTTCCGGGAGCCATTTAGAGGCATGTTTTTTTCCACTTTTTCCAGTTTGTTGATGTGCTTGTTAAAATATGGGCACCATGCAACCACTGCATATTCCAGCTTTGGTCTAACAAAGGTCGTGAACAATTTCTTTAGTATTTTACCATCTATATATTTAAAAGCAATTCCAAATTGTTTTGGGTCACAATTGTTAACCCAAAACTGCCTAAGCAGTAGTTGGCTGATGGTAAACAATCATTTGCCAGTGCTCAAGCACATCACCAGTTTGCAGTTCTGTTTTTTTATGGAGTCAGCTGGCCCTCATCCTTACTCACATACTTTGTGTAGCCTCTGCTAGGACTGGTTACCTGCATTAGATAAATAGCTTTAACATCCCTTAGAATATTTTTGTCATGATGTGACCTGTCCTCAGACCAACTCCATTCCATTCAGCAGTCAACCCCAAATACGCATTCATAAATTTTAACATGCTGTTTATTCAAAACAGAAATTTTCTTAAATATAAATTAATATTATTATATACTGTATTAGCATATTGTGCATATTTAGGCCTTGGTTAGGTTAGGTGTTTAGGTTTTATTGGAGATTATTTATATTTGTAGTACGTGGGTGAAGCATTTACAGTGTTGTGGTTCGAACAAAAGTTGTCAGTGAAGCACTTGTTCCGGAAGTGTTCGGATGTCATCAGTTGTGAGTCATGTATAAACCATTTTTCATTCATAAACAGGGGGTTTGGCCATTGTTTATGAGGACAAGCTGCTTGATGGGAACCTGTCTTAAGGTTTGCTTCTTACTGTACTTACACTTCTCAGTTGTATATTTATGTTATCCATCTTGCATGTTCTTAGCTTATTTTTAGCTCTGATATACTGTATATTGTTTCAGAATCATCTTTCTTTGTGTCGTTTCTTATTTTTGGTTTCCTCACCTGAGTTATCGTCTCTGAGGGGTTTGGGAGTCGTCTTTTCTGGGGCTGCTGCATTCCAGCTGCCCCAGTTTGTGGGTAGTGCTTGAAACTTGATCATCATAACATTATTGATGGAAGCTGATTTTAGTTAGTTGACCAGACCACACACTAGAAGGTGAAGGGACGACTGATTTTAGTTAATTGTATGCTTAAACAATCATAATTATATTCACTTTAAAAAGAAGAAAATCATATTTGCACTTAGCCATGCCTTGTGTATGGGTAATGCATTTTGCATATCTAGATTTATGCTTGGGTAGTGATGATTTGATTCCATGCCACCGTACACTCTTCCTTGACTGTGATTTGTAGACTTTAGTGTAATTACCTAAGTGTAGTTACAGGATGAAGGCACTGCTCGTGGTGTCCTGTCTTCCCAGCACTCTTTGTTATATAACGCTTTGAAACTACTGATGGTTTTGGCCTCCACCACCTTCTCACTTAACTTGTCCCAACCGTCTATCATTTTGTGGAGGTCATCTTTATTATCCCTTATATCTGCCATTGTCATACATTCGTAACAACTCTCAGAATCATTCCTGTTGTGTCTGGGAACGTTATTTACCTTCTCACTCTGCTGGTTGGACACGATGGATCCGTCACCCACACTGAAACCAAATGTTCATGAACTTCACTCAAGCTCATGTTCTCTTTAATTACTTTTATTCATTTCCAAACTTTGAAAGGCTCAATAGTTTAAGTACATATTCAAGCATATGCACATTTATTTTCGACTGTAATCCATTCATATTAGTGACATAATCATTACAACAATCATCCTATATTAGTGACATAATCATTACAACAATCATCCCGTATTAGTGACATAATCATTACAACAATCATCCCATATTAGTGACATAATCATTACAACAATCATCCCATATTAGTGACAAAATCATTACAACAATCTTCCCATATTAGTGACATAATCATTACAACAATCATTCCATATTAGTGACATAATCAATTCAATAATGTTACTAATGGGGGAAGAGAGGAGGCAGTCACAACAGGATATTATTTACATCAAAACTTGGATGTTTAGTTAATTGTTTTGGATTCTTAAACTGTGCCATAAGATATAATTTAGTCCTGCTTCTGTTTTCAAAAATCTCTTTAGATTGCTAATGCACTTCTTGCTAACAAGAACTGATTATTTTTTTATTTAAGGATTTAAATTCTTAGATTATTAGTTCTTCAAAATTGCTAATTTTTAAAGTAAATAACCTCAGTAGAAAATGAAGAAATTACAAATTAATTCAATCCCAACTTAATAAGGTTTTATATTTTTTAGGATCGCATTGTGGATGGCTCAACAGCAAGAGTTGTTTCTACACTGGCTGCGTTAAAGCGATTTATTAGCGATTATCGAACGCCCGAGTCATGTGATCTTTCACGTGATTTAGCTGAAAAACTACTTCCAAATGTGGCTTTTCTCAATGCATGCCGACCTCAAGCAATAGCCATGGACAATGCAATTCGGTAGGATTTCTCTACTTATTATTTTTAATCAAGCTGGTCTAATAAATTTTTAACCCTAAAACATTAATTTCAAAAGTATTCTTACAATTCCTGATAAGCCACCACTTTGAGGTGTCCTAATTCATTGACCTAATGAAGTAAATTGTTTTAATTCTTATGTTTTCAAAATTATTCAGATTTGTTTCTTGGTATTTCAGATTTTTAAAGCACAAGGTCAATAGCATTGAGCCCAACATGCCTGAAGCACAAGCCAAGGATGAGTTACGAACATCCATTGATGAATATGTGCGGGATAACATTAACCTGGCCAGTAGCACTATAGCTTCACATGCTGCATCTCTCATCCAGGATGGAGATGTTATTCTCACTTTTGGATAGTATGTAAACAACTCTTATTTTATTTAATTATTGTGAATTTAATTATAAGTTGAGTGGTAAATAGGGTATTGGATGGAACAGATTTATATTTGTGTATTCTCTTAAATTTGGGATTAATTTATTTGCAGTTTGAGTTCAAGGATATTGCTTAGAATTAATTATGCATCCCTGGTAGGGGGTGTAATATGACTTTGTCAAAATTATTTTCATTCCTAAAATTCCAGGGCCCATGTGGTACCTAAAGAATGCCATCACATAAAAGATACTTTCATAACTAATGTATAAGTGTGCAAGGAAGGCCTACTGTTATTGGGTCACATAGCCTTTTGGTGACAGATTTTACATTTTAAGAATTGTTAGGGAATGGGGTGTGAAATGTCTTGAGCGATATCTAGAGAAAACATAGCATCACCAAAATTTCTACATATGCCACCACACTTCAAAATCACTATGGTTTATACTCTATAAAATGGTGTAAAGGTATTTTACTTTTTATGGTAACAAATAGGGTGGCAACCACTAGAGCAGTTGCATAAATATTGAAACCTTTCACCTGCTGCTTTGTTGTAATTGCCACAAAGATCCTCGTTCCACTTTATACAAAGCATTACATTTCTGGTTGGACTGAACATGAGTTCAGTCATACAACAACTTGTATTTATTAAAGCACCAATAATCCACTCCCAGTACTCATCACTCCATTCTTGAGAGATGTCATCAAGAGAGGTGTTCAAAGATTTCAGTATTCTTGAAATACATGACCTGACCTGTAATATATGCCCATAACCATTGGTATAGCATTTCAGTGTGTGAGCAGACCCCCCCAGAGATCATCTCAGCCATTCACCCCTTCACATGAGACTATTGTTTCTCAGCTTGCATGTATTTTCTCGTCGTTGTGCAACTTATCTGATGAAAAGTATGCAAGTAATGTTTGCTTTCTTTTTATAGCAATATAGACGGATCATTTGTCTATAACTTAGCCATATTTTTGTATTTTTTTATGATTAATATTTAAATGAATTTATGATTAATATTTAAATGAAGAATGGTTGTGTTACTTAACATATGTATATTCAGCAATACCATGCATAAACCATTATTCATATATCATTTATTATTCATCTATACTATCAAACACTATTTTCCTAACACTTGCACAAAATTCATAATTATAACACAACAATTGACTTAAGAAAAGAAACAAAGTATTACAGTATAAACGTTTCATGCAACGCTGAACGAGGCCCAGAGAGGGCAGGACTGATTCCCATCAAGCATATGGTAAGGGGCTTGACTGCAAAAGTGTTGAAAAGGTAGAGGAAAAAAGATTAAGGATAATGGGAAAGAAAATATATTTAACACAAATAAGTGTATGTTCCAAGGTTGCTATAGTGTGTGTGTGTGTTCCAGGGTTGATTTTGTCCGGGTACATATATACCAAGTTGACTCTTAGTTAATAAAGCAATCTTGGAATATATATATATACAAATTAGAGAATGCACCAGGGGGTACATGTTCCTAGTTTGGAAATCCCTGATTTATATAAAGCAAAGAATAGTGAATTATGATAAATCATGTAAAATCTACTTTTGTTCTTTTTCTTAGTTCTGCCCTGATGTATGAGGTGATTGAAGCTGTATATAATGGCGGCAATATAGTTAGTGTTGTTGTGGTAGACTCTCCATACCCTTCTTCTGGTGCTGCTATGGTCAAGAGACTGTCCGCCTTGGGTGTTACCACTTATTACCGGCTTATCACAGATGTCACGCATATTATGCATAAGGTAAATAAATGTCACTTCTAAAATATATTGTACAGTATTTTCAATGTTCATTATATTTAAAATATATCTTAGTATATATATTTAAAACCCTAAAACATGTATGCAATAATGTCAGATGGCATACAGAAAGCCTATCTTTTTTAAGACATATTTATAGACATACTATAATTTCAGGGAATGTAATACTATACTTGTTAAATTATCATAGAGAAACTATTTGAATATCTCAACCTGATAAGGACCCCAGGGTGAGTTAAAATTCTTTGACTGATGATTGTAATGTAAATCAGAATTTCAGGCTGATAAACACATCTGCATGGGGCATATATATTCAGGTTGATAAGGATACCAATGTGGGGTGAAATATCCAAACTGACCAGGATCCCAGCATGAAGTGAGATATCCATACTGACGATGATCCCAGTGTGGGACGAAATATGCAGACTTAAAAGATTCCCACAATGGGGTGAAGTATCCAAGCTGATAACTTAAGCTTTGGTTGTAATATTAATATTTTCTTAATATTTATGATATGTATATGCAGTTTGTGTTAAGGTTCCTTTCTGGTGAAGGCCTGGAAAGGAACCAGTAGTTGGGAGCTATCTCATTGAAAAAGCTCCAAACTACTGCATCACATCAGTCATGTTCTGATTAGCCTACAAGGGACCAGAGCCAGAACCTGGCCCTCCCTCAGAGGTGTGGGGAGCAGGTGACATACCACAGCTGGGTTCAAAGAGACTAAAACCTCGAAACTCGCCAAGATGAATTCCCTAAACACTATAAACAAACTATCAGATCTCTTGAAACAAGTGTGCAGTCATTCACTCCACCCCTACAACTTCTTTGGGGGCTGGGGGAGTCAGGGCCCACAGGGGCTGTCCACGGCCCTCAGTTCTGATGCTGATACAGAGTGAAAAATGTGTCTGTTTTCGGGCTACCTGGTCATCATCAAGCTGTGAAAGGTTCAAATGCTTCTTGGCTAAGTGTCAGCCTTTCTTGGACTTAGTCCTGTGTGGCCTTGTGTGGTGCATTGTTTTGGTGTAGCATGGTCCTGGTCTCTATAGTGCATGGAGCTGCATATGCTCAGGGCTGCCTTTCTTGAGTGTTCCCTAGCACTGCCTCTGCACTGACAGTTTTCTTCTCCAGTGTGTTTGGGAGTTTACTCTCTTAGAGGTCCGTCCTCCTTGGGGCGGCCCTTGCCTTAGGCGAGTCGGGATTTAGTTGCCCCTCTGTCTTGGCCTGGGTTGGGTGCGAGTGTTGGCTCACTAATGGTTCACAAGCTTGTATTAACAGTGTGCTGAGGTTGGCCTTCACAGCTGAGTGGCCCAGGTTGCATCAGCTTACTTTTAGGTCAGGCATAGCATCCCCAGTGTTTTCTATCTTCCATTTACTGTCTTTGGTTCATAACCAGAACTAAACTCATCATGACAGACCTGAAAATAAGTGGAATACACAGAGACTAGTCACCACACACATTAAATTAATTATATAACTATAATGTAAAAGCGTAACACCAATAAACGTGGCCCAAAGTGCATAAGAAACCAAGTTCCAGTGATTATAACAAGCCAGAGCTTGGACAGCATATTCTCCAGTGACTTCCATAGTACATTATGATCCTATTGGCATGCTTGAATATTCCATTTGGTGTCATGGTTTGCTCTCCTGCCTCATTTGCACAATCCATGTTAGAGGTTACAGTGGGATCTTATATGACAGAGCAGCCGAATGTGAAATTGTAGGAAGACAAGACATGATGCGCTTAGCTATCATCCTGTAATTACAATTAGGCTATACTGTATCTTTTTTTTTTTTTTTAGGTGACCAAAGTGGTGGTGGAGGCAGAGGCAGTGATGATGAACGGAGCCATTCAAGGAACTTGTGGCACCGCTGGATTAGCCCTTGCTGCGGCTAATCATGATACACCATTTATTGTGCTCTGTCATACCTACAAGTTTTGCAACAATGATCTGACTGACTCTTTGGTTATTAATGAATTAGGTAAGTGGAGAAATTCTTCTTGTTTTTTGTTTTCTAGTATTAATTATAGCAGGTGTTCGTCTATAACCTTTTCCTTTCAGAGTGCAGCAGGATCGTATGTGAAGTTTACGGGCTATTCATGCCCGTGCCACCTCTTGGGTGGCTTAATCTATATCAATCGTATGTGAAGTTCTCTTGCAGTCCTATTCTTGAACATTTCTTGTTTTCCATACTTCACAGTCTATTCTACCTAAATGTTGGGTATAAATTTCTTCTTTACACCTCATTCATGCCCTTTTACTTTTTTGTTGCTTCTCTCTTCTCCATATACATATAACACCAAAGACATCCATCATACATCATTCGAGTCAGCTAAAAATTATAAAACGAGTTCTAGAATGCTTGCTACTTTCCTCTAAGCCTAGCTACTTTTACTGCACTTTTTGGGGCAATAATATTTCCAATTATTTCAACACAACTAAAACACCTCATGTTGTTTCTTTGATCTCACATGCCATACCCTTATGCTATCTCGCCATTCCCATGTCTTTTTCTTGTATGACCTCGTCATCTATACAGAAGTACAGTACTGTATTCAAGTTTTGTTATATAGCTCATATGGCTAAGTATTAGTGACTGGAAATTTTAAAACTGCTTGCTTACCTTCTTGTCCATATCCCAGGTATTAAGGTTAAGATTTGTTATGTATTCCCTGTTGCAATAATACCTTTTGGATTTCTAGCATTTAGTCATTTGGGTGTACAGTATTTGTATAGAGAAGTGTCACATTCTCAGGGAATTTTCAGCAAAATAGATAGTTTTTTTGTACGGGTAATAGAAGAGCACGGTTTCTCACTTATTTAAACAGACATGTGATAAAGGTCCCTATAATTCATTTATATCTTGTCAATAATATATATCATGTACAATATGAAGGAAGTTGATATACAACCGTGGATATCTTCAAGAGGAAACTAGATTTATTCCTCCAAGGAGTGCCGGACCAACCGGGCTGTGGTGGGTATGTGGGCCTGCGGGCCGCTCCAAGCAACAGCCTAGTGGACCAAACTCTCACAAGTCAAGCCTGGCCTTGGGCCGGGCTTGGGGAGTAGAAGAACTCCCAGAACCCCATCAACCAGGTTATGGGAGAACCCTTCCTCAGTAGCTTCCCTTGTAGCTTGCACTCTGGTGAAGCTAATTCCTTGAGGAGTGCAGGAGGCAGGCCTCTAGAGACCCCAATCTGATTTACAGGGAGGTAGGGCCAAAATCTGCTGTTTTTGGGAGAACGGAAGCTTGGTGATAAGAGATTGACCCAAAACCAAGAAAAACCCACAAGAAAAAAAAGGTGAAATAAAACAAACATGATGAAAGAACTAAATTCTGAAGCAAACAAGGCAAAGGATCATTGACTGTTACGGCATTAAGCCCCCAGGCTGCTGAGAGTGTCCGTGCTCTTGCATGCTCTCTACTGATCCCCCTCTTCTGGCCATGATTTAGTCTGTAAGATATTGGTACATTAGTGTGTTTCTGGCAGCTGTGGCTGTTCTCTCCAGGATTGTGGCATTGGCGTCTGACCCTACCTTTCCTCACATTGATCCCACAATCCCTATTATTGTGTTACTTTTCCGGGGGCATGGTTTGGAGGGAAGAGTTAAGGGGGCTTTGCTTGGCACTCTTTCCTTTTCTTCCTGCTAGTTTTGTGCCTTTGGATTTGCAGTCTGTTCAGCTACCTGCAAGTGATCGTATTTACTTTTGCACGGTTTTGGTGGGTTGTAGTGTATGGTGCACCATTTATGAATTGTGTGGCATTCATGGAGAGCATATTTTGCCTGGCCCAGGGAGATATGCTTTTCTTTCTCTCTTTCCCGGTCTAGCTGCTCCTTTCCATGCTGCCTGGTTTGGGGCCCTTTGTGAGTAATTAACAACTAATATTGTGTGGTTGTTTGCTGCTCTAATGGATTATTTTTCCATGGCTACTTTTCAGAATAAATGCTTCTGACAGTCCTGAGGTTGGCTCTTTTTTTTTTCTTTTCTTTGCAGGTGGTCCTTCTGTCTTGGCACACCTATTTTTTTACCCTAGGCCCTCATTTTCCTGCCTTTTTTTTCCACTAGTCAGCCTAGGTTGCTTTTTCTGTTGTCAGAATTATCAGACTCTATTGAGGTGCTCTCAATAGAGTACTCAATCTTCAATATCCTCAATACATATTGAGGTACTCTTAATAGAGTAAGCTTGGGGAACTACTGAGAGGTCCTGGCCAGAAATTAAACATTGAAAGTAATGAAATGCCCATTTCTGGTGTGTCCTCAATAGCACTGCATTCCTGCTCTATTCCCTTCTTTCCTGTGGGATTACGTACTGCCAGCTACATAGTGAGGGGCCAGGCCGACCAAGACCCCAGTGACTCGAGCGACAATCTGGTAGCAGTGATGCATATTATGTTTAGGGGTTTAGGGTATTTTGCACTAGCAATAGTTGTCTTGTTTTCCTAGTGGTGCAAAGTTTCCTTCGAACAGGTTCTTGTTTTATTACACATACTGTTTGGTGGGTTTTATGCAGTATTGCGAGTGATCCCTTGCTCTCCTGGCCTTATAGAGTGAGCCAGATTCTGATTCTGGCTCCCAGTAGGTAACATATGGGTCTCAGAGATGTCTGGTGTGCTGGCCTAAAGCTTGGTGTTACCAGAGTGAAGCTCAGGAGCCTAATGGGCCCACATTCATTTCTTGGTTTTGGGCAGTAGGTCAGGGTAGGTTTAGTGCGATTTCCTAATGATTAGCAATACTGTACATACTACAGTACATACTAAGTATATACGTACTGAGGAGCCTCACCAAATGAGCCTTTCATTTTGTTCAATGCTTGGTTATTTATTACTTTTACCTGATAGTGCATTTTAAATATATTGTTTACATATTATTAGTGTAAATACTGTATATGCAAAGTTGTGTTCAATTATTTGTGGAATGTTAAATTTATATTTAACTGGTATAGGACATTTACTTGTGTAAGGGCACGAGATTAAAAAAATTGTGCCCTTACTCTGGCTGCAATTGAAATATATCTAGTTGTAAATTGTTTCTCTCACACAGGAGATGCAGATACTGTAGTCTCATGTCCATCAAAAGAATACCGTGATCTTCTTGCTAATTGGAGAGAGACACAGAATCTGAATGTTGTGAACCTTGTCTATGATGTGACACCAGCCTGCTTAGTTACAGCTCTTGTTACAGAACAGAGCGTTTTGCCTACGTCTGCAGTGCCAGTTATCATCCGTCGCAATTATGCTGACATTCTTGGCCAAGATTAAGATATTTTATTTGCAGGTTTTATGAATATATGAAATGTTTTAAGATATTTATTACATTTTCTCAAATTGTTTCCTTAACATTTAGAAATTTGAATAGATTTATGAATTACGTTGTGTGAAATTTACACAGTACAATAGCTTGCTAGGGAGTTCTCATTCTCTATACGGTACAGTATATGGCTGCCATCTTCCACAAAAGTAACACATTTTTTATTCTTTAAAAATCATTCAGTTGCATCGAGAATTCAAGACCAAAGTAATCTTTTGACTGGGCAATATAATTCTTCCATTAAATTTTTGTTACAACAATTATTTTTGTATCTATACTGTTTATTTATCTTAATAAAACCAGGAAAAAGCTGAAGTCTAAATGAATTTTGTTCTTTGAATCTCTTAAATGTACAGTACTCAGAAAAATAGACATGATTAATGCATAGATAGGGAAAAAATGGTAGTATCAGAATTCATAAATCATTGTAAAATATAGTAAACCGTTAATAATATACTTGCTATATGGGCATGCTTTAGACAAACCTTTTTTCCTTCCAAGATGAACCTGTCTAACCTTGATGCATTTCTCTGGAACCTAATCTTATCATGCATTGTAAAATGCATTAAAGATTTTTTGTATCACCTCAAGGAATAAATTTGTTCATACTACACTGTGATATTCCATTGTTTTTTAATTTTATCCTCATCCTGTCATACTTTTAGTTCTACTTGATATTCAAACATCTGGATGCAGTGGTCACTGGGTCCTAGTGGAGCAACATATTCAGTTCCTCAAATTTTAGCCTTATTGATTCATCTCGATTGCTTATTTGACATAATCATGTGATTACCTCTTTGTAGTCGCAAGTATCAAGCCATGTTTATGGTGCAGTGCTAAATAATGTCAGCCTTAGTGCATATTTATCAAAAAGCACTGGTGCTTAGTCTTGCCCTAAATCCCATTATATCCTTATTTGTGGTGTTACATATTTTTATTTGCTTATTTTTTACACAATGTTAGTAATTTGAAAATGTGCCACCCTTTTATTTCTACCTACTGATTGGTTTAAACAAAAACCTACCATTTCTTTTCTTACATCCTTTTTTAATACTGACTGGGTGTACCTGATTTTATTATATGTCCAGGTCTCGATCCCCCACTCCCAAATTTTCCACTGCATACCATACCTCTGGAATCCATTTCTTCTTGGCTACCATTTCAGTAGGTTCCTGGTACCACAGAGGCATATAAATGCTACCAGGCCTACTAAAACCAGATTCAGAAATGATCCATTTATAGACGAGAGGTGCCTGGCACCAAACATCAACCTAAACGGAAAAAGCTCACAGGACTGTTAGCTAGCTCTTTCCAGTTTGTCCTAGTTGATTTACTAGAAGGTTAATCTACAAGGGAGACCAATCTGCAAAATGGTATATATGGAGGATTAATTGGTCATCTGTGTTTGTTTGTGAGAGAACTGTATATGTTGATGTACTTGACCCAGTGAAAAGGGGGCGAGAGTATTTATTATTATTGAATTATATGTCGAGGCCTAGCTCTGAGGATTAAGTGATTTCTGCCCAGCAAATTGATAAAGAAAAGAGCAGTAGCCTAGTGATGAACATTTTGGTAGAGACTACAGAGAAGAATAACAACATTTATTGAGGCAACGATCTCTGGTGATGACAATGTTATATTCCCAGGGTATTGTTGGTGAATGGCATTTGATGACTACTTTTGTATTTCTTAATATTTATATATTGTATTTATGAATGCCATAATTTCTTGAGCTGATGCTTGACTAAATTCTTGAGGTGATTGTGGCTAAGGTAAGAGCTGCAAGTTGGAGACCCCGTCCAAAGTACCATCAAGTCATTATATTTTTATTTTCTTGTGTGTGTAATAAATGTGTGTCTGTTAGATAACTTTGTTTGTTCTTGTTCCTATGAAAGCTCTAAGTGAGAGAGAGTATTACAATAACTTGATCTGAGAACCAGATAAAGAAGAGAAAGCAAGGGAACTTTGAAGGACACCAGAGTTGAGGAGAGAAGGGTAAGTCAATGTTTACTCAGTTCTTGGGTGTGAACACGTGACAACAGGTTACCGAGCCCCAAATTCCCACCGTAGTGACATTAATGCCCTGATAACACTTGGCTAAAATGAAGCCATAAAGGGCAGACAGGGCACTAGTTGTTGTCTCGACCACACCAAGTGAATGATTGTTAGGGGCAGCCAACAAGGTAGTCAGTTTACAAGGCTGCCATATGGCGAGACAAGTAACTAGCAGGTGGGTTTGAGTGGTCCGTCTAATTACGCAAAGCTATCCAAAGCATCCTAGCATTAGGTAAGTAATTAATAAATATGATATATTTACTCACTATATTGTTGGTGTTGAATGTAGAACATGAAAAACATATTTTTACTCTGAAATACTGTAATATAAATTTATAGCGAAATTAGACGAAACTAAGTGGCACGAGAGGCCATAGGATGTCGGCGAGGTTATATTATCATCATTAACATAATGCTAGGAAGCTTTGAGTACGTTTGGGTAGTTTTGGGTAATTAGACGGATGCGGTTTGAGCAACAAGTGTTTACATAGTTTGTGTCTGGATTGCCATATACTGCCATACAGATGCTTGGAGTGCCTTGGCTGAATATCCTCAGACTTCCCTGCCTCTATTAAAGGGGTCAGATTCTGGTTCTGGTCCTGAATAGGCCCATAGGTGGGATGCTTTAGGCTTGGGAGCTAACCAAGCAAGTAACCTGGGGAGTTACTGAAGGGAGCCCCTCCCAGAAATGGGATTAGCAGTAGAAACCTAATCCCAAAACTAAATGGTTATTCTTACCCTGTTAATTAAACATATTCTATTCTAGTTTGTTTGCACTCGATATCCCATTTTCACATTCCTATTTTGTTCTCAATATCTATTCATATTGCTTTCCCACAAAATGAATTAAAGAATAAATGGAAATGCTTTTAATCCACATACCTGTTCACACTGGTGAGAGGTGTTGGGATTCGGGTCAGTGAACTTCTCCGACATCATGAAGTCTTGCCAGATTACTGAACTGATCAATGTTCATTCACCTGGCCTTCGATATACTTCTTGACAGGGGGTAAATAGCACTACATGAGGATGTTTAGTGTGTATATGATGAATTAATGCCTCTTTTATTTTATCCTCTGGGTCCATCGCTCTTCATTCCATTCATGTAGGAAAATAATGATGTGTATTTACAGCCCAAATCAGAGAAAACAATACATAAAGGCATCAGAAGTGTCAGAGGTAGGTCAGATGATTGTTACACTGCCATGTAACACAATCATCTCTTATTTTATTAACACTTTCGTCCAGGGGCGACGTAGTCTGCGTCAATAAATAAGTTGACGGATATCCACTGGTAACGCATTTTGCATCAAAATTTAAAATATGTTAAAATGATATTTTTCATCCAATCATTTTGGGACTAGTTTCAAAATGCATGCCTTTAGATTGTGAACACTTTGATATTAAGATAAATGACGTAGCTCGAAAATTGAGGTCAGAACACTGGAAAGATTACATATGTTAGTGTGGGTGTGCACTCCGAGGATATGCCAGGCCCACCTTGGGGTGGGTTGGGGCACGCTCACCGGTGTGGGCGGATGTGTTAAGTGTTTATTGTGTGTTATTAACCATCATAGTATTTCATTCATTAATATTTATGAACAAGAAGATTTCTGATTTCTGCAAACTTTTTAGAGGCTATCGTGCATGAAGAAATTATCACGCTTCCAATTCATTGATGCTAACTCCATTTTAAAAAAGGACTGCATATTTCCTAACAATCCTTCTTACCTTACTTGTGAAACACATTCAAACCAGATATATCAAAAAAGTTTTAATTACATATTTAAAAAATTGTACTATAATAATGCACAAACAGTAGATTTTCTCTATTGTCTGGAGAGGTGTTCTGTTTTTGAACAAGCTTTCAATTAACCAGATACAAATTATATGGCTATCATTTAGTTGCACCAAGTCTTCCTATAAGTTGCTGGGCAAGGCGTAGGTACGTTAAATCAATTTGAACCGAACTACTGACTCCAGACACGCCTGTGCTAGTGGATGGAAGAGGAGAGACTACAGGCCGTCGACCCAACCATCGCATGAAGAATGAATTCTGCAGGACAGATTTTATATGTTAGTTATAATTAAACAACCTGCACACTGAGTACAGTTTAGGTCAGATACAAAAAGTAGTATAGTAAGACAAAAGTAATTTAACTTCAATTTAAAAAGTTCCAATTAAACAAAAATATACTGAAGATAAATTCTATTTGCACTACTGTACACAACAAATTTGTGTAACAGAAGATCTCATATAATTAATAAATAATGTAAGAAGTCTTGACCAATTCTTGAAGGAAGTATCTGTACTATAAGAAGACCTTACAAATTAAATTGAATAGCATAGGGGGCTAAGATTTGTCATACACCGACCAACTACATCAACTGGTTCAACAGTTATACAGTACTGACTAGCATTTATTTACCTAAGTGTATCCTTGTCATAGATTTCTCATTGAATAGATTTAAAAACAAAATGTATGTCAATTACCTATAGGAAACCGAATAGTCAGAAGAGTAACATACCATTTCATCGGCCAGTCCATGACGAACTCGAATTGCATCTCGTGGAGGGGTTTCAGGACTCATTAAAGCTAGTGTAGCTTGTGTGAGAAGCAGTAACAGGGCCTGCTCTGCACATGTAGCTAATACTCGCATACACAGGCCAACTTCGGGTGCACCGCCGCGGCATGGAGACACTCCACGACTTTCCTGTTGGAATTATAACCTCTTTAATTCAACTTTTTGTAAAAAGCCAATGTTGAATGTAATGTAATGCCTCTTTCTAGTTGGGCTTCAGTGGCTCCCTGTAGCTAGCTGTACAGAGATAGCTCCACACTTGTCATATCAGCCTCAGGAGTTATTAATACTGTAGTCTACCGGAAACCAGGGTCAGAACTTGTCACTCCCCCCCTGCTGAGGCACAGAGAGCAGGGTATTCTTTATGATTACCTTCACCAAAGGAAATATCCAGAAGGTAAGCAAAGCAAAATAGATAACTGTAAAGCTTTACAGTGCGAGATAAGGGAATTTCACGACTGTCTTAAGCTGTGTTAAGTGAGTGCACAACAAAATATAAATCAGCATGAAACAGTGCAATCTTGAATCTGGTTTGGGACCTAGGTCTGCTTTGTTGGTTATGAACAGGTAGCCCTCTAGCTGGGTAGGCCAATTGTAGTGCAAGGGTTGTTACATATCCAGTCCCTGATCAATCAGAGCCAGTTATACAAGTCTTCATTGGAACTCAAGTGTTCCCCAGCCATGGTGGAGAGAGAGGAGTCGAGTGACTTTTTGCTGACCCAGGCGAGAAGGGTAATTTCACATGGTCAGTTGGAAGCCTGGTCCAACTGGGGCACTAGGTTCTTATTTTTTTTGGCAGGCACTAGGAATGTCTGCCAAAAAATGCACCAAATGCAATCTTCAGGACAGAAGTGGCTACGAAGGACATCAGTGGCATGCCATATATGTACAAGCATGTGAACCGTAGTGCACCCATTAATCAATAAACCCCAAAATGCCCCCAACCTCAGAGTGCAAGGGTCATTGACAAGGAGTCAATGACCTTTGCACTACTCAGAGTAAGGCACCCTTCACAGTAGGCTGGCCTAAAAAATAAAAGGAAGGTTTGTAAACACACACAAATGAAGCTAACACTAAATCTTGGAATGATACTCAAGCAAATGGGCCCCACATAGGACAGAGTCCAAGGGACAGAAAACACTTATGTAGAATATGTTGGTACCTGGAAGGCCTGGCAACTCAAGCAGCAGTCCTCACAGGAGGACATCATCAGTGTTGGCATGGGAGCCGGCAGCTCCCAGGGTGTTACTTGGCAGTGGCCATCTGTAACTAGGGTGGGGAGGGTAAATTAATTACCAAATAGATCATCTGCAGAGTTGTTTGTTTTGCTAATCTTTTCTCTGTGAACCTTGCAGTTGTATGTTTTGCTTCACTGAACTTCTGGATGTTTCATTTGGTGAGGGTGATCGTTAAGAATCTCTTGATCCCTGTGCCTCTGTGTAGGGGACTAGGTTCTGGCTCTGGTCTCAAGTAGACTATTAATGACTCCTAGAGCTGATGTGACTCGTGTGTGAAGTTATCTTTGTGCAGCTAGCTACAGGGAGTCACCATTCAGTCCCTCCAGAAAAATCACTTATCCATTCATTATATTATTCACACTACACGACTAGCATTACTGATACACAAGCACCGCCACAAGCCAGGAGTCATCCTCAGCAGCATCCAATTGCTTCATAAGACCTTAAATTCCTATTTTATCAATCTCACATTTCAGGTATCTGAACTGACTGATCACTTCAAAAACTTCACCATTCACATCTATTACACACAATTTATTTTTCTCTATACCATCATAACTTTTTTTTTTTGTCCACATTTACTTTTCAGTCTTCTCTCACTCACAAGAAGTTTCAAGAAGTAAAAACTATATCATACATTCAGGAAGGTATTTAAAACTTGCAATTTTCTGATATACTGTACTGTAGTAATATCTAACCAGTACAATATATATTTAACTTGCCTTTGAAGCATGACTGTCATAAAGGTCAAGAACAGATGTCAGTGAAGCCAGGCTTGGCTGAGCATTTGGATCATAAGCAGAGACTGGACGGAAGGATGGGTGGAAGTAGAGCATCCATGCTCCCACATCTATCCCGGGCCCACATAAAAGGTCCGTTAAGTCAGGACCTGATGAGCGGATGGCACCAAGACAAGCACACAACACCTGCAGATCAAAATTTGTACTCATCATATCTTTACACATTAAAATTAACTATTTTTTCATAAAATTTATACTGTATATTATAAGTACTGTACATACATAAAATCAGTACAATATTCTTTAAGCATTATGATAACATTTCTGTACTAACTCATTAATAATAATAATAATTATGGTAGGCATACAGTGGAATCGTGATTGAGAAAGTTAAATTTCAAGAATAAGTACAGTAGTAGGAGGCATCCTGCAGTCTCGGGAGACTATGGAGTTGCGCTCTGCTTGTGGAGGGTGGTGTGTTCTCTCCAGGGTGTAAAGCCTGGGTAGGTTGATATGGAGAAGAAGATGTTACCCATGCAGCAGGTCTCCACGATGCTGAAATGTTGCAATGGAAAGGCAAACACCAATGTGCTTGGTTCCAGCGCTGTCGCAGGAGCTGCCAGAATATGGTTGAAGTCAACAATGAACTGCCTCAGGGGCTCCAACTCAGAATTTTTCCTTGAGGTTGATTCCTGAACCCTGTCCCAAAAGTGGGTATGGTCATGAGGCAATGAAGGTTTGAGATCGGGATTTTCCTTCCCCTAGATGAGCTGCCTTCCTGGCTGTCAAGTCCCATCTATCCGGAGCTGCTGGTTGTAAAGCACCAGAGGCACGAGCTCATGTATGAGAACTTGAAGGGCTGCCCCAGGAACTACTCCTGCAGCAGGCCTATTTTAGGCCTAATTTAGTGTATGCATGTGCTTTTGATAAGCATAAAAGTAATAGTACAAAACATGGGTCTTTTTTGTACAACAGTCCATTTTGTACGTTCCACTAATATCTGCTGTAAATACTACCATTTTTGGATAACAGGTTAGAAAACAGAAGTACATTTAAATGATATGTTGGACATAAATATTTTAGAATTTGGAGAACTAACTTGCAACATTTGATTGAGAACAGCTGTTGTATTTGCAGTAATAGATGCTGTAGCAGACATAGTAGAAGGATCAGAGACAGCAGATATAGATGATGATGTTGCAGAACTGCTGATACTTTTCTCTCCACTTAACTCCATCTGTACAACCTGTCAATCAAGCCACACAACTCTTATTATTAACATGAGATGACAATCTACTTGTGTCCAAATTTGAACTTATTTACCATAATTTTTTAATAAAAAATATTCTTCTTTTTTTGTAAAGTTTACTTTATTCTCTGATTTTACTAGATAATATAATTTTTTAAGTATGGTAACAATTTGCAGTGCTAGTAAACATTAACTCTAATGGGTGGAACTTTGTTGTATGAAATATCAAAGCTTCTGCTTACACTAAGTTTTCATCTACTTTATTCAATTTATCTTCTACTGTATTCTCTTTTTTTTGCAACAGTTAATTTACGTAAACAATTTTGGCAGCTTTGTTTTATTTAAATAAAATCCAAGACCTCTCCTCAATGCATGTCATAATTTTGTGATGTTACTATGTTACCTCCCTTCTTCTGTCTACTAGTTTCCTGGCGAATACTACATCAAACAATATCTGTACTCATTCCTCACCAGGCACACCACTATCATTTGGATCACTAAATCCATAAAATGAGCTATTTTCATCATATTCTGTATCCACAAGTACATCATATACACCTATTTAAATTAATAATAAGTAGAACGAGGGGACAATGGTGGAAGCTGGACACGCAATTCAGTCGGAGAGGTATAAGGAAATTCTCCTTCTCTGTGTGGGTGGTTGGCAAGTGGAATGCCTTGAAGAGGTTGTAGAAACCATTTCTATCTTCAACTTTATAAAAGAAAAATGATAAAATGGTGAAAACATTAATATTGACAGAAGTAATTAGCACTATTTATAAACTACTAGAAGGCAAGGCATGAAGAACTACATCCGACTCCCTCATAGTCACTGATAGGTAAGTACCAGGCACTGGTAATTGTTTTGCATGCGGCTGAACCATTCAGCCCAACATGGCATGGTTCCTCACTCTCACTGCTCATCTTACTGCTTTCATTCTGCAGGATGTAGTCAAGTTTGCTACTCGATACATACATTTCTCACTGAGACAGTTTAGACCTCACAAAAGACAGCAGTTAATCTTATGTGTGATCAGGAATCACTTCAGTGGGTGCTAAGTGTGTCAGACCTTTTGGCTACAGGAATGATGCCCAAAAGAGATATTGGGAATGCTAGGAGGCAGAAAATGTCACCATAACATGGCAAGACAAAAATTTTACATGCACAGTTAAATCACTTTGAAGTGATAGTAACAATGAAAGCAGTTTCACTGCTAACTTTGTCCCTTTTTGAAAAATCTTTAAGTCTTATCCGACATTTAGAAGCTTAATTGCCCAAATTCTTAGTACATATATCTGAAGACTACAGTTGCTTCCTGAAATACTGACCCAGAGTTATTACAGCTTCAACTCCAAACTTGAGGTTCTTACTCACTGACCATATACAACAAGTGCATCCTAAGTCTTATTACCACACACCCATGAAAACTGGTGTAAAAGTGTACATATGTTTCTCCAAGTAATGAACATCACATTTCAAGAGGGCTTACTTGTCTACATCAAGGTACTTAAAGATTTCATATATAAGACAAATACTGATAAAAAACTGCAAATGAATTTAAGTTTTACAATGCTATATTTAGGAATTATGGCAAACTAGCACCCAGCATTTGCCTAACAATAATAATAACAAGTAACAATTCTACATTCAAATGAATGATGTATATTATTCAATCATACATGTATATTATTAGATTATACTCTATTCCTAATGCAATTTTGTAATTTTTATGCATTTACAATATACATGAAAGAAGGATTTTCTATTCCACCAATCCAACTCAAAGCCATAAGTGGGCTTCAATGGGTGAGGCCACAATAATAATACAAACCCTAGGCGTGCAGAGCAAGTGTGTCGTCAGGTGAATGCAACGAGTAGTGGCTGCTGTCAGCTGGGAGTGTGACACTGGATGCATCACAGTCCATAATGAAGCATGAGGAGTGAGTGCTGTCACTAGGGCGGCAGTTGCTAGTGCAAGGCGTGGTTGTCGATAGGGAGCTGCAAGGGACCCACACAGTGCAGAAAGGTGGACCGCAGCCACATTCACCCCACCTTCCACCCCACCAACACCCTCACGAATAACACCCCATACCACTGCCCACACAACTTCACTTAGTAGATTGGTCTGTCAAGAGAAGAAAGCATTAAAGATAAAACATACTGGATTATTTCACAGCTTCATCATTTATTTGGGTCAGTTTTACTGATACTGAGCATTTGTATTTTCAGAGCAAATAATATATACTGTACTGTACACTGAAAGGAATAATTCTGCTCTAATTATTTTTCTCTAAAATACTATAATTCAGTAATGTATAATACAGGTACAAGGTTTTTACAAATATTAGTCCAAAATTCTGTTTATATGTTTTACTTACTTTTGAAGGGGGTATGACAAGTGTTAATGTAGATGAAAGTGCATGTGTGGAGAGTTCCTCTGAGAACGGTGAAATACGGGAGAGTGTGGCCAGTAGACGTAGCAATTCTCCTACTACTTCTTCCTCCCCATTCTGAAAATATAAAGTGAATATAAGCTACAAATAAATCATTCTTAACTCTAATAGTTATTAAATAACTCAATAGAGTTCTAATAGAGCATGGCAATTTCACATACAAGTGCTTGTGCAATTAGTATTGGCAGTGGACCAGTTGTGTTGTTTTCCTTCATGCTTGCCATCCACAGCTGTTGGTGCATTTCTACAAGTCTTATGTTTATTTCCTTAACTTATTTCCCTCCCATTGCTGTATAGCAAGCTTAGGTAGGCAAACAGTCCCAGTCATTATTCCATGTTTAAAAGGCCATCCAGAGTGCTTGAGAGGAGGGTGGGGGTTGTAGGGTAGAGATTTTTAACCTTTTTAAGCTCTCAGCACACTCAACGAGGCTCCGAGGTAGTCAATACACTTCATCAGTGCCTTGACTACTAACCAACCAGGCTCATCAGAATCATCTGAAGCCAATAAGGCAGTGACTCAGTTAATGTCTTTGGATGAGAGAGCAGTGCAAGGACTGCATGTTAAACTTATTTTTAAAAATCTCATTGCAATACAGTAGTTCCAGTAGTACCATGAAGCTCATGTTATTACAAAGTATGTACAGCAAAAACAATTTTAGAAAATTACAAAACATTAAAGAACATTTATTCCTAAAATTTTCTGTTATGAACAAATAATAAAAGCCCACGCTAATCTACAATTAATGGTTTTAGCATTTTATTTTAGTATGAGCCATTATTTAGAAAATAAAAAGTCAACAGGGTTTATTTGTTTATTATTAAAAAAAAAAAAAAAAACAGCGTTGATTGTAATGAAACGCAATTTTCTGGGTGAACCCCGGAGGCTCCCTGGAGCTATTGGACTGATATGCAATATATTAGTCTAGGCCATTAGTTAATAGAGTTCAGCCTACCAGGGACCATGGGCCAGAATCTGGCCCCTTCAGAGAGACAAGGGAGCAATGGCCTCTGGAAAGTACCCTTGTGGTTGGGGGTATTCCTTGTCTGCCATCGACCGGGGTTAGGCACCCAGAAAGGAAGGTACTGTATAACAAACTCTACTTGGTAAAAAAAATTGCAACCAAAAACCGAACTGAGAGGCAGAACTCCTGCAACTCTCAAGGAAACAAGCAAACGTCACACTACCGCCGCTGCGCCGCTTGCCCGCATAGCCCCACCACCCGGGAGAGGAAGGGGGAGCCCTGGACCCACGCTCCGGATACTCACACACTCCAGGTTGGAGGCTGAGCATCAAAAGCAAAACGAAACCGCAGACCGAAGGGAGGGAGGGTGCCAGGGAGTCTCTGGGGCTAACCCAGAAAATGGCTTTTCATTACATTCAACGCTGGTTTTCTGTGGAGAGTCCCCTTTGGCTTCCTGGAGCTACATACCCCAAGATAAGTAAAAGAGAGACTTACCCAGGAGGCAGCTGCCAAGTGCTCAACTCAAAGTCAAGACAATTGGCTGTAACCTGTGACCCAAAGTCACTCACGAACGCCCAGGACCAGGAATGTTTACCAAGTAACAAACAGCCAGGACCCCATTCAACTTCCAAAATCCCCACACACCCGAATGTCAGCCCAAGACATGTTGCCGAAGACAGCAGCCAAAGCAGCAAACTTATGAATGTCATGGGATGAGGATAAACCGCAGGCTGGCTAGACTTAATAACCCTGCAAACGACCTGGGAGACATGAGCTCTGGAACAGGTAACGAGAAAACTGAATCAATCCAAAGCACGTCCCTGGCCACGAAGGCCAAGGCGAGCAGACAACAGTGAACAGCCGCAACTAGACACAACACTTGATGCACCCCCTGACCTGACCAACCAAGCATCAATGACCCAAGGGCCCCTTCGGAAAGCCTATGTCTCGTTCTTCGCCAGAAAAGGAGAAGGGCCCCCCCTCCCCCTTGCCTCTCTGAGAAGGGCCAAGTTCTGGCTCATGGTCCCCGATAGGGTAAACTCCATTGATTAATGCCCCAGATTAATATATCGCATATCAGTCCAATAGCTCCAGGGAGCCATAGGGGCTCCCCACAGAAAAGTGGTTATACGGTATGTACCTTCATATATATCTCTACAGCGTGAAGTAGTGCGTGCACAACTGGAGAATGTGCTAGATGCTGGTGGGCAGTCTCCTCATTACATCGCAAAAGACACTGGTGTAAGATGGACGTAGCAAGACCTAAGGTTGCTGCAGACGTGCAACTGTGTGTCTTTGGCCCAGCTAGCCTACCATGCTGCTGCACTAGACCCACCACAGGACTCAACAATGCCAGTACCTGACCTACGAATTTGAATAGTACAAAAATTTTAATAAATGGAAGCATGTTAACTTGAAATTAATTTACTGCCAAAACAAGGTCTTAATAATGCTTAGATATACAAAGACTAAGTAACTTATCCCAATCCATCATGTGATCATGATTGAACTCACCGAATTGTGCTTGCGGGGGTTGAGCTTTGGCTCTTTGGTCCCACCTCTCAACAGTCAATATACTGGTGTACAGATTCCTGAGCTTCTCAAGCTCTATCATATCTACATTTGAAACTGTGTATGGAGTCAGCCTCCACCACATCACTTTCTAGAGGAAGGACTTCACAGACTTCCTAGATTGTGTGTCTGATTAACGGAATAAAATAGTTTTATGGTCATGAAGTGACTATCACACTACACAAATAAACTCTCGGATCCTCATCTCACGAAGAATTCCTGGCCTTGCAGAATCAAATCACCAAGAAGACCAGGCATTTGACATTTTAATGCAGCAACAGCTGTCAACAATTTGCCTATCTGTGGGATACTGCCTGCCTCGCTCACCTACTAGCTATAATGGCTAGCAATGCCACCAGTGTTTGTTCTAGCTAACCTTTATCAGCAGTATACCTACTGATAGTGTTAATCTGAGTTTTATCATCATAATTTTGTCTAGTTATCCTTACAGATCATTAAAAGCACACTTCTGAGGTGACATTTCATATTCAAGGATTTCTGAAAATTATTGATCATGTACATAGAAAATATATACCTGTACTGTATTATATATATATTTAGATTTATATATTTATATATATAAAGTATTTACCTATTTACTACCTATTTACTGCTAGGAGAATAGGCGCATTAGGTGAAGTGAAATTTGCACAACCATTTCCCTCACACCCAGGAACTGAACCCAGGATCCCCAATTATGAGCTGAGAATGAAGCCAACTGGACTACTTTGAGTGGAACCTCTCATGAAGTAACTTACAGAGTGGAAGACAGTTGGAACATATGAGAAAGTGGTGGAGGTCAAAGCTTGTCACCAGTTTCAATGCATTATATGACAAAGAATGCTGAGCTGACTAGTGATTACTAGAAGGCTTTCTTGGCAGTCATTTCAGCAGTGTTCTGGAGAGGTGTGATTTGTTATTATTGAGCTACCATCTGCCATTCAGTGCTGAAAGGAACTCTCTGACTCCTTAGTACCATGTCTTAGCCCACATGGATAGTTTGAAAGGATTCATGTGGTAATGGTACAGAAGTTGTCCAGCCTAACTGAGCATGAGCCAGTTCACAGCATACAACAAAATTTACTTTAGAGAGCAGTAGAAAGTGATACCTCATTAAAACCTGTGAATTATAGAATGCCTTTTAGAAAATTAAATGGGTACCTTGTGATTGCTGGGACACTTCTGTCAATGTAACCATTCTTAGTGCAGCACCTAAGATCAGGAGCTGGCAGTGGGTTGGTGTTGACATCACAGCTCCCTGTACCAGCATAAGCAGCTTCCCTATTTTAATAAACACATCTGCCTTCTCTGCTAACTGCCTGCAATGCAAAATACAATATACATGTAAGTAATGTTTTGATTGACTTTCTATAAGCAGCACTACTAATTTATTCATCAATTAAAATATTGCTTCAAATTATTCATTTAAGTAATTTATAATATGAAAAAATTGATATCAGTATATAATTGCATAGCTAAAGGATGCAAGGGAATATTTCCCTCTATGTAGCAATAAATACAAATTATTGATATATCAGATGCAAAAGTATTACAAAATAAAGTATAAATATTTCCTTGAAAACAATAAGTCACAATAATGTGACTGAGAAAGCAACCAAACCCACAGTTGAAATGAAGTGAGAGTAATGACAATTCGCCCTATCCTAGACGCATTTTATGTCACTTGAAGTGTGGGAGTTGGTAAAAAAAATTATTTACATTTCAAATGTTAGATCCCTCAAAACTTGATAACTTACTTCCCACAATGTTTGACAAGTGATAAATATAGCTCAGCCAACAGAATTGTTAATGGCTCATCTGCTGTCTCCAATTCTAATTGATGAATCAAGGCATGAAGAATGTCACTTGCCAAGCTCACCTAAAAGAAAACATACAAGATATTGATATAATAATAATATTTAGGTATTAATTCAGCAACTGATAAGAAAACTACTATTTGCAATACTGTATTGCTAGATTGCTAAATACAAAGTTACAAAAATGTAGGGATGAGATAGATGGATACAATCTTCAATGCACAAACAAGGGTTTGCAATCTAGGGAAAAAATTCAAATTAACTTTCCATTTAATTACACAACTCGTATTTAAGCTAAGGTCCCAATTCTTTACTCCTACAACAGTGATACATACTTTGTAGAAGATGCAATTCCATCCAATATGTAGTGTGTTGTTTTAGTTAGTTCAAAACTAATTAAATCCTTTTGATATCTTTGAATAATTAATCTTTAAAAGGCACAGAGCATGTCAGAGCAAACACACCACCGGGAAGACGGGACACCACAAGCGTAGCTCTCATCCTGTAACTACACTTAGGTAATTACACAGACACAGACACATACCTTTTGATGATCAGTGAGCCAAGACTTAGCTCGGGCTACTAGCACAACCAGGAAGTCACGCCAGGCTGGTAACAATAATTCACGAACATCTTTATTGGAGCCGGATCCACTTTCTAGGCTCATAGTGATGTGCTGGAGAGGAAAGAGGCTTTATTATATTAATGATTTGAAAACATTAGTGAAGAAATACTGTATTTTATAATGGATATGATGCATGTTTTTGGTTCACCAAAAACTGAATATATATTGCATATGCATATACAAAATTGTATGTTTTCCTCTGCAAAACCACATGAAAATCACTTACAATAAATGTATGATGAAACCTATTAACAAATTTTATTTCCACAAAACAAACTTATGACAGGTGTATCTTATATGATGGAAATATGGTATTAACTCCTATACTACAAACAAGATAACCCAGCAGAAAATCCCCCCCCAAATCTCTGTTACTCGTACATTTAACAATTAGAGCCTAGTTCTTGCAAACAGGTACAATACTGTACAAAATAAGAGCACTCCAGGATACTGTTAAGAACTCAGAAAGGTATGGATGAAATGTCTATGGAAATATAAATTATGATGATAAACAAATATTCAAAATTTGCAAATAGAGAGGGTCTTTTGTAATTTGAAAAGATATACCATATGAAGTTATTTATATCAAATACAGTACTGTAATATGATGTCTTTAAAATTTTTAATCTTTTATAGAGAATTCTTAAAATATTAAGTATATTTGAAAACACTCTCAAAAGAAAAAGTAGCATGACAGCCTTAATACAATAAGAGCACTTTCTTGCACCTTAGACCAGAGGCAGATGGTGCCTGTGTCAGAGTTACACAACTGATCCATGGCAGACTTGAGACATGTGGAGGGTGTGTGTCCACTGGGGAATAAGAACAAGTGTCGTGCGAAGACTTTCAACGTGTGACCCACCACTGCATCACTCACTTCCCCTGTACAAGAATACAAAAGAAACCATGAATCAAGTAGGTTTATATTTCAAATAGATTACATGGACAGTATAAAATTTTAGTTAGAGAAGGCAGTAGAAATTGTTAATATACATGAAGGCAAAACTGGTAAATATAAAGTGGAGAGTGGAGAGTGCGTATAAAGACAACAATAATTTATATATTAGAATTTAAGAAAATATATAAACATTTCAGATAATTGATATATACTGTATATAAACAAATATCTGAACCTTAACTCGAATTACTGTTTCAACAAAAATACTGTACAATATGTATCAGTTTAAATAAATTAATTGGGACCAGCACTCATTCAGACCATCCAGACTTCCATTGCACAAAAAAGTTGGCTCAGTTTCAATCATTTTTTATAACAATAATTGAATTTTATTTACTGGAAACCATTTGTACTTCTTAATATTTCAATATGCAAATGATGCAGAAAACATGTCAAAATATAACTGTGTAAACAAGACTAAATATATGCAAGAAATTTTATTTATTACTGAGCTTTGCAGTGAAGCTGCACTTGCCTTGTGACTCTCCAAAAGCTCAGTGATGTGCCTTAAACTACTGGTATTAATGTCATTCTATGACCAAGTTCGTTACAGTATGGCCATTCGAGTTTTAACACCACTGCCCTTTTTTTAAGGAATACAGTAGTTCAATATGCCACCAAATCCCAGAAGAAAGAAGGAATGACTGTGTGAATGGGGAGCAACCGAGAGGCTGTTCTGAAAATTGTAATTCATTACAATCATTGCTATATTTCTGGACTAGCCTCCTTGGTAGCTTCCCAATGATTTGCTCAAAGAGAGGAACATATGAGGAAAACTTACACAAAAATATAAGTGGTGACTGGTGGGCTGTGACAGTTAAACACAAGGGCTTCAGGAAGAAAACCTGAAGAAGAACAACATGCCACAAAAGAACAATGAGAGCATGGAATACGCGACAGGGTTAAGTGCAGTCAATACCCAGGAGGACCACTAATAACCCTACATCCAGAGACACTGAAGGCATGCAGCAAATCACAACTGCCAATCAATAAACACAACCAGGAGCCCCATTACACAACCTACAGGTTGAACCAACCACAAGAGAAAGAAGTGGAGAAGAACCAACCACAAGACAAATGGCCGAATACAAAACCCAGAATGCAGAAAACAAGGCCCAACTGAAGTACTGCAGATCCAAAAAGGGAAGCAGACAAAAAAACACCAAGGGAAAACACAACCCCAAGAAGTGAAACTTCGAGCAGCAGAGACAAGAGTAACATAAAGGCAGAGAATGGCACCCTGAGAAACCCTGAACAAATGGCCAACAGAAGGCTCCCAGGAAAAATTGTCACCGAAACCAACCAAATACCAAGGAGAAGCAGGGAAGGCTGAAAAACCCAGGAAACGAAAAACCTCAAACCCACATTCAGGAGATCCATAAAGGAACCCCAACTAAGGACATCTGTGGGCAAACCCACAGCAAAGAAATTTCCACCTGTGATGGAAGCAGTGCTTCTGCAACAGAGAACAGTGAAGGCAGCAGCCAAAACACATGCAGCCAACCAGACAAATGAAACAAACATGACAAGAAAAGGGTGGAAAGTCCCATCATCATCCCAACAGCAGCCAAAGGCTGCTGAAGTCCTAAATCAGGAACAATCAAGGAAACAATAGTAGACTACATACGACTTCCTGCGTAAAGTGTGTATATACTTAAATTATGCGATGTTGTATCTAAGACCAGAGCTTAAAAGTGAAAAATGTCCTAATATCTTTAACCAATATAATATTGATATATATAACAAGACAGATAAAGTAATGATAGTTTTGAGTTGTAATGTGATTGTAACATATTCTAAACTAAAATAATATTAAACACACACATACTGCTGAGATATGAAAAATTGTCACAGGTTAAATCAACACACTTTGAACTTTCATTCTTACTGACCTGGTCGTTCAGTAGTAAGTGGATGAATCAAAGCCTTCCAGAAGACCTCTTTATCCTGAAGGTACATTGTGGCTGTTGTGTATTTTTCACTCCATAAGGCATCCAAAAGTTCTACTATTGCCAAGGCCAGTTCTCGTCCAGATTCATTTCTAGTCTGGGGAATGAAATGCACAAAAGGTTGTATCAATCAAAAAATATTTTGGAGCTAAATTATTAGCAATGAAATACAAAAAATCTTCCAACTTATTAGAAGGAAAAACAATCTTCAAGTAATCTTTAATAAGCATTACCATAAAAATTGACCAAGTTCACATTTCAGCAAGACAATAACACGACACATGATCTTACACTCCGAGGTAAGGGTATCATTATCACAAGTTTACATACCAAGTCTAAATTCTCTCTGTATTATTTTACTAACACATTAAAATACAATACAAATAATTTATTCAAACCTTTTTTATGCATGAATTTGTTGTATTTAGAAACATGCTAGGGCAGTTTATAACTATCTCTTAACAACATTTGGTGGAATAGAAATATGGTATGAAGATCATAGTTGCATATTTTTTACACAGACATTATTTAGAGTGATAAAGATACAATGCAGATATGTAAATAAATTATGAAACAAATATTCTTATGTTAAAAAACTAAACATTGCAATCTTACAGCTGAGATTTTAAAACTGTTAACAAAAATGCAGTACTTGTTATGGAAGTGTAGATTATCATTTTTTTTTTTTTTTTTAGAAAAAGTGACCAAAACTGAATTTGAAAGTAAAATTGTAATAAACTACAAAAAATTAAATTATTCATGTTTGTTGGCAAGTGTTTGTATATATAAACATGAAAACAAGATTAAAAGAACCTGCAGAAGGCCTACTGGCCAATGTGAGACAGTTCTCATTTACCGTATATCCAAATATTTCCACAGTTTTCACGTATTTAACCATATTAGAAGGTTTCCAGCAAGTTTACTTCTATGATCTTACTCATTAACTTGTTCTACAGATCTGAAGTACAATTTCCAAACATTTTTTTTCTGTTTTAAATCTGAATTTCTCTTAATTTGAGTCCATTGTCACAAATTTTAACTTGGATTGATATTTTTAAATCCCTATTTATAATCCCCTTCTTAAATACTTTCATCCATTTGAATAAGTATAAGAAAAGAAGCTCAACAAGGTCTATTGGCCAAGGCAAAGCATGATGACCAAATCACACATCAAAAGATAAAGAAACGACGCCGTTTCAGTTCGTCCTGGACCATTATCAAGTCGTGGGTTTGGTTCATCCTGGACCTAACACAACTTGATAATGGTCCAGAACGGACCGAAACGTCTTTGTTTCTTAATCTTATGACGTGTGGTTTAGTCATCATATCTTCAGCCACGTTATTGTGACTCATCGACTGTCTATGCAAAGCAACTCCTATTTATACCCAATTTACACTAATTCATATCTAACTACAGTACAGCTGAAAGCCTCCAGCGACTCTACGGCTATTATCCTAATCATCAATCTGTTCCATGAGCCAACAATCCTCTTTCTAAATTAGAATTTACCCAATTCATTTCAGAATATAAACTTATTAGATGCAAATTAAGCTTTCTTACCCTTTCTTCATAACAGAAGTTCATAATACTCAGATATTACAGCAATTTTGTCATACTTCTCTGCATATATTTTTAATATGTCATCTGTTTCTGAATGTAATTCAATCCTAAGTTTAGTTATATGGCAGGTGACAAAACATCAATATGGTCATAACAGATAGGAAACCAATGTGCACGCACCGATGGGTTTGCAAGAGAAGTTAGAGGGTCCAGCAACTTTTCAGGCGGGGTGAGGAAGGCATTTGTAAGGCCTTGCTGACGAGTTGTAGAAGCTGTTAGGAGACGCAGCAGAGCCACTTTGACTCGTACATCTTCTGTTGCTGAATCCAATCGGCGCAATAGAGCATCTCGAATCCCATCAGCTTCACCTCCAAAACATGCCACTAAAGGCACATCAAGTTTCTGAAACATTAGGCAATGTGTTAACTAAAATTCCAAATATGTATTTGTATCTAAAATGCAATCTCCCACTGTTTAGTTGAATAACCGGTGACATTTCCATGCAAAAGCTGTCACACACTAAATATTGGCTGGGTTTTTAGGTCAGCTGGCTGCCTAAATATTGGCTAACTAATATTGGCTGCCCAAGCGACAGACAATATATATTCTATGTTTCCTGTGAGCATATGGATTTAATAATGTGACAAAATGCATACTAGTGAGTATGTTCCACTTCTTGTGAACTGTTCCCCACATCATTTAACATTAATATATCTGACATCATATTTGCCTTACTATTTTTATCATCCAAGTTCAATAATTAGAATGTCATGTTTTCCATAACCACCCATTGCAATATTTCCTTGTGTGCGTGTATCTTGATTTCCTTGTGTATTTCCTTGTTTATCTCAACTACATGCCTTGTATTCAAATAAAAGTAATGCCCAGATTGGACTAATCATTCAAGGTTGCAAAGATGTACCTGATTGTGTGAGCAAAAGAAATACTGTACTGTATACTGTGTGATACAATCCAAATTTTTCTCGAGTTAACCCACATTTACCAATGGAAAACTTAACGTGCCTATGTTCGGGGGTTGCTGCAGTGCTTATTGATGAACTGCAAATACTGTACTGTACAGTATTGTTGAATTTGTTGTTTTGATGTGAAAACATAAATCAATAACAAATCTAAGAAAACAAAATCTCTCACCAATTCGTCAACCATAGCAAAGATGATAGTTCACACAAGATCCATCTCAAGTGAAAATTCCTACCTGAGCAAACCGTGTCAGTGTGCGAAGAGCCAAGTACGAGAGCCGAGGGTTAAGCCGCTGGTGAGCATACAAGGCAACAGTTAGAGCCAGGTGTGGAGGACTGCCACTGCCCTGTGAGCGGCCTCCACCCCCCAGTGTCACGCCCAGAGATGGAGCAGCTCGAAGAAGCTGACTAAGGCCACTCATGCTGCTCTCTTCACCTACCAGCCTAGAAAATTTCCACTCTTTGGATATATGGTGCTCATATTTTGTATTATAATACATTAAAATAATAAGGATGTTATAGCTTTCAGTACAAAAATCTGAATAAACTTTCATACAACATTTAGAGCAGAGACTAAATGCTTGCATACACATTTAGAGCAGACACACTTAATAGTTTTTGGTTCAAGATCTCCCCCATCCCCCAATTACAATGATTTAAAAGATATCTCTAAAATCCATTACCATGGAGACTCAAGGCTCAACAACAAGAGATTTCTTTTGCACCACAATACCTAAATCTTGAAAGTTTCATAGCAATATACAGATGTGTTCTTCAGTTATCTCATGGACCCATAAATTTTGTTTTAAAATTTATTAAAAAAAAACTATGATGCATCTTAATAAGAGATACCTAATTAATTTAGTTAAAATTATGAGATCATTATGGAGGAAACCTAAAATCTCTAGTCATGCTAACACCCAAATCTGAAGTTGTGGTAAAAATAAGGAACACATGTAGTGTACTACCTGTGAAGAATGGAGAGAGCCATTTGGGCTGTGCGAGTTAATCTATGTGCATGAGTTGAGATGGGAGAATGCGTCGGATGGTTTAAGGCCGATTCCAAGCTTGCACCACTCACAACCACTGACAGTAATGTCTGTCCAGCACTGCTTCTGTCAACAAGCTGCCTTACTACTAGATCACGCACACTAGAATCTGTAAAGAAATTTACTCTTTATGTGAAAAGAACTATCCTTTTTTCAGGCAAGTGAAGCATTATGTAATATCTGGCATGCACAATTCTGCCCGTGAAATAATATTCTGAATAAGTTAAAATTTACACAGAACTGTACAATACTTAACACAGTGCTCACATTCTAATGATGCACTAAACACAATGTTAAAAGCTGATAACACAATACGTATACTATACTGTATTTGGTTCATAAAACTTTAGTGAACATGAATTTCTCATTAAGTGCATAATGCCACATATACAGAATAAGAAGCACTTACGAGGTCATTATATGCATGGGACACCTTTACGAGTGCCAACAAGCATTGCTGCTCATACCTTCTCACGTGTTTGTGGTGATTTCATTGGAAATCTAGTATTCTGTACTGCAAGTGGATATTCTATATACATAATCCAATAATGAAGCAGCAATAAGACAAATATGAGTCATAACTGATATGGTAAAGAATACTAGAAGATACACATGTGATGCACCAACATGTTATAAAAACAAACGTCAGGCTGCTATAAAGCTTAATTCACCCAAATTTATTTCGGTTATGGAGGCGTCTGCTATAGACCTATGGCTGCATCTAGTTTTATTTTCTTCTTCTAAACCAGGGATTTCATTATACCAACCCCTTTCCTTCCATGACTCTCCCTACCATCAATTTCAACTCCAAAAGTATGTAAACTACATAACTTAACAGACTTAACAGTCATATAATAACTATGCTAAATAAAATCACAATAAGAGAAAACCTCACCCATGTTGGAGCCTTCAAGTGTATGGTGGAGAAGAGCTAAGCAGCGGTCAAGTACAGTTTCCCTTTCATCCTGGCTGCTGTAACACCAACGTAACAAGGTGCCTGCAACTTCTCTAGCCATGAACACGATGCCTCCACTAACACTACCACTGCTAATATCTCCCTGCCAAAGACATTATTATTTTATGGCAATGATTACAAAAATTATCATACAGTCAGGATTTGCTTCCGAAATATATATGGCAGACATGCCTTTAGAAGACTGACTAATAATATTTTGACACATTAACCATTCCAAGAATACAGGAAGGCTAACTAAACAAACCAAGCCAATGTGTCTCCTCAGAAAATCTTTTATCCACTGTTATATGCATTTTATTAATTATATTGTATAAACCAAACAGGAACAAACCTTAATGGCAGCAGTAAGCAAGCCAGTATAGGAGCAGAGTATTGGATAGCTTCCTGTGGCGGCTTCCTCTCCACAAACTAATGCACGAAGGCGGCCTGCACGATAGCCAAGGAATGGATCCACTTTGCCTCTCTTAATTTCTACAGAAATTGAAGTACAAAAGAAGTTATGCAATTTAGGAAATTAACACATATAAATATACAAACATTAGCATTACATTGACTGCAATATCAAATGCTACATACCTGTCAATTCTTTATTGTGACTTGAGAATATACATTTACAAGTCATCTAACACTCACATTCATTAATTCCATTTCTTAACATCCACAGCAAAAACACAATAAGAAACAGTATTAACACATTTTCTTCTCATATTATTAATAGCAGCTCTCTTCAAATTTATATTTCTTTTTGTCCAGTTACATACTCATCCTCTAGATTTACTGAACTTAAAAACAGAGCAACTTCACTTGCCCAGATTAATGAGTGCTAGTGTACATTTGTCTGGATAAGGTGGTTGGCCAAATAAGGCGAGTTTGTTGCAGTTTCAACATATTATTGCCAATAATAATTAAAACACAGTTTTCAGCTTACTGTATGTAAAAATACACATGTAATAAGATGACCTGTAATGCATTCTTAAAAGAAATAAACAAAATAAAATGCAGGAAATCTAGTTTCGCTAACTTCAGTAGAGACGAGATGTTAGCTTGTCACCCATGCATGTCCAAATGAGGTACAGGTACTGTACCTATATTTGTTATAAATACATGAGATAAAAAGACAATGAACAAACCACCATTTAGGCTGAAAGGTATGTTAACTAGGTAGCATCATATTACCAAAACAGTCTAGCTATAGCTAGCTAGCTAACTGGCTAGCTTTGCCTGCTAGTCTTAATTGTGGCTTGTTCAATGGCTCAATGGTTCATTTATTTATGTAAAATATATATAGGCTACAGTATGCAAACCATTGGGTACAAATCCTAATGATACATATAATCTAAACGGGATTATGATAAATGTGCCATCCCCCCGTCTACAAGTAGGCCAGTGCTAACCTACTCCTCTCAGTCAGTTCCTCCTCCCTTCTCCCATTACCAGCAAATGGTCTTTTTTTTTCCTGTATGCACTAACTTTCAAATGTTTTGAAAGTCTTGCATTAATTTCATTGCATTTGATTATTTATGATGGGACCATTTGGATAGCTTTAATAAAATCATTCGATATGAATACTTATTTGCTAATACAATATTCACTCTCTGCCATTTGTATCGAGCCAGAGGCAGCGAACAGCACGGTCTCCACAACTCTTCCCTCACTACTACACACACCACCCCAACCAAATCCAAAAGATTACTGCATATATGGCTTATCATAGGAAATTGGCCATTACACAAAATTAGTATAAAGTACTAAATGCAAAATGTAAACAAAATTTGTTTTAATCGTTTAATATTCCTAACAAATTTCTATCCAGTCATTCTTGTTCAGTATTACATTATTCCCATATGTTCCTCTCTTCCACTGATTATCAGATTAACTAGCAAAACACTCTTTTTAACCAATCTGATTTTTCAATTATTCTACACCACCATAACATGCTGTCAAGTTCCCAAATCCCACTCTTACACTCCTGCCAATGTCTTGGGGCCTCATTTATTCTTATCATCTATGGCAAGAATAGTAAATGGATCCTTAGATTAAAAGTCTTTATCACAGGTATGTGGAGATGTCAGCATTACTAAGAAGCGGGCAATGTGGTCAGCAAAACCCTATACAGAATTAAGAGAATATTGGACAAGTCAAACTTTGAGTAAAAAGGACTGTACCTGCAGTCTGTGATGTAGACAGGAAGGGCAAAAGTGGACTTCCTTCCAGCTCTGTCCATACAAGCTTTGGCTGTTGTGTAGCAACTTCTGATAAAAATCCCAACAGTGCTGCTACCAGGGCTCCAGGGGGTCGAGACACTTGTGACACTCTGCCCATAACAGAGGAATTAATACTCAGTAGTTTTTAAATTAAATTACAAAAGTTTTATCAAATAAAACCAAAATTTGTATAATTTTTGAACAAGGTTTTAATACACGAGAGAATGCAAAAAAATGTATACACAGACCAGCACACGATGACTTAAACATAGTGGTTTCATGAATGAAGAAGGTGTAATAACTATGGGAAGGATAAAAAGTACAGGTTGGTGTATGGAGTACAGTACAAGCATGTGTAATTAATCCAAACTATTATAATGTATACAGGCTGATCTAATGAATACAGGTTGGTGCATACCTGTCGCATGTCTACGTGGAGGTTTATGTTTGTGAACTTCATAGGTTTATGAACTTATGAACTATACAAAAACTCACCTCTTCTGGAAAATCATTAAAAATAATCCGGAACACTAGATGTATGGCGACTGAGCATTGAGGGACCTCGCAAAGCAACTCTGCTACAATTTGACAAGGTGGTTGTTTTGAGAAAGGAAGGTGAAAGGATATGTGGGTGTGGTATGCCATAGTTTGATGAGCAAAATGAATGAAGTGACTTACCTTGAAAGTAATCCAATACTCTGGTAAACAAAATGAATTAAAGCTGGCAGCTGACTAGGAAGGGTTGTTAAAACAGAGGAGAGGAGCCGCATGGTAGCTGACACAGCTGTCATGAGTCGGGGATCTGGAAGGCTTGCTCCACCACTAACCTAAACAAAAATTTTAAGATGTTACCAAGCTTTCATGAATGTCATTAATGAATTAAAATACCCTAATCATGTCCATGGTCTACAAAGGAAAATATTTACATGCTGGTTAGAGTTTACCAAAATGGCAATATTTCTAGTAGAAAAAACACAGGTCAATAATTAAAGAATTGTCAACCTTTTACTTTGAGATTATATGTCCAGCATGTGCATCACATAAGAACTGCCTTCTTAAACATGTGCAAGGAATCATTCAGAACCTTGTACACCTCATATGTCAGTAGGCTAGACCCTGAGCTGTAGGGTATGAGTTACGAGGAAAGATTACTGGAACTAAGCCTCCCAATACTGGAAGACAGAAGTGTAAGGGGAGCCATGATCACCACTTATAAATTTCTCACAGAAATTGATAGGGTAGATTAACTATTTAGCATGGGTGGTACATGAACAAGGGGGCACAGGTGGAAACCTAGTGCCCAAATAAGCCACAGGGATGTCAGAAAGAACTTTTTCAGTATCAGTAGTTAACAAACGGAATGCATTAGGTAGTGAAGTGGTGAAGGCGGTCCATACACAGTTTCAAATATAGACATGATAGAACCCAGTAGGCTCAGGAATCTGTACACCAGTTAACTGACAGTTGAGAGGCGGGACCAGAGAGCAAAGCTCAAACCCCACAATCACAACAAGGCAATTACAACTAAGTGAGTACACATAGAATCATCATTTGCTGTCTTACATAAATCATTTAATATGCTGACGAAATTCACACCATGAAAATTATATTTTTTATCTGTACAGTAGTAAGTATTTACATTGCAATATTCTTTTCATAAGTTTAAATATCTCTGCCTGATACTATTGAAGCTGCCGAATTGAAGCTTGGACATGAGTAGGTCTAAGGCAGGCTTTAGGAAACTCTGATATAAAAAGTGTTTCAAAAATCTTTTCTACAGCTTTCATACTTAGCATAGGACCAATTCCTCACATGATGTGTACATCACCCATCCCAATGTGATTTGTACATCAGCTTCAGCCACTCTATCATACCAACAACATATCTTTTTAACTGTGGGGAACCCTGTATAATCACACTTTATATAAATGAACTACTTTTTTCAGTAATTCCTGTACTCTTCCAATCACTATCTTGCCATTCGCTTTGCCCACTACCCTTTGTAAACTAATGCCTCTGTAATGCTTACAATTTCTAACATGTCCTATTTTTTTTTTACTGTGGTACAATTGGATATTTTCCTATCTTCTGGAACAGTACCATTATCCCATTAAAACAATCATCCTAAAGAATTCAAATATCCAATAAATATTGGTGCTTAGCTTGAGGATATGATTCATCAGCAGCTTCAGTAACCCACGGTACTGTCATAGTGGGATAACCTGAAAACTAATACCGAGTGATGCGCATACATCTCTCTCCCTCCATCTTTCCCAATTCTGAGGCCTATGGAAGCTAATTAGATACTGTATACTGTAAATTATAAACAAAAATCTCAATATATAAGTCAGCTCTAAAAGACAAGAAAATTAAATGACTATTATAAATAGATGAACTTGCCTCATTGTCAAGCAACTTCATAATGGCAAGTAATGCCTGCCAAGCATTTGTTGGCATTTGCCATACCACAACTAAAGGATTTTTTAAGATAAGCATCCCACTTGTGTGTTCTGGAACTGTCACGGTCGGCATTAGGTGCAGAGGAGCTGTAGTAAAACAATCATCTCCTCGTACTTGTATATTCTGAGATTCACTTTCAGGAATAACCCAAGTGATGTTTGGAAGTTCACTAAGGAGCTCCACTACCTATAAAGAAAATTATTAAAAACATATAGACCATTAATATAGACCATTATATTGTATCCTTAAAGCTTTAGTCAAGTTGAAAGCCCATTTCTTGAAGAGGCATCACATAGAACCTCTCATATATTTTACTACCTTGAAAGACTAATAATATTTCAGAGAGAATTTCCTTGTGCTGCAATACAAGATGACTGGAAAAAGTGAGGAATGCCTTTACAAGAAATTTATGGAGGCAAGAGGTAGTGACAAGCAATAAACAGAAAGAATGTATTTAAAGCACTGGTGTGCATAATCCTGAAATATCAAGAATTCGAGCAATAGAACTGGACAATTTAAAACCCACAAACAAAGCAAGGAATTATATTAACATGGAGAGATATCAAGTGATAATATTGATATGTTGCTACATTGAGAACAAGCCAAAAAGGTTTGGGAATGTTAAATGACTGGATGATGGTAAACTGGTGAACAGTCAGTTGGGGGTAAGTTTGAGGGTAGTAGTAGAAGATAAGACAGAAAGAACAAGCAGAAGCATAGCCTTGGAACCCCCACCTGAATACTCAAAGGCAGGGAACATCACATAAAACTACATAGGAAAAAAAAAAAATCTAATTAGAAATAAATTCAAAGATATGCAACAAGACTTGTTCCCAAGCTGAAAGAACTGAGCTATGAGGAAAGACTGGGTGAGCTGAATCTCACCTGTCACCACATTGCAAAGATGGTATAGGGTGAACGTGATAACAATACATTACATTCAGAGGTTAACAGACAAAGTGAGCAAAGAAACAAAGTTCACTCTGAACAAAGTTCAAAGTGAGGAGCAAGAGAACAAGGGGCATAGCTGGATACAGAGACAAATGAGTAACAGATGTAAGAACAAACTAATGTAAGAGTTATAAGCAAATGGAATGTGTTAGAGCAGGAAGTGATTGAAGCAAACTCAATACACAGCTTTAGATATGAATATGATAAAAGAATATTAGAGGTCAGGAATTACATTAAATTACAAAATGTTCTGAAGGCAAAGTTTAGAAGCTGATACTCAACTCTGGAAATATATTTAGAGGCAGACGTTTAGGTAAGTACAGCACTGGCTTGGAATCCAAATGTAGCAAAACACAAAAAAGACTGAAAAAATCCAGAAGTTAGTAGCAAGACTAAAGCCCAAATTTGTTATGGTATAAGCTACAAATACATGTTAGAGGAAATTAATATAACAACTTTCAGAACAGAATGATCAGAGGGGGGGAATGATCACTATGTACAAAATATTAAGAGGAATAGACAAGGTGGAAAAAGATAGTCTTTATATATAGAAAAATATGACATGGGCAGAAGCTGGACACACAACTAAGTCAGAGATAGGTAAGAAAATACCAATACAAAGTAGGTGGTCAACAAGCAAAATGCACTGAAAGCACCCGACAGTGGAAATGTGGTAGAAATTGCCTCCACATGTACTTTCAAAAGCAAATGTGAATAAGAAGAACGTCAAATAATTTAAACATACAAGGAACTATAGCTATAGTTGGGGGTCCAAAGAGTAAGACTTCACTCCCTATAGACAATAATAGTTAAGCACACACTCACACAGTAGTGAGATATAAAATTAATTCTCTGCTTATCTCGATTTAAATCCTTATCCCTATGAACCTAGAAAATATCTTAAATGTTTGAAAATTTTCCTTGGTATACACACAATAAAGATGATAATGTGTGTCATCTGGTCACCAACCTTGTGACAGCTCTCAGGATTTGCAAGAGCCAGAGCCGTGGCGAGGGACAGCAGCGGCTCAACATTGTGTGGAAACACCTCTAATGCTTGTGGCAACAACAGCCCTGCTCCTCCACCTGCAGTTGTACATTCATCAATATTTTAAACAAGCCATTAAACTAGAAATTTTTATCATAATAAATATAATGTGCATATCATACTGTACTGCAATGCAGTAGTGGATAAAAATTTGGTTCACCGCATGTGCAAATGTTCATATGAACCATTCATCATTATTATTTACAATACAGTAAATAAAACTAAAATACACTTACATTTTATGACACAAATCAACATTATTCATGCCGTATATTACTACTAAAATATATCAGAGAAATAACGACAAGGAAAAATGTAGACAAAAAAATTTTTAATGAAAACAAGAAACGAGAGATATAAGCAAACTTTCTTGAAGGGTATGCATACCTATATATATATAACGACCAGAAGTTGGGAATGAAATAAAGATCAATATAGCTAATGGAGGCACCTAGTTAAAATGCTATGTCCAAAATTATGAAAATGCCTTATTCATAATAATGGTTCTAGTATTATTATTTAAAATTTACACATCCCTTTTAAATATAATTTTTTGTTTTGTTTACCTATACAGGACAGTTTGACTATATGAAGCTGCATGTAGCCAACCTCCTTCAGTAAGAAAAACTGAAAAATTCCTGAAAAATTCTAAATATAAAATTGTATTAAAATTTCAGAATATTCCAGAAAAACCTAAATTCTCAGTTGCATCAAAACATTTAGAAAAATTTCTAGAAAATAACTATCTACATACTAGTGAGACTATTACTGTAGTAATGCATGTCTTTAGATATCACAAGTTATATCAAGTTAAGAAAAGTGTGGTGTGAAAGGAGGCTGATTTGGAATGAGGATCAACAACATTATTAAGTTCCACTCAAGAATAATCATCATAAGAAGAGGGTGAGGAAAATTATCAAAAGTTGCCAGGAATCTGCACTTAAGTCTGCCTCTGTAGGTTATCATGATAAAGTCAAGCAAAGGAAAAAAAAAATCTGAGCTACAAGTACAACCAATTGTACTATTGTGACATGCTTCAGTAAATGTTTAGTGTTCTGAATACTGTATTGAAATAGTTAAGAATATGCGGCTTAAATAAATATAAGAGATTATATTTTTATGCATACATTACCTCAATGTGACTTTTAAAATGTCTGTCACTAAATGCCTAGTTGTTGCACAACCTTTCATTAAAAAGTGATGAAATGATACCCACTAGGAAGCCAATATTTATACTAGCAAAGACACCATTTTAACACCTTTCTTTTGAAAAACTATATCTTACTGTAATAAAAACCTCTATTACACTTTCTAATGTATTCCCCATGTAGGATATGAACCATTAACTTACATTTAATAATGATGTGAATAATAATTACAAACAATAATTACACATGCAAGCAAAACAAAATTAATTAGAAGTAAACTGGACTTCTCCATGGATGTTCCAGCAAAATAAATACCAACCTTCTTCAGCCCAAAAGAGATATGCTGGGGGATCTTGTGCCAGGCAAGTCTTTGCTAAAGAGTTTAAAACTGGTAAGCAGCCCATCCTGTCCAAGTCAAGGGATCCAGAAGCTGCACACACCAAGGAATAGACTACTGATGATGCAAGACGTAGCAGTAGCTCCTCTCCCTGATCAAGAAAAATTATATCAATTAAGATATAATGAGTGAACTATGATTTTTTTATATAACTGAATGAAAAAGTAATCAAAGCAATTCTGATAATTCATCCAGTCCTCTTGATTTGCATATAAAACATAACATATAAAACCACCATCCTAACCTAACAAGAAAAACACAAACCAATGAAACCACCTAATTTAACCAACCATTGCACAGAAAACATGAATCTCTGCAAGTATTATACGAGTTTCTAACACAAAATACTGTGTTAGTGTGATTCAGATCCCTTGCTACCCCAAAGCTTACCTTAATCGCTGTATTATTGAGAGCAGTTTGAAGATAACCAAAAACATTTCCATGCAAGGCACGTTGAGCAAGTTTGTGGTATATCTTAGGTTGAGCTGGGGAGGACTGAGCATTTGCTCGCAACTGCAGCACTGCCCAGGCTAATAATGGAGCAAGATGTGGTGTACGAGCTCCCAGCCCTGCCATGATGGGATCTAGTTTGCTGACCCATCCGCTATTGCAAAAACTATGGCCACTGCAATATAGTTGGACACAGTATTATTAAATAAATTATTATATTATAGTTCACCAATTACTCATCTTGAATTATTCATGCATACCTTGTATTAGATAAATTCAACATAATTGCTGGAACAGAAATTATCAAGTTAAAAGCAGTACCTTGTAGGAGAATCAGCATTAATTGCAAGGATGAGGAGGAGCATGTGTGTAGCATCAAGAGCCTCCACCAGGGGCCCATGACTGTCCCGTAAACCTTCTTGAATCTCATGCCGCCCACCTAGTCCTCCTCCCTAAAATGTATAGTAATATGAATATAGGAAAAAACAGTAAAATGCAGTTTTATGTACATACATAATCTATGACTACAATACACCAATGTAATTTTCATAGTGAAGGGGCCTCCCCACTCTTATGAAGCATCACTACTTCATAAGACCAGGTGTACAGTGCTCCTTATGAATTGTCATGTATACAATACAAATAAATCCATTCACTCTCTTCTAACAAACTGCTTCTACCCAGCCTAGTCACTTATCATATCCCATGGAATTTTTACACTCCTTGCTTCTTCATAAACTGACTCACTATTACCTTACACCTTCTTCCAAGTTTTCCTCTTCCCTTACCCTCAAATTCACTTGAATATACTTCAAGTGAATACTAATACACTTCACACTAGTCTCTCACCATCCATTCATTCAACATTATCAAACTATCTTGGAACACACACACACTCCTCAAACTTGCTGTTTAGCATTTTTTTTTTTATTCCACGTCTCTAAATTAATTCAAAATCCACTCAACCCTGTTTACATATCACCTTCCATACATATCACATTTTATCATACTACAAAAGGAAAACATTATGCACTCTTGCTTATTCTGTCCGATACTTTTCCATAGGGGTTACAATTTCTAGTAAAATATTGTACTAAAAGAAACCAATATAAGAATATTGAACTGAAAAAACTACATTACCTGTGCCAGCTGTACAAGCTTCTTAAAGGTGTCGGGTGTTAGAATGTGAGAGGTGCTGCCATAGTACACCAGAAGGGTGGCCAGTAACTCGCGCATCTCAGCCAGGTGGTTGGCAAGCCAAGTATGAAGACCATGAGATGGTAAATGTGGACCATGAGTCTGAAGGTTTGGTGGAACCATTCTGGTGCACAACAACACTTGCTCCACCAGACTCTCCCCAAGTGTACCATTCTTGTCCAAAACATCATGCATAAAATCAGCAAATAAACTCTGTAACAAAATTTTATAGAATATTGCATCAAAACACACGGGAGGAAAAAAATTACATGAAAATATTAATTTAACATAATTATGCGATACTGTAATAAATTATTCTTATTAAGATGAAATAAGAAATTCATATGCTATTATTAAAAACCAAGCATGGGAAAAATTTCCCTGATAAAAATCTAATTAATTTTTCAGTTAACCCTTTTGATCCATCACCACCTCCTTTCACCATAAAAAATTCCACTTAATCTTTCAATATCAGTAACATTGTACAGGACAATATTTCAATCTAATACTTGCAAAATTTAAATAGAAAACATTTAACAAAGGTGGGTTGGTGCATTCATTCTGGATCAAGTAACCAGTCAGGAAAACAGCCTTTGTCAGTGACAGAAGAGAAAGGTAGGTCAGACAGAAAAAGTGAAGTCAGTACATTTTAATAGACAGAGGCTGGACTGTGGGATGGTGCCTGTATGCCATTTTATCTGTTTGTTGAATACCTAGCCACACAATTTTCAACAATCTATTAATTAGCGACAAGAGGGTGCCCATTCAAGGAGAACATAAAAAAGTCTTTATTTACAACAAAACTTTAGCGAATCCTTAAAACAATACCATATCTACGATGATCACTGACATGTCTCCTAAAAGATCTTACGTGATGTATACATCATTTTATTTGTTGTTAACATTACCTGGTAAGGATGTTGTGGATTTGCTGTATTTGCAACAATATGTCTCAAACAGCGAAGAAGATGCAAGCGATCACCAAGATAGAAGTTCCACAGTTGGGCCATAAAGTTCTCTTCATCACGTTGATTAGCCAATACCTCTGCAAGAGATGCTTCAGCACCTCGAAACTCATACAGTAAGAATAACTGAAAGATTTCCCAGCTATGGGCTGCTGACAAATTCTAGGGAAGAAAAAAAAGCAAATAAATGTATTTTACAATAGATTACTGTATTTTCAGTAGTGCAAACAGAACATGAAATTACATATTTTGATACCAAAATCATGTAAAATAAAAAACAAAATACATTTTTGACATACTGTACATGTATTTGGAAATTTTCTTATACATACAGGTATCTAAACAGGTATACTGTACTATACTGATAGGTCATTTATACAAACATCAAATCTGGAAAAATCCACTCGTGTTCATCCAGACTTACAACAGTTACATACAAACAAGATATCACTGTAATGTACTGCTGTAGGCATGGCACAGTGGAAGATGCACACGTTACCGAATCAGTCAGGTAAAACACAGTGTGTGGCATGTAACAAGGCGGGTGGCAGCAGGAACAGTTTTGTCCTTGGCTGGGGGACCCTTGATAAACCTGACAAGCTGCATATACCACAAAATTATATTGAAGCTAAGTATGTTTTTCTTATAACTGAACAAGGGAAATATCCCAGATACTTATGCCAGACAGTCTCAAAATACAAACAATATTACCAATACTGTACTGTATTAATATTCTTTAAACAAAAAACTCACCTCCCCCCCACCCCTTCCTCTAAACAACAGTAAATATTAAGTTAGATATACATTAAAAAAAAAATAGTTGCACTAGGTTATACTGCCCAATAACAAAATGAATCTCAATTATATAATTACATAAGTGTTGTCAGTCTCAAGTTAATACACTGAGACTAAGATATCACGTGGGAGGAGGGAGAGGGAGAATACAACAAAATAGTTATCAGAAGGAATTGTTCAATTTCAATACTGTATAAGCCAATCTTTTTTGCTCTAATTAAAGTATTTTAAGTAGCAAGTCAATACAATGAAAGGTTTCCAAGACACTTAATGGAAATCTGTCAGAAGAAAAAATTAAGCAATAATAATAATAATAATAATAATAATAATAATAATAATAATAATAACAATAATAATAATAATAATAATAATAAAACATAAGGTATCCATATCAGTAATACCTAAATATCAATACAGTATTGCCATATCATGTGCACAGGATTTCACAGAAAACTATAACATTACTTACCAGCAATTGTGAGAGCCTCTTCACAAAATCCTTTTCCGATTGTGTGGCTTCTGCAGTTTGTGACCATTTTTCGTAATGATCCCTGCTGGGTTTTGCATATGCACCCAAACCTGCACCAAGATGTGGTGCTGCTAGCTGCAACTCTGCACCAACCACTTCATCCGACGGCAGAACGTATGTACCACATATAACACCCCACAAAGCTTTTCCACTGCAATAACAACAAGATATAGTTTAAATAATATAAAAGCTAAATATTTTACTAAATATTAAAAGTTCTGTATAATGTATACAAATCACACAAATGAATGTATATTTCAGAACAAGTTCACATTAACGTTTTCTCTGCCAAATAAAATACTTTTCTATTCCCATGATTGCATTTTCAAACACTCAAAATCAAAGCATTTTAGAATGTTATTTTCAATAGAATTCAAGATACAAGTGCCCCCAGACTGGAAATAGGGCCAATTTCAGAACCAATGTCAGAACTAAATTTATTAGCCAAAATGCACCTTTCTAAGTGTATCTTGACATCTTCCAACAGTTAAATATACTGTTGGAAGTATACGTTACTATACATTCATCTGAGAAAAAATGCACAAATGCAATAATGTACCATATAACCCTTTAAATTTTACAATGAAAAATAAACTGTCTTATAATTTAAGAACCGTGCACAGAATCAAGGAAAATTAATTTTATATTTATTCTATCAGGTTCCTCAATTTTTTGGAGCTTATTTAAAGAGTTCCTGGTATTTTCTGGTTTTGTTGTATGTCCTGGTGCATGTGCTATAGGTATGGTATCTGTTTTGTAACTAATGTCAGAAAATGAAGCAGCTTTACTCTACATTGTCTGGTTGGATGGATTAGGTGTCAATTTAGTTTTCAAGTTTGACCTCTGTGTAGAGTGGTGGTACGGCATTCACCTTATCGAGTCACCAGGAATTACCAGCTATTTGTGTAAATTCCTGCCAAAATAAATACAGTAGTTTTCTTGCCAATGGGCTTAATTGTAATAAGAAAACAATGAATGGGCTCAATTATAGATCAAACATATTTTAGGCCTTAAATTCTAACAACAATAGTAACCAAACAGAAAGGGTGTTGGGGTCCATACAATCAAATCAAACATTGGGGAAAATCATATGATGCAACAAATAACAGGACAGAAATCCCCCTTTGATAGGGGTTTATATGTATATCAATCTTGCCTGTAACAATTTATTACCTGATATTATACCAAAATTGCATAATGCCCCACACTACTGAAATATAATAATACACTACAATATTGAATTGTTCACCAATAGCATACAAAATAGTCCACAGAGATGAACAATGCTTGCCACACACCTTGCACACAGTACATACATAAAACATTATATTCACTAAGTAAGATTAAGATAGAAGGTTAGTTTAAAAAGTGATAACAAAATGGCAAAATTTTCGGCCCTTTTTTTTAACACATTACTGAACTGTATGGGCTAGGTTCCCATACATACTAGGACTTTAATATCAAATTATTCCATAAAATAATATAAATTCAAGTAGTTTGCATCATGTGTTGCTTTTTAAAATTCGTTCCACTCGTCAGGTTCTCCAATTTTATAGCTGTCCAACAGTTTGCAGCACTTAACAGGTATGAGCCATATTCTAAAAGCACTTGTCTGTACTATTCACCTCACAATTTCTACATTTGTCATCTTGATGAAAGAATTTCAATAGTTATAATGTAGGGAAGAGCCAGTGTTGACAATTGTGAGCGCGGCGGGTGGTGTGAGCGGTTGTGTTGTGGTGATCAGGTGGCTCCTTATACCCACCCTCCCTCACCATTATAAGGACCATCATCATCGTCATCATCATCATCATCATTATAAACTGGCAGATCTCCGCGTTAGTGACTTAGCCAGAGTATACCACTTAATCACCAAGATCTCTGCACTTATATCTGAATTTGCCTCAGGACTACTATTTTTTACTAACACTATAGTGGACTTGACCAGGAAGTTGGCGGCTTGTCAAAAATCCCCCAACCCCCATTTGTACTGATGATTTTTGTGTAAACTGTTTTTTTTTTTTTAATTTAACATTATTTTGACATGTACGGCTTCGGCGGGTAGGCGGTTCCATGGGTTTAATAATAAAATTCATTGTGTAATCCCACAACAAGCTAACTAACTCCTGGGGAATACCTATTTATTTATTTACTATTTACTATTTATTTACTAACAGGTAAAGGAAACGCGAGGTGATAGGAAACGCCCACAACCATTTCTGTGCCGCCCTAGGATTCGAACCCAGAATTCTCGATATAACCCTGTGAGTGAAAAAGCATCTCCTGTTTTTATTCCTGCATTGTACTCACCTAGTTGTGCTTGTGGGGGTTGAGCTTTGGCTCTTTGGTCCCGCCTCTCAACTGTCAATCAACTGATGTACAGATTCCTGACCTTACTAGGCTCTATCATATCTACATTTGAAACTGTGTATGGAGTCAGCCTCCACTACATCACTGCCTAATGCATTCCACCTGTTAACTACTCTGACACTGAAAAAGTTCTTTCTAACGTCCCTGTGGCTCATTTGGGTACTCAGTTTCTACCTGTGTCCCCTTGTTCACGTACCATCCATGCTAAACAGTTTATCATTATCTACCTTGTCAATTCCTCTGAGAATTTTATAGGTTGTGATCATGTCTTCCCTAACTCTTCTATCTTCCAGTGTCGTGAGGTTTAGTTCCAGTAATGTTTCCTTGTAGCTCATACCTACCAGCTCGGGGACTAGCCTAGTGGCATATCTGTGAACCTTTTCTAATTTGGCTTGCTGAGCATGAAACCGTTGCTCCTTGTTTGTGTTACATCTGACCTTTGCAAGAAATTGTCTGGATCAACATTTCCAAATTGTTCAGTATTGTTGTTTTGTTGTTTGATTAAGGACCTGCCCGAAACGCTATGCGTGTTAGTGGCTTTGCAAAAATGTAAAAATATCACTAATATAATCCCACCAACCCATTGTACCTTCTTGTAAATAAAATATTATTATTATTATTTTAAGGTTACCATGAAATCCGACTTGTCATGCCTAGTTTGCAGTGTTGTTAGCCCTGAGGTCAATCATTTCTGATATGAGAGCTGACTTAGTTCTGGAATTATTTTTGTCGCCCGGTGTTCCAAAGCAACCATGGCCTTTTGAAGATGTCTTCATGCTTTGATACTTGATACAACAATTCAAGTGGGGGTGCACCAGAGATTTATACAGTGTAATCCTCACCTTAGCACAGATTTTAGTGTCAACTGAAAATTTGAGAGTACAGTGTATTAGTATTATCAAATTAAATATTAACCTAATTAGTAAGTAATTGATTATCAAAAGAAAGCACCAAACCCTAATTAGTATAACCAATTAGTTGTACACTTTGGAAATGTAATTAGGAATGTGATAACTTGGAGTTAGGTTATGTAGGATTAAGTTAGTTTAGTTCATTTATTATGCACCCCATACCCATCTTGTGGGCGGAAGTGGAAAGGGTTACAGATGAACATAATGGGCCCAGGAAGTGAACCCCACAATTCATTTAGCTAAGCAAGTTACAATCTTGATGAGCTAGTTACAAAATTCAGTATAAGTCGATCGTCACATCATAAATGGGGTCGAGATTCACCACAAGTACAGTTTCTAAATTAAGCAACTGACATATGTGGAGAGCTAGTGTCACAATTGATATGTTTGTCCTGCACACCGCCCCCTATCTAGTGGGCAGCGGTGGATATAGGTTACAGTCACTTAATTACTACCTACAGTTTGCAAACTGGGAATATTTGGCTAAAGTTTCTGGTAGCAGATCATTTTGAATGAAATATTTACACATTGCTGGAACATTGGTTATATAATTGTTTCTGAATTCATGTATCTTTTCGCACTCCATCACATAGTGACGGAGGGTGTGCGAATAATTTTGTTGACACAGTTTACATTTGGTCAGGTCTACATCAGTAGATAATGAGAATTCCCAGAGATACTTGTAACCATATCTAAGCCGAGCAGTAGAAGTCTGCTGATTTTATTGAATGAACCATACATGTGTGGTTCCTTGTAGGATTAACAAAACCCATTTCATTATCTGCACATAAGCTAATGACAGTTTGGAGCAAGTATATTATATAGTTACTACAATAATAATAGTTTATTTAGGAAAAAGTACATACATACAAAATGAGTTACAGGTAGAATGTTGGATGATGAGGTTTGTAATATTCTCATCTATGTCATTGATGTATATTACAAAAAGGGTTGGCCCTAAAATAGACCCCTGTGGTACCTCACTCGCCACATTTATCTAGTCAGATTCATTCCCATTTAGCACGACTCTCTGCTTTCTTTGTTTTATCAATTGTTTTATCAATTCCGGTATTCTACCATTTATTCCATGTGCCTGTAATTTCCTTGCTAGTGTTTCATGTGGTATCTTATTAAAAGGTTCTTTGTCTGAGTAGCTGGTTACCGTTTCCAAAAATGTGAGCAGGTAGGTTTGTATCTATAAATCCAACATGATGTTTGTAATTCATCTTCTATCTATGTACTTTTACCTGAATAAACATTTGAATTTGAATTTGAATGATCATGATAATTGCTATAATTAAGGTAATATTTATGAATGATTAAGGTATTGATAATTTAAAGTCTGATTACTCCTGAAATTGGATTAACTAACATGTATTAGATAACTAGTAATAAGTATTTGTAAATAAAGGTATAAATATTTGGAGATGAGAAAAGAACCATCGGGTGTTGGGAGGTGAGGCCGGAGGGGAGGACGGTGGCGTCGCTCTTACTCGCCCGCACCCCGCCACGGTAGGTACACTCCTCCACGCCTTGTGTCTATAGTCCTGTAATAACCTGTTAAAGTGTTTGTTGGGGATTACATTGTGTGTATAATTGTTTGATGATGGTATTATGTGTGGTAAATTTTTGGGCATCGCGCTAATACGCTGTATTTAGCGTCATGTATCTGGCAGCTTAATATTTGCGATGGTAGGTTTCCTTTACATTTCACCACGTTCATTGATGGCATTCTTCCACTATATATTTCACGACTAAGGCTTGTGATGGCTGTGTGCAGAGTGACCCACAATTGTTGGGTTTGTGTGGTGGCCGTAAATTAGAGGAGATATTAATGGCGGGTGAGGCCACCGGGGCCGGCAGTCTTGCCACCAGGCTCGCGTCGGGTTTTAATTCTGGAAATGTTTGTACGGGCTCTACGATGTTCAAGTCCCGCCCGGTAGTTTGATTCGCGTAAAAGCGCGTCGTTACCAAGCTTTTAAAACTGGTATGAAATAATACGTGACCAAGGACGTGTTGCCATGGCGGCCATCACCACGTGACGCTGCGCAAGTGTTTCACTCACAACACTACTTGTAGTTTATAAATAAAGCTATGAATTTTAAATTTTGAATTGGGGGGCAGTGTTGGTGAATTTGGTCTATATTTGAGAAAAAATTCTTCCCTTAAACTTAACATTGTATGGGGTAACGTCTCCCCAAGTCATGTGGGGTTTCTCGACTAGTTAGAACAATCTTACGTTAATGTAATCTTATTACTGTAGCTAAATTTCTTGTCTTAATTACTTGCTACTTAACGGAATTTAATTTTAATTGTAAGCTTTGTACGGAATTACAAAATGTGAAATATAAAATTGAACTGCTGGTTTCAGAATAGTCTTCCAGACTGTTGCTAGCATCCCAACATGTGTGATGACTGTTAATTTAAATTTTTTCCTGAAGCTAAAGAATTAAGTTTTTCTTGGCTTAACTGCTTCTTATTTTAGATTCGACCATTTTATCACATGTTATGTACCATTACAATTTTGTACATTGTAATCATGTAGCATGTTTATTCTACTTTCTAGCTTTTGGCATATTTTAATGTCTGGCATTTTTGGCATCTTTGCTTTTCAATTCTGGAAACTTGTTTTCCTATTTCCAGTTTGATGTTCTTGCCAAGATATGGGCAGCATACAACTGCAATATTAATTTTTTGGGGCTTTCAAATGTTTAAAAACTTTGTTAATATTTTGCTATCCATGTACACCATCTAGTTTAAAAGCAAATCTGAAGACTGGAAATGTTTTGCTTGAAAAGGTGGATGACTAGATGAAGAGCAAACTGGTAAATACAGATTTGGAACTAGTTAATAATCTCTCAAGCCAAAGTGTTGGATGTAAGAATGCTATAGTTTAAAAGTAACTTATTTTTTATAAATGGCTTGTGGGTTGATGTACATTGTAGTGTTTCTTTTAATCTATTGGTGTAGTGGAAGTAGTCAGTGGGCCAGCCAGAAATTTAGGGCCCATGCAGGAATATCTGCAAAATGACAATACAATAACTTTCCCACTAAAAATTTTTAGTCTGGTTTGAGTGAATCGTATTGTTAAATGTCAATTTGGCACTTTGTAGTTTGTTTAATAAAATTGTAAAACTGACCATTTACTAGGTCCCAAATACCTTAATCGTAAACCTTTTAAAACTATCTGCCTTGCGACTAAAAATTGAACAATTGAGCAAAAGTTATAGGGGGTTGGGTTGTCGTGATCAATGGGAAAGGGATAGCTCTGCCTAATAAGACGGCTATCTGGCTGAAATTATGGGCTGGATGGTAGAGCAATGGTCTTGATTCATGCAGGTCGGCATTCAATCCACATCTTAGTGGTTGGCTCCCATCCCAAATACTTATTTTGAAAGTGCTAGTCTTAATGGCTTTCTCCTTGCTAGTAAATAAAATTCTAAAGATATATGCACTGCAGTTGGATAGTAAAGCCAAACATCAGATGTAAAAAAAAAAAATCTGGTTTGGCAGATAAAATGTCCAGGTAATTCCACTAGCCGACTTTAGTTCTATCTTTAGTCTGTTACATTTCCTGGTACAAAGCTTGACTTGGTATTTGTGCTGTCCATTGAAAGAGCTTAAACCTGCTATTCGACTGCTATGAATTATAACTTGCTGCTATGCAAGTAGGGTATACACTTCTAAATGTCTCTCTAATCCACAGGGAGAAAATAGCAAGTATGGGCAAGCCTTGGAGATTAATCTTGGGAAGGCGTCTTCGCGAAACACTTGCTTCGGCAGGTGAGATAATTTATAACCTTTAGGTTGTATAGAGTATGACTGGTATTTAATGTATTGGTACAGTAGTATGCTGGCAAGTGCTGCTACTTGTTGCATCCTGTTAACTTGTTAGGAATGTGTGTGTGCTGCAGTATTTGTAACATTAACTACTTCCTGAATTTGTAAATAATTACTTTAAATTGTAAATGTATCCATACTGCAGTTGATGATAAAGCCAAACCTGGGCATGATTGTAGGAAAGTTTCTGCAGTCTAATCAGTTTTGGTAGATAAAAAGCCTGATTAATCACTGGTAAGCTAAATGCTTCTACCAGTTTCATGCCCAAGCAACAGTGCTGGTAAAATTGGTATTTAAATTATTCCTTTACTTCAGTTTTAATACTATACTGCATTTCATGTCAATCTATATACAAATTGGTAAACAAAATTAACATTTCAAAATTTTTCAGGTTGATGTGGAACTCCTGTAAAGTGGTAAGTGCTGCCAAATGAGTTTCTTGTAAACCAAATGCTGGGCATGATTGTAGGATAGTTCCTACATTCTAATCAGGTTTGGTAGATAAAAAGCCTGGTTAATCTCCGGTTGAAAGATTTCTTTAATCGGTTTCAAGCCATGGCTACAGTAATGATCCAAATTGCTGCCAAAAAGGCTAGAACTTGTAGATAATGGAATTAAACAAAATTCTCCCCAGATACTGTAATTGGCTAACACTAGAATGCTCAGTGAAGGAGTATTTTAGGCTGAAGACTTCATTTAGTGGCAATTTGTCACTGCTTCCGATAGTCTGCAGCCTTAAAGTAATCTTTAAAATATTCCCTTGCCTATCAGAGCAACAATGAGAGAAATGGGGGGGGGCAGCTTTGTAATTTTTTTTTTTTTTTTTTTTTTTTTTTTTTTTTTTTTTTTAGGATTTAAGAAGTGGATAATGCTACTTACTACCTAAGCATATTTTTAGAGGTAGGGGGGGAAAAAAAGTACCAAAATGTGTTGACTATTGTAGGTTGGTTTAGTAAAGACGTTATCTGCGATGTAATTTTCTTTATCACTTCAACAATCATAATGCTGAAAATATTAGTATAAATTTCCATTCATATAATTCCAAAATTTGATTTTTAGTAAATTATTTTAGTTCCCGACCCCTTGAGCCACATTTATTGCCAGACATTAGTGTAATATTTAATTATAGCTAGTCATGTTAAGTTTCCATTCTTTTCCAGAAATGGGTTATCTGCGAAACAGCTGCACAAAGACTGCAGTGGGTGAGGCTGCAAGTGGTAAGTAGCATCTTTCAAGGTAGTCTATAAAATGTTAACATTTTCAATATTATTTGAAGCCAGAGCAAATACTTAAATTCAAAGTACTAGTTTAAATTTTAAATGGCATGCTTTTAAACTTTGGTTGTAATTTGCACAAAACTACAGGCTGCTTGTTCATACAGACTGTAGTTACGTGCAAAGAGCAATATGTAGTTGCTATGTGTTGCCCTTTTCATGAAGGCAGCATACAAAACTCCATTACAGAATTTCGGAATCGTGTGAATTTGTCGTGTTTTTCCACAGGCAAATTCTAACACGTGTCTACTTTCAGTTCTACAAGCTAAAGGCCGTAGGCAGGAAGGCACTAACGAATAAATGGATCTCCACAGTGTATTTGAATTGCTGAAGTGGAAAAAACCATTGTAGTAGTCTAAAGTGAACATTGGCGTCTTCTGCCACACTGAAATTCCTAGGGTCAGCAGTTGCTGGTAGTCCACCACCTGGAGAAAACATTTCACAAAATGAGTATATAGGTAAATATTTATTTCCATCCTTAAATTTTTTTTCCCCCTAAATTTTTTCTATTCAATAAAATATTGTACTTTTCTTTTTCTTGCATGAATGTGAATTTATTGATTGCAGTGTGTTAAGGATAAAATGCTAATATCTTGATCAAATCTCTTAAGTAATGTACAAAAGACTAGGCTAGAGAAATGCAAATTCAATAAAATATTCAAAGGAGATTTTAAAACCTTGCTTTTTGCCACCTTTTGATGAGCTATTAAAATACTGTACTAGATACTAACATTGTTGTTCAAAGAAAAGTATTTAAATCTTTTTATGTAGCATAGCAAGTGGTAATTAAACCTTCAAAATTTGAAATCTTGCTTGTTAGAACATTTTATACTGTATCTTTATTCAAACATTTTACTTGCACATTCACGAAGTTCATTATCAACTGCTAATTGTAATTAGAATTGTATATATATTAGAAAGAATTCATTAAATGTAACCAGTTATTAATGGTTGTGGTTGCTTAATGCACAACAGCTCCAGCTTGCATTTTTGTATCAAACTGGCGTTCCAAGTGCAGAGAATAAACAGGAAGAGTCTACATGTGGCTTAACTTTTGGAAGCTGTCATACGAACCTTTCTGACATGTAACATGTTGGGCTCTATAGAATTTCTTCAGCATGTTGAAAGTTTAAATATAAACTTTCTAAGAGTATTAAAGTTCAAATAATTAAATTTATTAGTGTGGAAAGTTTTCCATTGCAAATTTGACATTAACAAGTACTATTTCACTGCATAAATTTGAATTTTTTAGTGGGTGGCTGGATAAATATAACTAGTCCATGGTGCAATGATCCGTTTTTACTTTCAGATGGAGACAATTCTTCGGTAGACAAAGTGAACAGTTTATTAGCAATGTAAGTGGAAATTATCACCAGCTATGATGCTGTGCCTTTCCTAAATTGATAGGTCACCTGTTATTGATTATAAGTGGAATAAATGATGACTTTAACATGTTAGACTTCGGATTGGTGTGAGGAAACAATAAAGCTGACTTAAAAAGATTTAGTCCCATAGCAAGACTTTTGTTTGTTCATTAAACAAAGATCTTTTTCCAGGATACAAGCAATGCAGAAGTTGTAGCAGCACTAGATTGGTATACAGGTAAGGATCAAATCTATTAGACTAATGACTTGATATTGAAAGTGTTAATGTTAAATGTGCTTGTGACAAGCTGCATCTGCATTATCATTTTTCCTTAAATTAAAACTTCAACCTCTTTAAGATTAAATTTTGAAGTGATTGTGAGGTTGGGGGGGGGGTGGGGGTGGCAGATGCTGTTGGGATAGGTTTAGTCTCGTATTTTCATAATTAGTCATTCCATAAAGTTTTGCCTCGAGATTAAAATTTTATTTAACTAACTTTAGCTTGTTGCATAACAGCTCCAGGTTGCCATGGTTGGCAAGCTGGCGTTCCAAGTGCATAGATAAAGCAGGAAGTCGCTATGTTCTTCCCTTTTTTTGAGGGCTTAACACGAAACTTCCTTACATTGCATTACAATTTTAGCACCACTTTCTTTACAAAAAATTTAGTTTCTAATTAATTTAGTTTCTATAGTAATTTAGTTTAGTTAATTAATTTTTTAATTTGCAGAAACTAGGAAGACCTCACTCTGAATGGCTAAAGTTGTGCATTCGACAGGCATTAAACATCACTACTCTGCCTGGACACAGCCACGGTAGGTACTCTGCTTCACTCCTTCCATGGGCAGGTGTTCTAATCTATCTCGACTATGTTGAAGTAAAGCCTGGTAGTCTAGATGATTTGTGTACAAGCTATTTGCAAAGCTTTTAAAGCCTTGGGTAGGAAATACGTGACCAACAACTAGTTGAAATATTAGTGTTGCAGGTATTGCCATGGCAGTGCTTGCCTCTGCACATGACACTGCCCTCTGGCTGGAACACTATTTTTAGTTAAAATTAAAGCAATAAATTTAAATGTTAATTTTGGGGGGTGGTATGTTAAGTATTTGGGGGCAAACTTTTCTTACCCGAGGCATAAAAGTTAATACAGTACTAAGAGTGTTTGATGTATATTAATGTGGCAATACAATAAAATAAAAAATTCTAGATAGTAATAGTTGATGGTAAGCCAAACTTCTGATGTAATTTTATCTGAAGTTTGGCAGATAAAATGTCCAGGTAATTCCACTAGCTGACTCTAGTTGTATCTTTAGTCTGTTACATTTCCTGGTACAAAGCTTGACTGTATTTGTGCTATCTATTGAAAGGGTTTAAACCTCTTATTTCGCTATTTATGATGCGTATCTACTAAATGCCTAATTCCATAAATAATCCACAGGGAGAAAATGGGAAGTATGGGCAAGCCTTGAAGATGATCTTGGGAAGGCTTCTTTACAAAACTGTTGCCTCGGCAGGTGAGATGCTTGGTCTATAACCTTTAGGTTGTTGTATTAAGTATGAATGGTATTTAATGTATTGGTACAGTAGTATGCTGGAAAGTGTTGGTCACTTCTTGCATCCTCTTTGCTTTACAACTTTTACTAAACATGATGTAGTATGTGTGCTGCAACATTTGTAACGGGGGGAAACTGCTTCCTGAATTGAATTTGTATAGATAAAATTAAATAACTAAATTGTAAATGTATCCCATACTGCAGTTAATGGTAACTGTTTTAAAGAGCCAAACCTGGGCATGATTGTTGGAAAGTTTCTGCAGTCTAATCAGTTTTGGTATATAAAAAGGCCTGGTTAATCACTGGGAAGCTACATGCTTTTGCCAGTTTCATGCCCAAGCAACAGTGCTGGTAAAATGATCAGTATCTAAATTGTGTAGTAAAGTTCTTTGCCACTTGGCTTAGTTTCTAATACTGTAATGCATTTCATGTCACTTTATATACGAATTGGTAAACTAACTTCTAATTATCAATTTTTCAGGTTGATGTGGTGGGAGTCCTGTAAAGTGGGTAAGTGCTGCCAACTGAGTTTGTCTTGTAAACCAAATGCTGGGCATGATTGTAGGATAGTTCCTACATTCTAATCAGGTTTGGTAGATAAAAAGCCTGGTTAATCTCCGGTTGAAAGATTTCTTTAATCGGTTTCAAGCCATGGCTACAGTAGTGATCCAAATTATTGCTGCAAAAAAGGCTAGAACTTGGATAATGGAATTTAATAGAAAAATTCTCCAGGTACTGTAATTTGCTAACACTAGAATGCTTGAAGAAAGTATTTTAGGCTATAGACTGTGACAAATTGTTACTAAATAGACTAAATACCGATAGTCTGCAGCCTTAAAAGTAACCCTTGATATCTTGACTTTTAAGTCATGGCAACAATTTGAGGGAAGTAAAGGGGGGGGGGGGGGAGCTTTAAGAAACTATTTTTTTTCTTTTTTTCCCCCCTCCTTCTGGTAAACAAAATGGTGCATCCTTGCTAATGATCCCAGCGCTGTTTAATTCCTAGGTGTTGGAAGATGGTAATCGCTCGTGATTTGCAAGAAATTTATTTAAACGCGTCATCAAATTTGACATTTTTTAATTAGCACTTGTAACATAGTGGAAAATTTGGCAGAAGTGAATATAAATTTGCAATTGTTAAAGCTATTAGTTTGGTCAGACATGTTATTTGTACTGTTATTTATCTTGTTACTTGCTACAGCAATTATAATTCTGTAAAATGGAAAGTGTACATTTCCACTTATTTAAGTTATTAATTTTATTTTATAATTTAATAAATGTGTAAAGTAACCAGTCTCCTGGCAGGGTGCTTTGCATGTGCACCATAAACACCTTTCATATTGTGTAACAAAGTTTGGCAAGGAAAGTGTAATTTCTTTGTTTAGGTTCAATGAAAATGCAGTAATAAATTTAGCCCATTTTGGTATCAAATTGGTTAATTTTGGGTAACTAGTAGATTTCAGTTTAGTGTTGGCTAGCTTCCTGTCACACTTACTGCTAAATATATAAATGACGGTGTAATGTTGGCGAGTCTTGTTTGTTTTTAGTTTCCAATTTCTTTTTCCAGAAATGGATCTGCATTACTTACAATGACTGCAGTCATTGGGCCTGTGAGTTTAAATATTGCAAGTGGTAAGTAAACCCCTTAGATTATTTCAATTAAAATTTTCTATGTAATTTGAAGGCAAAACCAAATGCTTCTATACTTGTGCAAATAATGACAGCAAGGCACAAATTTGAAGGCACTAAATCGGTGCCTTCAAATTTGATCTGATTAGTATCAGACTTCAAAAGGCCATATTGATTATAATTAAAAACATGTTTCAGGAATGTAGGATGAAAGATTTGTAATGCTTGGTAATGAAAGTTGTGTGGAAATGTAGCACCCTGTACTGTCCTAATGGTTCTAAATAACCATGTGGTTATCAGTGGGGTGCAAGAGAAAAATTCCTCGCTAAGTCAAGCATGTTCTGTTATAGGACAGTGCTAGGAGCAATGGAGACAACTGATTTGGCAAACTTTACTGAAAATAAAATTATATAATTACATTTTTTAAATTCTATTAATAAACTAGTATCCCGTGTTTGAATAGCTGAAGCGAAAGCCATTGGAGTGTCCTGCCACACTGAAGTGCCTGGGGTCAGCAGATGCTGGCAGTCCACCTAGACAACTCTATTGTATACCAAAGGAGTAGAGGTAGATAATAATTTCCACCCTTGTAAATTTTTTTGCATGAAGTCGAATTAAGTTTTTTTTCCTTCAGAAATGTGTTATGGATAAAACTAATTGTTTGAGGTTAATATCTGTGAAATCTGCATATGTTAATGTACAAAAGAATAGGCTACATATATGCCAATTAAAAGCAGATTTTAAAATTGTCTTCTGCACCCAGAAGTCATATTTGAGCCATCAAAATACTGTACTAGATACACTGCTATTCAAAGAAAATTCTGTAAGTTTTCTAACATTAGCAGGCTTTTAAGGCCCCCTTAAATGTTCTAAGGTTGAGATACCTGTACTCTTTATTATAACAAATGTTAGTTTGAAAAGGATCAACATTGGTATAGATGTTGAAGTTTAATGATACAATTGTGCAATTTTCTATAGATGTAGGTTAATGTACATATTTTCCCAAAATAACAATTATAACTGAAAATACAGTACAGCAATTAAGTGTAGTAGTGAGGTGGCTGGGGAAAGAGACACTGCTCCTATATTCTAAGTTTAGTCATAAAAGTGCAAATAAAATTGTTGGCAAGGGATTTTCATAAATCTAAACATGGGTTGTGTGTTTAAATGAATCTGCTCTAAAATGCCTTTTTTGCTATTTTGTATTTTAAGAAGCTATTTTGGCCTGTTGTGTGAACTAGATTTGCAAATTTTGAAGCTTTAATTACCATTTGCTTTCTCATTTATTGGAACTATTTTGCTCAACATTTTATTTGCAAATTTACAATGCATCATGAACTATTTATTGTAATTAGAAATAATTTATTGTATATACAATAGAGCATTCATTAAATCTAAGCAGTTGATTTAATGTTGCTTAATGCACAACAGCTCCAGCTTGCATTTTTGTGTCAAGCTGGTATTCAAAGTGCTGAGAATAAACAGTAAGAGTCTACATGTTGCTTGCTTTTGGAAGCTGACATACGAACCTTTCTGACACTTAAAAACTCCATGTTGGGCTGGAAAGTTTCATTAGTTTAAAACAAATTACTTAAGTTAGTAAACTTGAATGTTGCGCAAGATTTTCCTTGAGAGTTTGAAATTAAAATATTAAATTACATACATCACGTGAATTAGTAATGGGATGTCAGACAACTTTAACTTCAATTAAATGGCGCGTTTCAATGACCTGTTTTATACTTTCAGATGGAGACCAATTCCTCAGACGAAGTTAAGAACAGTTAATTAGCAATGTAAGTGGAAATTATCAGCTGCTGTGCCTATCTTAAATTGATGTGACCTGTTATTGATTTAAATGGGATTAAATGATGACTTAAACATGTTAGACTTCGGATTGGTATGAGGAAACAATAAAGCTGACTTGAAAAAATGTAGTCCCATAGCAAGACTTTTGTTTGTGCATTAAACAAAGATCCTTTTTCCAGGATTCAAGCAATGCAGAAGTTATAGCAGCTTTAGATGTGTCTGCAGGTACGTGATCAAATTTAAACATTAGCATGGCATTTTAATTTTTAATATCGGTTACATTCTTGTAGCAAGAGACTGCATCTGCAGTATTCGTGTCTTTTAAACTTACTGAAACTTGAGCTTGTAGTGACTAAGGAGGTTGAATGTAAAATGTGATTGTGCATTATAAGGGGGGGGAGACGAATTATTGTCTCTTATTGTTACATAGTTTAGTTCAAAATCATTCCACAAACGCCTTAACTTTGTTTGAGATTAAAACTATTTAACTAGCTTTAGGTTATTGCATAACAGCTCCAGGTTACCATGGTTGGCAAGCTGGCGTTCCAAGTGCATAGATAAAACAGGAAGTCGCTATGTTCTTCCCTTTTTTAAGGTTTTAACACGAAACTTTCTTACATTACCTTACAATTTTGGAAAGTCTTCTTTATTAAAAATAAAAGGTTCTAATGAACGTTTTCTTCGTTGCAGGAACTAGGACGACTTGGCTCTGGATAGTTGAAGTTGTCTTTGCTAGAAATAAAACATTGTACCCCCTTTTAAATAAATGTATTAAAAAAAATTATTTTTAAATTTTCCTATTATATGGCTGTAAGATGGTTTACAGAGTTTACCGCAAAGCTGAAAATTTTCATGACGTGGTACACTAATTAATATTATACTAATATTTAGTGTCCAAGAAAGTATTCTAATTGTATAAAAATTTTAACAAGGGTGCAAGGTAATCTACATTAAAAAGGTTAACCCATAATAGCTACTACAAATTAAATTCAGCCTAGCGAAAAATTATCCTTTACGTTAGTGCATCAGCTGTCATGATTACGCAGGTGCAAAAACCTAGAAATTCACTTTACAAAGTTAAATTCATTGAACATAAGAGTTGAGGCAGATAAGGAATTTCTTGGCGCTTTCTTGCTGCATAGCAGACTTTCAGGACGAGCGTGTTCATTTTCGACGACGATCGTGGGATCTGTTGTGCCCCGAGAAGTGGTTTTCAGACCATCCCCCTATAGAATTCTTGGCGAATCTGATACTTTTGAAGTCGTTCGCCTTGTACGTTTTAGTATTGGTTTTCTTGGCGATATTTCCGCACATTTGATGGTGCTACATAGCTTTCCCGGCTTGGTACCTTCTTTGATAATTACTTTCTCCTTTGGTAAGGGGTTCGTATACTGCTTATTTACCCAAGCAGTTAAAATTTGGATTATTGAGAACAGGATTAAGTACTTGCCCGAAACTGCGTGCCAGTCGCTGCGCAAGAATGCAAGAACTTGTGTGGTTTTTATTGTAACATAATTTTAAAGTAGAATACATAACCTAATTGCGTATTGCATGTACTGCCGTATTTAAAATTATGAATGCTGAGCATTGTCTACATATACATATCACTGGTGTGAAGGAAAACTATAGAACGTGACCATAAGCAAACAAGGTTTCCTTGGTCTTGTCTACTACCGCCAATTTTTTTTTTTTTAAATTAAGGATTAAGTACTTGCCCGAAACTGCGTGCCAGTCGCTGCGCAAGAATGCAAGAACTTGTGTGGTTTTTATTGTAACATAATTTTAAAGTAGAATACATAACCTAATTGCGTATTGCATGTACTGCCGTATTTAAAATTATGAATGCTGAGCATTGTCTACATATACGTATCACTGGTGTGAAGGAAAACTATAGAACGTGACCATAAGCAAACAAGGTTTCCTTGGTCTTGTCTACTACCGCCAATTTTTTTTTTTTTTTTTAGAATTTATCGGCTTCAACCGTTATTAGTAACGACTTGACTAGCTAGTTAAGCGCTTGCATGTCTGCATATAATAGTATAGCAACTTGAACTAATGTGTAGAGCTTGGTTATACAGCGCTGTTGGGCGGAGCTGGCCTTGGCTTGCTGCCTCCACCTGCTGCTTATCACAGATCATCCTACGAACATGGTGACCGTCTAGAGAACGGTTTGATAGTTTTAACGATTTCACTTTCCCTCTACTTGTCAATGCGTGGAAATTCAGTTTATATTTTTTATTGCAGTGTACGTTGACGACCACACTAGAATGTGAAGGGACGACGACGTTTCGGTCCGTCCTGGACCATTCACAATAGACTTGGTCCAGGACGGACCGAAACGTTGTCGTCCCTTCACTTTCTAGTGTGGTTTGGTCAACATATTTCAGCCACGTTACTGTGACTCATAGTTTGCAATGTACCTATCGCTATACAGTACTGTAGTGACTGAGGAGCAGTACCTGCCAATATTTGTTATAACCATCGTTTGCAATAATATATGTACAGTATAAAGGGAAGGGAACTATCAGGGGAAAGCGCCAAACCATTAAGACTATATAGCACTTGAAGGGAGTCAGGATAAGGATTTGGGATGGGACGGAATGGTGCCCAACCACTTGAACGGTCAGGTCGGGAATTGAATGCCGACCTGCATAAAGCGAGACCGTCGCTCTACCGTCCAGCCCAAGTGGTTGGACGTACAGTACAAGTAAATGTTTTAACCTGGTGTTTTCTTGTGATCAATTTTTTTTTTGCTAATGCAGTATATCCGGATTATCGAATATTGCCTTTCTTTCCTAAAATGTCTGTGGGTAAATTGTCTAAGATTATGAATGTTACCCAGAGCCTACGTATTCAGTTGGGGTATCTTTTCTGTTTGTACACTTTTGTACACCTCGCCCGTTTGTGCGAGGCGAGACGCTTAAATTAACTGGGGCAAGCTAGCTGTAGCCTCATCAAACTAATAAATAAAACTTTAAATTCTAATTTTATAAAAGGGGAGGGAAAGGATTTGAATTATGAACATTCGTAACAACTTTCCCAGTTGTTGAAATACATCATGTGATGGGAAAACAAACTATTCAGTGCCAGATTTAATAGTGATAAAATGCAAAGATTTGCAGAAATAAATACAAGATTAAATCTATGAAAAATTGACAAAACAAAATTGAGCCTAAACGAAGCCTAAAGCGAGGTGTATACGCTGGCGCGTGTGTGCTTGTAAATGAGTGAGGTTAGGCACATGCGTGAACGAGATTTGACAGCAGAGCATAAGGTGCAAGACTTGCCCGCATGGCGGAGGGGAGCAAGCGGCCGCTTGTGCTTGCAACAAGCGCTCTTATTACAGCGACTCATAAGATGTATTATTGGAGAGGGAGGGAACCCAACCCCACACACCACCTCAAGCAAGTCATCATCCCCACCACCACTCGTCTCCCAAGCAGTCTACCCTGCACACCTTACTCCACAAGCATACACTAATTACCCCAAACTTTACTCGCCACACTATCACCTTTACAATCAGTTCCCCTAATAGTCCGTCGCATTTTGACGTATAAATCCCGTAAGGCCAAAAAGTGATGCATTAAAATTATAGCGACTATGTCCCGTTTTCTGTTCTTGGATCCTGTTAGGTTAGGTAGTTAATTTAGAACGTCAGTTTTGTGACGTTGAGAACACACTGGAGTATGAGCAGGCCCTACACCGCACAAGCTTGCACTGTACATTCATGCACTACACCAAACTGCAGATGCACAACCATACTACCATGTACGTGTACTGCACAACCATACTACCATGTACGTGTACGGCACAACCATACTACCATGTACGTGTACTGCACAACCATACTACCATGTACGTGTACTGCACAACCATACTACCATGTACGTGTACTGCACAACCATACTACCATGTACGTGTACTGCACAACCATACTACCATGTACGTGTACTGCACAACCATACTACCATGTACGTGTACTGCACAACCATACTACCATGTACGTGTACTGCACAACCATACTACCATGTACGTGTACTGCACAACCATACACCACCTTACTATGTACTGCACAACCATACACCACACTACCATGTACTGCACACCCATACACCACCCTACCATGTAATACACAGCCACACACTACCCTACCATGTACTGCACAACCCTACTATGTACTGCACAACCATATACCACCCTACCATATGTTGCTCGACCATACACTACAGTATTGCATTACACCACCCTACCATGTACTGCACACCTGGTGGAAATGGTATATTTATCGGAATCAACTACAAGTAATTATTATACATTTCACTGCTTGCACTGCATGAATCTGTACTTCACAACCAAGAACACTACAATATACTGTACTACACCAGGTTGACCCACAACACATATCTCTGCAATTAGCAACCCAAACTGCATCATCAGCGTCCATAGCACTGAATCACAATACACTGCACTATCTTGCACTACACCAGATTACATTGCATTACATTGTACTGTATTTTCACTACACCGCTCTGCACTGCATAATCCAACCACACGTCACCACCATCCTTCATTATATAATGCAAACCATCATCATGCACTGCCTCCCCCTCCCCCCACTATATCACTGCATTGTACTTACCTATGTATCGGTAAATACAGAGAAGTGACTTCAGCTCTTTATACCCAACCTACTAGCCTTGCTGTACCCATTGGGTTATAGTTTAATTATTATACCCTAAAATATATCAATCTTCACTGACCCCTTTAGCTGGTTGAGATTAATAAGTAGTTACGAAGTACTAAGCTTATTTGCCTATATAAAATTATTCAAGTAAATCAAAATTACCTATACTGTACTGTATATCACACAGGATGCCACTATGGGAACATCCACCTTACGAGTGAGGACTTTGCAAAATTTAAAAATCGAAATTTTTAAATTAGAATTAATGGCACAAGGTAAGGATAAATATTGTGAATATTTATTGATAAAACAGGATTGAAAGAAAATGAGAGATATTCCTGGTAAGGAAGAGTGGTGATGCAGTTCAAGGTGTTTGTGTATGAAAATCAAATTTGAAAGAGCAAAGATGGTGATTCTTATTGCATATGCACCGTGAGATTACAAGTGAAAATTAATGAATATTTTATGAATAAGTAACATTAATGAATAGAATAATTGTAATGAGTGATATAAAATGCAAAGTGGGAAACGATCTGGAGAATGACAATGGTTGGCAGTTTTCTGGGGAATAAATTTTCATAACTAAATTTACAAATTTATGCAATGAAAGAGTTATGCAAATGTAATAATAAAACATGTTTCAAACATGGATAAACATAAATATAATGGTATAGAGTAAATTATATAACAGTAGTTATGTTTATTTAAATAAACTATTTGAGAAGAGGATGCTTATGTGAGACATGAGAGCAGCAACAGGAATATCTGGAGGTTTGCCTGTTTAAATGATGGTGTTGTGTAATGTTATACTGGCATGTAAACCTGAGGCTAGGTGTATGTTGTGTGTGGTGGTGCTTAGTGCTACTAGCTTCACCCACCACCAGACTGTAATACTGTATTTGAACAGTGGTCCCCACTGCTGTTAACATTAAGTGATGAAAGGGTGATCATATCTCAAAAGTGTTTGAGAGGTAAAAGAATATGAATGAGAGACAAATGGTAAATGAGAATAAAAGAAAAGTTGATAGTGATCTTGGGGGGGGGGATTTAAATAGAAAAAACTGAGGAAAACCCATTAAAAATAAAGAGAATCTTTGGTAGAAGAGGTATAGTAATGTGGTTCAAACTATAGTACTGTAGTTTGAACTAGAGTGACTATTACAAATGAAGTTATTATAACAATTTATAGGCATTATTTGTATTTCAATTTCAAGATGTTTATAGCGGTGCTTCCCCCTTTTCTTTATGAGTTAGAGATAGGAATTTGTGGAAATAAGGATTTTGAAACCCTGTGTAGGAAGAGTGGCATGTGTTAATTCAGGTGTATGTGCTCAGCTGCGTGTCACATGGGGGTTATCCACATTTATTTTGTGTATCCATTTGTGTATTGTGGTCAGAGTATTGTTAAAACCCAGGCCCTTTGTAGTGACCTAAGAGTGGAATAGAGTAAAGACCTTAAGTCCCAGGTTGTAGAGGGAGCAGGAACTTTCCCCCCTTTTGTATCAATCCTGTGGTGGATCCACGTACACCACCCCCCCCCCCTGTTCTAATCAGTGTGAGGAAATCTGGTATTTGTTAAATAAAAACCTTTTTGTAAAATTGTACCCCAAGGTGTATTTCTTGTCCCATGTAGTTAGAACTGGTGACTATTACTATATAGACCCCTGCACTTCCATTATTTAAAAGAAAGTAAGAGCGGGTGTTGTTAGCGATACTTTAGAGTACGGCTTTCAATCCCGTACCTTACAACTCTTCGCCTGCACACACATGATGTAGTGTCAGGTATCAAACATTAAGTACAGTATAATAATAACATAGGTAAGTGAAACTCTTAGTAGTAAGTACAATTTTTATATTACATTTGTTTAAACAGTATTTCCTCGCTTTAAAATATTTACTTCAAAAGAATTTGAATATCAATAAAATATATTGAAAATTAAGTTAATTTTTCTTCTACTTCTTCTCTTTTTTCTTCTTTTTCTTCTTTTTTAGTGGTGTGTCTGTCACTCCATAATCTGTCTGCTGTGTCGCACTCTCTTCCACATGCTTGTGTTTCTTTCTCTTCTTATCTTTCTTCTTCTTTATTATATTTTCCTCCTCTTGTTCTGCAGTTTCAGTACAACTGTTTTCTTTTTCTTCTATACAATTTTCTTTCTCTGTGTTATTTGTCTCACCAGTGTTTTCTACACCATTATCTGTAATTTCATTAACACCATTGCTAAAGCTTGCAATATTTTTCTTGTCTTTCTTCCTCTTCTTTTCTTTGCTTTTGTAGCTAATTTCACTGCCATGAAAATTTGTTTGCTCAATATTCAACATTAATGTATGTTCAGAACATTTATCACCAGAAGATGTATTTTGAACACATTCTAACAAGGAGTCCATTGTGTTATCTTTTCTCTGAATCTTTCTCCTTTTATTACTGGTTTTGCCATTTTTTAAGTCTTTAATAGAATTGTGTGGCCCTTCATCTTCAATGTTCGTCTTGTTAAGCTCCTTAACATCTAGATGTTGTCTCTTTTTTTTCCTTTGCTTTTTCTCTAGTGTTTCTGCTTCACATGGTTCCTCTGGCAGCTGCTCAGCTGGTGTGCTCCACTTCTGCATCAATATACGTTCTTGTTCCTCCACCCTTGCGAGCTTTGCTGTCATTGTCAACCCATGCCGAGCACCCCTAAACACAGGGATTTGAAAAATATTAAACATTTTGTACTTTAAATATAAATATGCAACTATAAATACAGTGCGAACTCGGTCAAATGAATTACATGTGGCATAGCAGATTTGTTGCATAGGGGATTTTGTTCAAACTATAGTATCAGACCCCTGGCAAACTCCCCAGATGAAAAACAAAAGTTTTGAGAGGCCTTATGTAATACATATACTGTACTACAGGTTTGTTGCTTATCTTAATAAAAAAAAATAGTCTGGGTAAATATAAACATAACTCTGAAGCACATCCAAGTATATATCCATCATAACCTACCTTTCACCAACACTAAATTTTATTAGGTTGGCTGTTATAGCAGCCATGACCTGATGACGGCTTAGGCAAATGATTTTCGATGAAACAAACATTTGTTGATTACGTTGAACAATTTGCACTGAACACAAACTGTTCAAACAATCCAGGAATTATCCAACCAATCCTCCGATAAGATTACATAAAAGTGATTTGTAGGAGAGGGTGGTTATGTTCCTGTAAAGCTGATATCTTCAAAAAGCATTTAGATAAGTTCTTGCAAGAAGTGCTAGACCAATCTGATATATGGGTCTATGGGCTGCTCCAAGCAACAGCCTGTTGGATCAAGTTATCACAAGTAGTGCTTGACCCCAGGCCGGGCTCGGGGAGAAGACGAATTCCCGAAACTGCTGCTAGGTGTGCTCCAGGTATTCACAAATAATTACTGTATATGGAAAAAAAGGAATATGTTCCAAAGACATTCAAAAGTTAACATTTTCCACTTTTTACTATAACTACACTACAACTCTGAAATTCACTAACATGTTTTGAAACTTGGCATAAAATGTGCTTACGCTTCCACTACACATAAGGGGCATAACTGGCCAACCCCTCGCAGGGTTCAATAGAGAGCTTGATAAGCACCTCCAAAGGATATCTGATCAACCAGGCTATGATTCATACGTCAGGCTGTGAGGAGTCACGTCCAACAGCCTGGTTGACCAGTCCAGCAACGAGGTGACCTGGTCGAGGATAAGTATACAACTTCCAATCCATGTGTCTGACATGATGGCAATTGTAGCCACCTATATAACAAAAATAGGATATACTGTATGTCCAAATTGTGGTATTTTATATGCGTAAAATTATATTTTTCCATAAACACCACTGTTATACAGTATGGTTGGAGGAGGGGTTGGGACCTCTGAGGATCATCACAGACGAACCAATCTGGATAAATATTTATTTGCAATGAAATGCAATAAAATGTAGTGCTGAGCCAGGGTGCTTAATTATTAATATTATCCATAACAGTTACTAATAAGATCTTAAAACATTACATTATTAGTTGTGCAACAATTTTGTTAGGGGGAAAGCAAATATGTGATTCTATTTTAAATTTGTAAAATTTAAAAGTATTGTACATTACTATTAATATGAAGTTATATAAACTAGATATTTTCTTACTTGTGGGCTGTTCGTCCACCACAGATCTTGAATAGTTCCTCATCTGTCAGTCGAAGTGACATGTCTCGCTCTTCTTCAGACTCTTCACTTTCTGAACAGTCTCTCTCTTCCTTAGCTCCAACTAGTGTGCCACCCTGAGTAAAATATAACAAAATTAATCCTCCTACAGTTTAAATGAAGCCTTTTGCTATCCTAATTTGTTAGCAAGTATTTTCATGTTTATGACTTTGACATGTTGCCAAAAGATCAAATATTAAATGATGTTACAGTGCCTGCACTTTGAATTATTCTGTACAATATATATGTTAACTCTTAATAACAGTTAAAACACTTGAAAGTCCTTGGAATAAGAAAAGCAGAATATCAGCTGTTGTTAAAATTATTTCCACAGTTTTTAAAGGACTAGAGACTAAAAAGTCTCACCAAAAATATTGGGTGGTATATTGTTTTACAAAATGGTTGTGAAAGTGAAAAAGAAAGTTTCTAAAACTTACAACAATGGGTTAACCACCCATAATGCGACAAATAGTTTTAAATAATGTCTAGAAACAAAACCTATAGAGTATCATACTAATTTTACAAGATTTGGTTCAGTACGTTCTAAACATAATACAGAAGAAAGTATGGGAGACCTCTGGCAATACAGCTGGCTGTGGCCCATGATGTGCACACCAAAACAATGCACAATACAGTGTTAAGATGCATGGTTACTTATGAATCTTCAAATTTTTCACTTATGTAGGTGAAGATAGATGCAGAAAATCATGAAAGTTGGTGTGGTGTTAAATTTTTCTGATAAAGTAGATCTAACTACTAACGTAACAGCAAATTTAGCTGTCTACAGTACTAGTAGTGATATCCAGTGGCCTCTATTAAAGCTGATGCCTTCTTCTTTGGGTAGTGGACTATATCTTATCTCAGTGTTCCCTAGGTGGCTCAGTTTCAGGGTGTTCTGTCATCATATACATTATTTTACTAGGGAAAATGTACTGCCATATACCTACAAAATTTTGCCATAGCAGAAAGTCATAAGATGAACCCAAGTCACTATGAAGGCGCCTGTAACTGAAGTGAAATATCAAAATAGTGCAACACAGCAGTGAAACAAGTGTTATTAACACAGGTAACTGACATTTTAATTTGCATAAAGATAAGACCACTGATAATGAAACAGTTCATGACTTCATTTGTAATACTAAGTAAATAATGACAGATAATGATATATTTGTACAGATAACTCATAGCTGGTGATGAGGCCTGCATATACCATAAGCACCTGAAATTTCAAGAGTCAAAAGCAGTGGAAACATTAGGCTTCACAGACAAAAATAATGTGCACCATTTTGTACGACTGATGATATTTTGATTTATGTGATACTAGGAGAGAGTGTCATAGTGCAATACCACTCATAATATATTGACTTAAGTAAAAGATAGGTGCCATGGAAAGCCTGAAGTAACTTTTGTTGCTGCACAGGAATACACCAGCACATTTAAAGTGTTTTTAAGAAATGTTGTAGAGCCACTGGTTATAAATATTACCCCAAAGAATGATTCCATCTTCCCAATATCCCAAGAGATGACCCCAAGTGGTTAGAAACTGAATTATTATTTGTGTGGTAGCCATGTTATGTAACATTGAACTGTAGGAGGCTGTAAAAATATACCTAAATATATTTAAAGAAATGTACAGTGGTGTCTCGGTTAACGAATTTAATCCGTTACGACACCAAGCTCGTCATGTGAAAAGCTCGTCTTGGGAAACAACAACAACACTGTCATCAGAGGCGTCCGAGAACCAGCGGGAACGCTAGGAAGCACCACGTGGTTTTCTCGTTAACCGAGTGGAATCTTGTCAATCAAGACAAATTTTCTACAAGTGGCTTGGTCGTTACCTGAAATGCTCATAGATGGGGCTGCTCGTCACCCGAGTTTCCTCTGTACATCCTTGTGGGAATCAAACAATTCCAGTTAGAATATAATGGTGGAAAAAGTGTTCTTTTTGCCACAAGGAATTTATACATGTTAGACTTGGACTTTTTATGATAAGATATTATGTGCCAGAATAATTGTAAACTGGAGAGAGAGAGAGAGAGAGAGAGAGAGAGAGAGAGAGAGAAAAAAAAGAGGACATCACAAGCACAATTCTACTCCAGTTACCACAAGTAGCTAATTACACGCACACAAGACTTAAAAAGGGACGCTGTATTGAACAGGGTTCCTGACCAATCCAAGTGACAAGTCTACTGTGCTGTTTTCCAAAACAGATACCAGTTTACCCGCATCTGGTTTTGCAAGTTTTAATTTACCTTTACAAAGCCCCCATAAAATGTGGCTTTATGATCTATCCTCGATGGTTTCTTCTTACTAACATGTAATTCTTCCTTTTTTGTAAGCTGCACTGATCCATCCTGCAAGAAGAAATATATTAATGATAGTTTATTTAGCCAAAATAATTAGATAACACTAGCTTTCTAAAATTCCTATCCATTTCAAGAGAAGACAAGAGTAAGGTTTTATTAAATTTTATCTAAAATGTCTTAAAGAATAATTTACAACAGCATCACATGTTATACTAAAATAAGATAAATCTTGATTATGTACTTATTTTTGAGATTTGAATGAGAAAACATGTAAAAATTATAATGTATGCTTATCATTTTACATTCAAAGTAGGGTGGCATAGGGTTATATGGAATTATAGACATGCAATTTAGTGAATTACCTTCTTTGAACTTTTTAGGTGTTGGAGACTGAAATATCACTAACTTTATTTGCTAAACAATTCTACAAAGTGCTTTGGCAATAAAATAAAATTAAATAAAATTTGGTAAGTGTTTGTGTAGAAAATGTGTACATTCATTCCATTCCATCATGGTTCATATATATTACACAATTACTCCACCTCACACCACTCCATTGACAAAGATGTTAAGATATGGAACACACAATAACATTACGCATCTATGGCTCATTCCCCTTTTTATTGGTCAAACATTCACCCATACCACCCGACCAACACAGTTTTCAACACTGTACTCAAACTTCACAAGACACACAGTCTTTATGCTACACCAGTACAACTTGGAACCACCAACTATAGTCCAATTTTATCTAGCTTAGCTTATATGGTTTCTCTAGATTCATGAATGCAGTACAGTATTCAGAGATTTTTTCTAAAGAGCTTTCTCCACAATTTGCACAAGTTGTTGAACAGAAACCTAAGCGCTGAAAACAATGTTCAGAAACACAAAGTTGATCAGTAGACCTTACTGAAAATGCATTTTGCCCGTATGGACTTTATTAAATAAGATTTGATAAAGTCCTTAGGTTACAGGCAAAATATAACTTCTAATTGTTTCTACTATGGACACACCTAATTTGTCCAAAACCGTGACCTCTAGAGTTAAAAATGTTATGGTGGAAACTTTACCAGTTCTCCCCTACAGAATTAAAGACGAAATACACTGATTTAAACTCACATTAAGATACTTACTGGGGATTTATCAACCGAGATGTTCTCTGCAGCCTTGTTAAACACATGATCCCACCAGTGGAACTTGAAATCTTTTGCAATATCATGGCCAAGACCAGCATTGTCAAACTTTAACTTCGGTTTCAAAGCTGATGTCATACCTCTCTCCTCTCGCCCCAGACCTTTTCCTGATTCATAAATGTACCTTGTAATTGTGTTGGCATGTTTTCAATAAGTAAGTAAGTTTATTCTGCAATTAAATCACAATGGCATGATATATGAATGAAAATAATTTTGAGGCAATGATCTGATGTGGGGCATAAGAGTGTGAACAAAAATGTTCATATTGGAACCTATCTGGTTGCAACAGATAGGTTCAAATATGAATCTGTTCATACAAGCATTCTGATTCTGTAATACAGTATGCCATGAACTTGTATCCAAATTGTGCAGTATTATACTCCAAATACTTTTTCTGATGATTTCTCCATGAAGATTAATGCATAGATATTGTTTTAAAGCCGATTTTTATTTATTCTTTATTTTTTTTAAAGATAAATTCGTTACTAATCTACCCTCACCCACTAACCCATTTACACCCCTTGTGATACTAAATCATAAAACTTTTATAAAAATAAAATCGAGTGCTATCACCAGTCAGCGAGAGTAGCTGTGGACACTATTACCACCAAGACGTCTTCAGTTTTTTAGAGGGAGCTTATGTACAAATTTTGGTTGTGTTAGGTTCTTTGCTTTAACTTATTTAATTTATTGTACTGTAGTACAAAGGCCTATTTAAAACCTGGCAGTGCTGAACATTGTCAATTAGTACCATACCCAATTTTCCTTTTCTAATTGCTTTTGCAGTTCTGGAGCAGAATACTGTACATTGGTCAAGTAGTTATATACAGGTTCATTTTTACAGAATGGTATGGTGTGTCTTGATTTTTAAGGCTCATCTAACCTTATTAACCTATTACAGTACTTGACTTAGATTTGATATATATAAAATACAGTACAAAATTAAAACTTCTGGATGAAACAGCCAGTATGTAAAATATCAGTCTACACAATGACTATCCTGGTTTAGTTAGAGAATCCAAATAGTTTAATGCATGAATAAGGTTCTAACCTTTCCAAAAATATACAGGATAACACTAATAATACACTTTTTACCACTTAAAGGTTAAATATACAATATTTCAGTACTGTATACTGTTACCTTATTTAATGTTATAATGTATCCAAATAAGGCAGCATGCCATTGGCAAGTATCTAAAGGGAAATAGTTAATTTGAAACGATACAAATTCACTTTAACTCATCACTCTTTCCTCTTAATTTGTTCACATGTATTGGCATAATTATGCATGCATACAATATAATACTGTATTGTCAAAATAAGCACCAAATAACTATGATGATAACCTAACAATGATGTGGGCTCATGTATGTCTTCTCAATTTCATTTTTTTAATAATATATATTCACTAATTTTCAATAGATATTATGTATTCATTGCTTACTTTGATCATACTGCATATGCATAATTATAACAAATGTGTGAAAAAACTGACTAGAAAGGTTGACGAGTGAGTGTGCACTGAATAACTGTAACTCTTGGGCCAGACTCTAGAATGCTCAGGGTAGGTGTGGGTTTTCTAAGTGTGCATACAGCCAAAATATTCCTCAGTACAGTACTGGTATCCTTGAAATTACTTTACATTTATGTTCATATGTACTCATATTATTAATTTTTATGGTCTTAATTATTGACTTTTCGTACAATTTTTTTCCTTTCATGAACCTGTCCTAAGGTAGTGCAGCTCCTTAGTACTAGTAGGCATTTATATAGGTCGTAAGTATGCTCCTTACGACCAGGGTTACAGGCTCACCATAGCCCGTGCTACTTGGAACTTGTTCCGAGTAGCTGAATCTGTAACAACAACAACTTCTTACGACCTGTATAAATATGAATCAGTGTCTAACCATTCAGCAACAATAGTGTCGGCCCTCATATGGCTGGCTTTTGCCCTTTTGCGTTTTAGATGGGGGCCGAGTTTTGGTTTTGCTACCTGGTGTTCTCTGTGTGGAGCGGGGCCGGTGCTTGTCACCCTGAGGGACTCCTGGGGCTTCCCAATCATCTGCCCATCTGTGCATTTATTTGCCATATGGCATATTAGTTTCTAGTGATTGGCGTCACTCGTTTCGCGATTTGGCTTGGCATTCCACCCTTCCAGGCTTCGCGATTCACCCATCACAGGTACGCCAGGGCGCATCCGATCCCACGATCGTCGTCACCCCTAAATCAACAACAACAACATATATAATAACAATTAATTTTGTCAGGGGGACAGGTAACCAGTGTATTTTAACATGCTGGCTTGAGTCGAGATGGCCCCCAAGAGGTCGAACTACCGACCCTCCTCAGCTAACAAAAAATGCTAACTCCTGGGGTGCTATTTACTGCTAGGTGAACAAGTCATTAGGTGATAGGAAACAAGCCATACCATTTATCCCGCTAGGGATCCGAACCCTGAATTACCGATTGCGAGTCAAGAACGAACCCGACTGTACACCAATAAATTCCCAGGATTGTTGTTGCCCCTAAATGAACACCAATAAAGTACATATTAACGTCATCATTACCTTCCTTCCATCCATACTTTTTAAGCTGTGCCTCCGCAAACTGCTGTCCAGAATTAGCCATTTTATTCGTAATAGCTGAGCAAGGTGTGTGGAGCGAGGGTGGAACTACAGGAGACGGTACACGAGGCTACAATGGTCGAGACGGCACAGTTACCACTAGATGGCCGCTGGTCTCTCACACACAAGCCCTCCCCACTGGTAATAGTTATTCATGCCGGAACAACCATCATCCCTAAATGAAGATCTCTAGGTTTGTTTTTGTTCAATTGCTCTAAATATAAATACATGTGTGTAGTTTTGGATGAGCTAATATAATTGTAAACTGTGTAGGATGTGGAGTTTCTTGGGTGTTTATGTCTAGGACAGCTGGCTCCAACTTTGGAGTACTTGCCTACTTTTTTTTTCTCGGAGGAGTTCGGTTTGGCTCTTTATGCCCTATCTATTAGGCTTATTGTACCTATTACGTTATAAATTAAATATATTATAAATCGAATTCTTTGTCGAAATTAGCCTTAAATTTTTGGATGAAGGTGCACGGCTTCTATTTTAAGTGCATCCGTATAGCCTGGGTAAGAATATTTCCTTGATTCATTTATGTTTCCAGCTTCTACTTATGCAGCTTGTCCTACTTACTCTCAGTTTAAAGGCTGTCCTTGTCCAACTTGTCAATTCCCCTCAGTTTCTTCAATCCTCTAGGGTTGTGAGATCTAGTTCCATTACCCTATCCATGGCTTAACCCTCTTAGTTCTGGCACTAGTGTTGTAGCAAACCTCTGTTCTTTTTTCAATTTTCACCTAGTTGTGCTTGCGGGGGTTGAGCTACGCTCGTGGTGTTCTGTCTTCCTAGTAGTCTGTCATATTATTATTAATATGTAGGTAGAATTATTAATTATTATATGACGCTTTGAAAGGGGGGAAGGGAACTGTCATGATAAAGCTTGTAACCATTATGAGTATTTTGCACCTGGAAGGGGTCAGGATAAGGATTTGGGATGGGGACAGCCCTGGAAACACAAACCGAAACCGTCTCTATTTTCAGCTTGTTACAACTTGTAATAAAGTTGTTACACCTTGGCTTAACGTGTTTATGACGTATTAGAACGTTGTTACAACTAGCTATATTGGTTGTTATAACTGGTTAGTAGGTGTTAAAACTTGCTCGAACGTTGTACCAACGTTGTAGTTTCGGTGTGTGTTTGGCGGGAGGGGGAAAGGAATGGTGCCCAACCACTTGGACGGTCGGGGATTGAACGCCGACCTGGATGAAGCGAGACCGTCGCTCTACCGTCCAGCCCAAGGTGTTGGGCTCTGACTCTTTGAAACTGCTGACGATTTTAGCATCCATCGCCTTCTTACTCAACTTGTTCCAGCTGTCTACCACTCTGCAAAAAGAGAGCTCTCAAATGTTTTTTTTCTGCAGCTTTGTTTTCTCAGTTTGACTCTATGATGTATATTGAATCTATGATAGTACATATATATGTGCTATCTACATATTTGGGCTCTATCATATCTACATATTTGGGTTTTATGATATCTAAATATTTGTCATATCAAGTCATTTCATTTCATGCGGAAATGAAATAAAATCACTTTTCCATCACTTGTTGGCCTCCGAATGCACGATACAGCTGATGAGTTAGTCAAAGAGTATCCCCCTCAGAGAAAGAGTTGACTACATCGTAAATTGCCTATAAACAACCCGAAAACAATAATACACCAAGAATTCTAACACAATTTCATAAATCTGAGATAAGGTGAGTCTGTACTAGTCATTCGATATACCTTCATACTACCATGGAAGAAGAGTCACATATCTATAGATCATCTAATAAACTGACCACTTAATTTTTTTATTACTGCTCGCATTAAACTCGGTTGTAAGTATGTGTTTGATGTAAGACTAACCAAATGTAAACAGGGTCAGCAAAACTTCCAGAATATAGAGACAGCTCACGTTAAAACGTTTAAGAAATGTTTAATTTATTTAAAATATATATTCTTAATTTATAATTATATATGCTACTAGGAATCTTATCTAAGTATCCTAAAGCCAAGTTTGACTATGGTAGGTAGTGCATGCCCGTGAGTAACCTTTCCACCGGACCCACTGGATGGGTGTTGGGTGTATGATAGACAAACTTGAGGCATCTAGTTCCCCACAAATGCAAATTGCTTTACTTAATGGTTTCAGAATCTGAACTATCTACGTGACTGATACCTTTCCACTACTTACCCCCCACAAAATTGAAATGGTGGTCCCTTATTTACTAATTACACTTGGGAACATACACCTTAGTTATATACAACTTTCACTTGCATAGTAATGAACCTTACATAATTTTGTGTTAGGGCTATTTTTAAAAATTCTCGAATTTGTACACGTTCTATTAAATAATAATGCAAACAGGGTGTACAAATAGTTTTCTGAAAGTTTACATTTGTTTAAATGTATAATCACAGTGATGAGATAGGTATAACCGAGAATAAACTGAGCAGTGGTAGCATCTAAGAATCTACTGAATTTATTAGGTCTAAAAATATGTGATTCTTGCAGGATAAAGGTTTTGTTGAAACTTTTTGTGTATCATTGTTCTCAGGCTGCTCATAGACAATTTAAGATTACAGTCAACTTCTCTGAAATCATATACTTCTGTTAACACATATTAACAATTCGTTTTGCCGGGGACAGGCAGCCTGTGTATGTATTTATGTTAAGCTTGTATTGAGGTCCTCCCCAAAGGTCGACTTACTGACCCTTTCCAGGATGCAACTCCACAGCTCTTGACAAACTCCAGGGGGAACGTATTTACTGCAAGGCGAACAGAGCCATTAGATGAACGGAAACATGCCCAGTAATTTGTCCTGCCCGGGAATCGAACCCGGGGTCCGTGATTGTAAGTAAAAAACGAAGCCAACCTGTGAATCGAGAACGAAACCAGTTGTACTATGTAACCCATACAGTGTAGAGTAGCCTCATACACACGGATTTACACAAGTATGTTAGTAAAAAAAAAAATCCTTTGCCTCAAGACGATACCCGCCACCTTTATTACTGGCGTATGGCCGCCTCTGTTGCTGATGTTGACTAATTCAACGTTCATGGCTCTCATGCGTGGATAAATATGGGAATACAAGACGAATAAACAAAATCTTTAGGTTACACTGTGTGCGTTTTTTCGCTAGTATTCCAGAGTCATGGTTGCAGGTGTTCCGGGCTTCACTGGCTGTGATTTTCAGCACTTTCTGTACGAAAAAATTGCTTTAAAAATGACGCTTTTTTCCCCACTTTACGCCGATGGGGCCAAAGCCTGTGTGTGGATTCAAAACAGAGGTGGCAGTGATACCAAGTCTAGGGTGCAACGGGATATAATATAGGTAATTATAATCAATCTCATTAGAATTCAAGAGGATTTTCTCATCAAGAGAGTTGATATTTAAGGCGTCATAACACTGGTTACAATTTTTAAAAGAGTGCCTAAACATAACATAAACTGGGCTCGTGGGTACTGCAGTTGGCAATGTTGTTGTGTAACTGCCCCCGGCTGGCTCCGGGTTGGGTGTTTGACATCATTGTCCAATTAAAGATCTCGAAAGCGAGTGCTCACCACAATTGTTCAAACTCGAGAAGAAGGGGAAAGAAAATCGAGAACAGTTTATATTCGTTTGGCGGGGCAGTGGCTTTAACCTTACACCAAAAGAAAATACAGAAGCAAAATATTTGCCAGACTCTCCACGTGGCGTGGCGTGTTGTGGTGTTTGGTCGGCCACTCCTGGGCTCCCTGCCCTCCACCAGGGGCTCCCTGCCCTCCACCCAGGCTCCCTGCCCTCCACCAGGGGCTCCCTGCCCTCCACCCAGGCTCCCTGCCCTCCACCAGGGGCTCCCTGCCCTCCACCAGGGGCTCCCTGCCCTCCACCAGGGGCTCCCTGCCCTCCACCCAGGCTCCCAGCCCTCCACCAGGGGCTCCCTGCCCTCCACCAGGGGCTCCCTGCCCTCCACCAGGGGCTCTCTGCCCTCCACCCAGGCTCCTTGCCCTCCACCCGGGCTCCTTGCCCTCCACTCCGGTGCTCCCTGCCCTCCATCCGGGGCTCCCTGCCATCCACCAGGGGCTCCCTGCCCTCCACCAGGGGCTCCCTGCCCTCCACCCAGGCTCCCAGCCCTCCACCAGGGGCTCCCTGCCCTCCACCAGGGGCTCCCTGCCCTCCACCCGGGGCTCCCTGCCCTCCACCCAGGTTCCCTGTCCTCCACCCAGGCTCCCTGTCCTCCACCGCGGGCTCCCTGCCCTCCATCCGGGTCTCCCTGCCATCCACCAGGGGCTCCCTGCCCTCCATCCGGGCTCCCTGCCCTCCATCCGGGCTCCCTAGCCTCCACCAGAGGCTCCCTGCCCTCCACCCGGGCTCCCTGCCCTCCACCCGGGGCTCCCTGCCCTCCACCAGAGGCTCCCTGCCCTCCACCCGGGGCTCCCTGCCCTCCACCAGAGGCTCCCTGCCCTCCACCCGGGGCTCCCTGCCCTCCACCCGGGACTCCCTGCCCTCCACCAGGGGCTCCCTGCCCTCCACCCGGGGCTCCCTGCCCTCCACCCGGGGCTCCCTGCCCTCCACCAGGGGCTCCCTGCCCTCCACCCGGGGCTCCCTGCCCTCCACCCGGGACTCCCTGCCCTCCACCAGGGGCTCCCTACCCTCCACTCAATGTTTGTGTTTACACTTCTGTTTTCGCCACCAAAGAAAATATCGACGATTCAATGAATTTTCGGCAAAAAGGGACCATCATGGGAGCTACAAAGAGAAACACGGCGGGTAAGTATACCATAACCATTCTCAGGCGAACCGTTACGGTGGGATTATTATTATAATCTGTCAATAGATGTTATAAATGTTCTACCACAAACGTATATATATGAGCCAATGTTTCAGTTCTGAGGCTGTTTGGAAACACATAGACCTAGCCGATCTTAATGTGAGAAACACAAGTTGTTAGAATAAAATAATCACACCCTAATCTCCCATACCCATAGACAAATAATACAAGAGGCCAAAAATATATTCTGATTTAATTTCGCTAAATAATGAGATGATTCTCAAAACAGGTGTTCACCTCCCCCGCCCCCAAGCAGCTGTTAGGCTAGATTAGGCTAAGGTGGTGGTGGATATATATATATATACCGGCATTCTCCCCCGGGTTGATCAG